CGGGGTATAAATTAATACCTAACAGTTGAACGCTTACTATATGTTTTTGGCTTTTGAGCGCACGGTTCAGTTTTAAGTGGGCTCAAAAATTAAATATTATTGTTTCGCTTAATGATAGTGATTTCTGCCATCGTTGCATATTATCAGATTATTAATTGTGACTGCAGCTGACCCCCTTTTACTTTGGGCTGTAGGTTATTTTTGTCTGCAGAACTGTATAGCTAATAACAACGTTTTGAAAATCACAATACAATCAATATCTACCGCGCTGTACAATCTTGTAAGCGAAACTGCTAATTCTGCCACATGCTGGTTTGTTATGATGCTGTGCCGGCCTGGTGCGCAGTGAAAAAGCTAAATAACCAAAACGTCTGAACACCACTGGCATAATGCGGCGTTTGAATGACTGGCGAGTTTAAAACTAGAATCAACATGATTAAAGTACAATCGCGGTTGTCACATTACCTGTCCGCGGAGCACAAACCGGCTGTAAAGTGTTTTGATAAGGACGCATTTACTGTTCAAATCATATTGGGGCACACGCCGCACTCAGTCTGCACTGCCTTCTGTCCATCACCGCACTATAGCGGCATCGGCAATGAAATGGATTAACGAGTGATAGTTGGTACATAAATCTTACCATTTTATCTCTGTTTTATATAGAGAGCGGCTGCTGCATCATCATCATCATGATCATCATCTCCCTGCCATTGCGGAATAGCTATCATTAAGCATTCGTCAACGTAAAAATACGTCGGATCTAAAACCTGTTGTCAACCAATAAACGCCGCTACTTAATGCTGATCGGTGTACCGATGGAGTCTAATTTGTCTGGAATATAGAGTGGATCGCCTTGTCAGAAACTGTCAAATACTTTGAATATTTTTGCAAACCATTTTTCGGATTGGAAGAGGAATAGTATGGCGTACCGGTAGATGGCGGCCCCAGTTGTAAGCGTCAGACAGACACATGACGAACCAACATCACCGACTAAACTCCCATCGCAAGATTATGTAAAATCCGTTAACACCAACTTAATTAGCGGATGGACCGCTAATCTGGATCGTTACGGTCGGATATACTACAGCAGGTGCGTAACTGCCACCAAGTAATTGTCTGAGCAAATACCATTAAATAGTAAAGCAGGAAGTGGAAATTACAGATTTCCTAACAATTTTTTTCTGCGACTATAGCCCCTCCGTTCAGAAGGATTGTTATAGCTCTACTGTTAGTTTTTGTACGCAGAAGGGATTCGAGAGTAAATATTGTATATCACATGCGATTAGTATGGTTACCATAATAACTTGTGCTCTTATTATAACTCTGCTGCTTGTCATATTCCCTGAAATAAATTAAATAGCGCGCGGAAAAAAACGCTGTTATTTTAGAAATTAGGAGGTGTAGATCACAGTTTTTGTTACAAGATACAGAGTGACCTCTGTCACACTATCATCCATTTTAAAGTCGCTGAGCTTTCACTGGAGACCGGAATCCTCATGGAAAATGCTTGTGCATATATATGAGTGTAGGTCATTTACCTTACATCCAATGCTTTTTTCCATTTGCAAATACGATGGGAACTTGGAACCTTACGGCGAGCGGCGTGATTAGCCAAGCTGAAAAGCAACAGCTTATGACCATGCAGGCTTTACTGCAATTGTTAAAGTGATCGCTAGAAGAACTGGCCAAGTACTGCTTCACTCGCTACTGCTTTATTCCGTGTACCAACCTAGCTGCTCCTGATCTGCATTGATTGCAAGTAATTAGACATAACAAAAATGATTACTTTGATTGTGACTTGATGCTGCATGGGAGGTGTCGCAGTATAAGTCCTGGTAATGCAAGTCTTGTTCTCCTGCTCTGATGCAAATTTTCCTTACAGCAAATGATTTTTGAGTTTGCTACCATCAGGTATATTTATATGTATCTAATGTTCACATCAAACTGCAGGTTTCAGAAACTAAAACCTAATCGATAGAAAAACTGACATTGCACGACGCAAAGGAATACGCAGGCAGTCAAGGACGCTGATAATAAGTCAATGCGATGAGCGCATTTTTACAAAGCTTTGCAATCATTTTACAAGATTTTATAGGCTGCACGATTTGGTGTGACCCTCCCTATATATACATATCGTTAATTACTTACTATACGTTTTAATCCATCTGTGTTTTCAGAACAATACGTTGACAAAATTTTGTTCTGAAATGTTGATTCTCAAATTTAGTGCTGCATTTTAAATAAAACTTCATGAAAGATATCGTATTTGTACTAGTACCCTCGTGAGCACATATTTATGTACCAACACTTTTACAGCATGGGCGTCGAAAAGCCGGCACAATGGACCATTGAAATAAAACAACGGCACAAACATGTGCACAAGTTTGCAGCATTTAAACTGTTGCTTTAGTTTGAATATATATTAATGGTAACCGCTCAAAGAGCGAGGTTTGCCGACACCGGCGAGGTCATTGAATGATGAGGTTTTTTGACATTTGTAACAAGGTCCAATTACGGATACCTTTTTGCGTCTCTTTTTTCCACTGAATTAAGATGTATAAAAACCGAAGAATGTGTTTTATTTAGATATGGTAAACTATGTTTTGTTTCTGAGCAAATTAGAAAGAAAAAGCAGCTGCGAAACGCAAAAAAATTTCTATGTTACATCTTCCAAAGATCTGGTAAGACTGTACGGGAAGACCGTAGCTACACGGTAGGATCAGGTCAACTGTGCAAAACAAAATGATTGTAAAATGATTATAATGTCTAAATTTTGAAGTGTTGCAAAAACTATCAGACACGTTTTGCAAAGATTAATGATCATGAGCTGCAAAGGCACTGTACGAGTGTAAAGATATAATCAAAGACCTGGTAATATTAAATGCAATCTGGTGGTAAGGAATTACGAGTACACGAGAATCAAAACAAAAGACGACACATCATTTGAGATTTTATCCTTTCTACTTTTTCTAACCTATATAAACGCGCAATATATAAAGTCTGTTCTTGCTGTTGCTGTCTTAAAACGGTATTTTGTGTCTTCCACATTTGTACACGTTATGTACATGAACACTGACTGGGCCGGGGATGTACGGCGCGCTATTTTGCTTCTTTACATTCCGCAAACATCTAAATGTATGGTTGCAAAATTTAATAAAGCATCTGGTTTCTTACTATTGAAAAGTGCGCAAAATTATCATTGGATGGCAATGTAGCCAAATTCAGCGAACTCGCACCATCTCTGAAAATTTTAATGCACTGCTTTTATATAGTGCAGTATTCCTTACGATAATCTTGAAAATCACGAACTGCTTACGTTACTGGAATTTTGGACAAGAATTCTTACTCCCAAATTATGGCGTGTCTTAATAGTCTATTTGGGATGGTACGAGTACGAGAATTTATTGGGTTACTCGGAGTACACATTTTTAGCCGCCGATTCCGTTCAACGCCACAGTGCTCTTAACAACTGATACGTTGTCACATTGCGGTGAGATGGTTCTGACATCTACAGAAAGGGCGAGGGACGGAGGACCTTGACCGTTGTGATGCGTGTATAAAATATTAATATTAAAAATGAACTTTCTGTGGCAAAACTATGAGAAACAAGATGGCGCACTAACGGCAATTAGTGATTATGTCCGGCGTTCGCTGTGAGTAGTACTGCATCCTATAAATGCCGTATAACGCTGCTCGACTCTTGGTTTTTATGTGCACTTTTTTCCCGGAACACTAATTTACAGAGCCAGATTAGTTAAGTATGTACCATGCAGATCATACAAATCTTTTCTGAACGATAGCAGTGTGATTTGCGTCAGCTGACCCAGTGGAAGCATTTTCCAGCGAGCTAAATTGTTAAAAGTCGTAAGTTATACAATTAAGCCAGGGCCGGCAGCTGGAGCCGGGGATGTTGCCGGGGATTACGAAGAGGAGAAAATTTGGAACTTTTAATAGGTTTAAATACAATCCACTGGGAAATATTATACAGTTTCCTAATCCAGCGCATTTCGCATTTGACTGCTCGCTGGCGGTGTTGTGATGCAATATAGGCAGTCAAACCGTTTCCCGCTAGAACGATCAGACGCGGGATGCGGCTTAGCTGCGATGTGCCGCGCGCGCGCCTGGACTTAGGCAAAAAACGCCAGCATACATGCGCGGGATCGCATTGCGGTATCAGTGTTACATGGGTATAATACGTGAGAGAGTGAGAGGGGAATTATCTGTCCGTATGCGAGAGAATGAGAATAAGAGGAAGAGGCGGGGAGGAAGCTTGTCGATGATAGCTGCCGGAAGCACACCATTTACAGCCGTAAAAGTTTGGGTTTTGTGGTTGGCAGTATGCATAATGCATACACACACCATGGACACTCTATGCAGTGCATACAGTCAAGATTTTTCACTGTTCACACACATGTTCGGGTGGATACAGCACATCGTGTAACTTTGCGGGCTGGAGAGTTTCAGGGATGTTCCCGTGATCAGCTCCACCCACCATGGCAAATGAGTTTAAAGACAGCCACACATGTGTACATACAGATACACCGACCCTATAACATACCACTGTTACTTTCCGGAACGAATAGCTCCACTGGCTATGGAGCCATCCTGAATTTAATAGCTCAATCACATAGCCGCTTATTAAGGGCAAAAGTGCTCATCCGTTGAACTTGGGCAGGAAAGGCGGGTTTAGGGGACAACATCGGTTGCCGGCTAACCAGTGTTTTTATACATTCCTTGTGTGGTGTACGTAGCTGTGCACTGCATGTAGTCGGGCAGTATAGGCAATGACACGGGACATATTGAATAGCGATTCGGCAATTCATGGCAACTCGTAAATTTGTACGTAACGCCGATCATCAAGCAATTTTCCGTAGTACTGCACAAGGGCCGTTTTCCAACAGGAAATATCCTTTTCGGCCTGTACGACACAGCGTATGTAGTTGACAATTTCGTGAATTCATGATGAGCATCCAGCTGGTCAATTTCATGTCTCATTTGTCGGCGGCTATTAGCGATCTAGTGTGTTATTTTTTTGCGGAAATTTTTCCGTGTTACATATTATAGATAAGTGTCATCTGAATCTTGTCCACCATATGCAGTATCTGCCAGGGATGTGGCACTAAATTGTTCGTGTTAAGTGCTTGCAAATATTGAACACCTCGTTGTACCTGGGCAATGTATAAATGGATAACCACTTCAAAGTCACGTACATGCTAATGCTCCCACTGCACTCCAGCCCGGCGCTCCTCTCTGTAGCAGAAATGATGGAGACCTGTTCCCGTATTTTGTATACAACACCTATATATAGCAAATGCTATCTTTTGTGACATTGGGTGTACCATTGTGTGTGAACCCGAAGGTCTGATCATTTGACAATTGCTGATATCCCGTCGGACATACGTTTTACATAGACAGTGATATTTTATTTGGCACGGATATGATTAGGGAGATAAATGCAGCAGTTATGAGCGCTCATCACAGTCTGATATGAAATTGCGCGTTGCGCGATATGTGTATATCGCAGCTGATCTGATGGACGAGTTGGTGCAGATGCTGTGTCAGGCTCAATGAGATCCATTAGGATAAGTTTCCTTTAGACTTGTTCCCGTATGAAAAGAAATTCTCCCCTGCACTCTTCCTTGTCCTGCTGACTGCACTGTGCAACGCGCGCGCTCGCGCCGTGGCCACAATCGAAGCATTCGGCAGGGTCGTAACCCTACGCACATCTTCTTTGGTCTTTCTCTGTTTGAGCGCGAAATTGAAGGCGATTAAACGTATTTTCTGACATTCCAGTCCAAGATTGATCGACCTATTCCCAGCAGTGGAACCCTTGCAATACCGAGAAATATTGCGGAAATTAATATTGCCGACTATCTGTGCATTATGACAATGATAACAGCGCTCGGTCGTTGGACTGTCATTTTAATGAAAATGCCGGGTATACAGTATACACATAATAATATGTGAATACGCGAGAGTTGGCACATTTCCCTAAAATTCCGTACTAGAACTGGGATCGATGTTGGTGTGAAGGCATAACTGTTGCATACTGCATTACATTATTATCGCATGGAATGAAATTAGAGTTCGGCTTGTGATGCTGGGAGTGTTGTCTCGATTATGGGAAATAAGCACAGTAATGCGACCAATCGCCAAAAAGCTGCTAATACATCTAATCATTCGAAAAAAGCACCGGTGTCGTGCGTCAGGTAGGTGTTTGCGTGTACTTGTGAAATATCTGTTAATCACGGGTATCTAATTTCAAACGTCTCAAAGTCGCACGCATGACACCAAGTAAATATGCCTACTTCGTTTTTCTAGTACACTAATTCTAATAAACGACCAAGTCAAATTACCGTTTCCTGCCCTAACTGCTCGTGCTGCACGGAAAGAAAACAGGAACTAGCACTTCAACTTAAATATGTTGCATAAATGCGGCCGGATTCAACCCCTGTTTGGCTTACAGAGAAAAATTGCATAGTTAAAATAAAAACGCAAAAAACTAATGTAAGTTTTTACTTTACTTCTATTGTGTTCCATGCGGAAATTAATAATAGGTCGAATTTGATGCAAAGTATTTCAATTTAGATAGCATTTTACAAAATTTTTCATGTAATGCAGCGTCGGTGTGCCCAAATTCATAAGGAATGTGACACTGCATTAAATATGGCAGTGGCATTTAAGGGTTACTGCGGTTTTTTACATGGTTAAAATTGACCTTACTTTAATTACTCTCGAGCTAAACTATGTTTAAAAGACATTTTGCTTTACATTTGGTGAAGCTATTTGCAGTAGTTACTTATTTCAAATAATTCTTAATTTTTATGGCGCTACCTAAAATCCTTTAGCATTTACCGCTAGTAAACCGCGATCTCGAAAAACCTGAAATCGTACCGTGGAATAATACCAACTAAATGTTTTCAAAGGTAGACGGCTGAAATAACAAAAACTTAGCTTCCAGTAAAATCATTAAAGTCATAATCGACTTGCGATATTGATGAGTCTGGTACAGTAAGTCGACGGCTTTTTACACGCCGTCAAAAACAGAAGCGATGCACATCTGCACATTTAATTCAATTTCTAAACTCCACATGCGATTGACCAACGGATCAAGTCATGTGTAGACTGTAGAGCACTAATAAGAAAACGTAAAAATGTTAACGCTCACGGTAAAAAAGTGCACGTACTTTTCGCGCTAGCTGATGTACAGATTTCTGTTTCTGTAAATTTCTGTAAGAAAATTTAAATTGTTGATTTTTGCTTATGAGCGTTATTGAATGCTGAGCCGGCTCTCGTATATGTATGTGTTTTAAGGCCTAAAGTATGCTTAAGATATACAGCTGTGTCGGTCATTGATTTTTTTGGGGGTTCGTTTCCTGATACGTAGTGTCAGGCAAATGGCTGATAATAAACGAGCAAGAAGCTTTGAAGTAGCTCGTTTCCATCTATTATACGTCGAGCATCCAGACCCGACAAGCTCCGGTGGCGATTGCAGATTTCTTGTCTGTTGAGAAGTTTTTGAAAACCGTTGTACTGGATAAAATTTTGCCTGAACGATACTTGAGAACTTTTTATAGCGTTACAATTTGTATCTTAACTCACTATCCCGTTCTCTCATTCAAAAATCTCGGACCCCTCTTCATATTAATGACCCTTTGTGTTTACTATATATAGACACGGCATATCAAAGTTTACTGGTAATCCACATTGTCAGACCTGGATTCTTTCGCGAAAAAGATTTTTTCGGAAGGAAAGCAAGACATACAGTACAAACAAATTTGACATGATGCTAGTTATATTAATTAATGTGACTCTATATTATCGAAGCTTGAGTTATTGCGCAATGATAGACCGATGCTGAAATACAATTTACAGAAAAGCATAACCAGCGTATCTGTACTGCATATTAAGTATATCCGCTAGTCACCGTGTGCGTAATGTGGATACAACGATGGGATTATTATTTGTGGATAAACAGGAACGTGCATATGAGTTCTTCGGGAATTTCGTGCAACCTGAAAACGGAGGTTGGAAACTTTGTGGCAGTATGGTTTAAAAAGCGTGCAAAGAGTGGCGTTATTTGCAATAGCTTCATTACATGACTAGGATCATAGTGACCAGCAACAAGATAACGCTCAATGTGCCGGCAATATGCATATATGTTTAACCCAGTTTTGCGCAACTATATATAGTAGAACGCCCAACCACTCTGTACCTTTTCGTTAAATTTTTCTTGGATACAATTATTAGACTTAAATTTCCCTTTCCTGTATAATACGCCAAATGATAAATCGATTTTCAGGGTGGCCGAACAAATTATTTGCTTAAGTGAAAGGCCCCGAGGGTAAAGAAGCGAAGCAGATGAGCGCAAACACTGGAAAAAGGAATGGGCTAAGCGCAAGTGAATTCGATTGGGATATTTTAAATTTATCGATAACTCACTTTAATCTTTTACGAGGCTAGTTGTCTGAGTTTTTGCTTTGTGTTTGGAAATCTTACGCATATGACAGGGTCCTTTGTGTTCCACTGTTATTCTACCCCAGGGGTTTTGGCTGTCTAAAAAACCCTGTCAATTAATGCGGCTCTATGCAAAACAGCATTTTATTTTCATTGAAGTTTTCTGTTTTCTCAGGGTAATGTGGTGCTGTACAGTGTTCAGTGTGCTTGCAGTACCTTTGAATCACAGATCAGCTGTTATCGATTCCACAACAATCCAGTCTGATAATGACGCTGCTGTGGTAGTGGTCAGTTGCACTATTTTCGATTTTCCAAAATTCCACAGTCAAATTAATTAAAACCAGTATCGTATACTCTGGTAATTTAATCGTCAATTGCATGCTTTTCTTACTACTAATAAGTGCGGTTGCATGCACTGCACTCTTGCAAGTTGCAACTCGGCAGTATACAAAAGGACGTCATAAAAATTACTCCGAGAACGTGAACATACGAGTAATATATGGTATTTATTAAACAGTCACTAATTATCTCAGAAATGGCACATTTCGTGCGGATATTGGAATGTTTTTTGTGCAGATAATATGCGCTTTAGGTGATTCAAAATTTTTATGTAGAGTTGTTAGCTCATTTTTTAATCATGCTGAAACCTCTAAAAAGTAAAAACACTATGAGTAATTTACGGATTTTGCGAAAGGTGTCATATATGCAAATGCATTCGTTTACTGCAAATTTTAAATGATAAAAGAGTGTCACGTTGTAATGTGAATGCAGACACACCAACCGCTTATTGTTGTAGCCATGGGACTCAAACAACCAACTGGATACCGCCAGCGGAAAACTGGGATGCCGGCGACTGGCGATTGCCTTACGGATGGGAATGCGGAGCTGATTCGCAGGGTCGGATCTATTACATCAAGTACGTGTACGCCCTGTGTGCTTTTAGCCACAGGCGCCCTGCTGTAGAGGAGACTACGTTCCGGCGAAACCACAATAATATCTCGTAAAAGACGGGAACGAGAAAATCGGTTCACTTTTGGCAATTTCCGGTTGTGCGGGCTTATTTTGTTCTGCATGTTTGCACTCATAACAAGCGCGACGATCTATGTCACCAGTGCCGAGAATAGTGCACTCTAACGAAAATCAACCACACTCATGTAAACCGGGAATTTTTTTTGTTTAAAATGACATATTCTCCATCACAGTAGCGAACTTTAAACAAACCAAAAATGTAAATATTCGTAATTAACGCACTATTTCAAGCACAAACCAAACTTGATAGAAATGACTCAGACTTTATACAAAAATTTACAAAGAGCAATAAATAGGCGTCCTGAGAAGGAGAACAATGTGTCGGTTTTTGGTAGTTTTGTAAATGTGCTGGAACTTCATTAATGAGCCGGAACGAATGATCATGACATTACGTAATTTTTTATCCTGTTCTAATCTAATATGAATATGTCAAACTAAAAAGCAAAAAAGTGCTGTAATAACACATTCCGAACTGAAATATCGCGTACGAACTACGAACTAAGAAATTATTCCGGCGATAATTGTTGTTCTTCTATTCGGACATTCCGATCTAACCTCGAGTGTACATGTTATACATGTACATTGCAACTGAATTGCTTGAATTACATGTGACAGCTACTGTAAACGTTTTAACAAAGATTGTCGTTGCAAAATTTATAATGGATACGCAGGTAAATTAAAAGAAAGCAAAACTGTTGCATTGCTAACCTTTTAATGTGCATCTATGAGCTAAATATTTCTTAGATCTGTTTTTAAGCATATCTTATTTGTTGTGTGAACGCTTTTACATAGTCATATCGACAAATTCACCACGTACGACGATCCGCGGCTGCTGCAAGGCGACGACGATTCCGAGCAGGATCTCTATCCCGTTCCCCGGGATGTTGTCCTGCGCCGTGATCCCAATATTGGTTTTGGATTTGTTGCAGGAAGCGAGAAGCCGGTGATAGTGCGTTTTGTAAACGAAGGTAAGTGTTTCTCGCTGTTGTAACAGGTGGCCATAGATCCACTGCAAATGACACAACGGGATGCATAATTTTGCATGTACATTATACATACATAATTTGTGTTCGTGCAGATGGACCAAGCGCAGGCAAACTCCTTCCTTCTGATCTCATTCTCAAAATCAATGGGGAAGACGTGGAAAAAGCGCCACGGGACCATGTTATCGAGCTGGTGCGATCATGCAAAGATACGGTGACGCTTACCGTATGTCAACCGCAAAGTGACAACGTAAGTATGAAAAACGATACCATATTAAAAGCACAATAATACGATCGAACTTATAACTCTGTAAATTAATAAATTTTTGTCGTTCCGGGTTTTTTCATAATTTTTGAAAAAAAGTTTAGCTTCTTTCGGACTTTTTGCGCTCCGTTTTTTTTTAAAATTACGAATTACTTTAATGCAGCTTTGGCATTCGAAACGGCATGCAGTTTTAGTAAATCAGACTGTAAGTTCTGCAACAATTTAAAATGGACTAATATAATATGCTGCAGTCGCATCGTTTTGCAGTAATATATGTACAGCGAAGTGCTCACGCATGCTCTTAATTGCATTGTAATACACGATCATTGCTTTTGTGTGGCCATCCATTAGGCACTTAATACCTCAAGTTCGCATAATTGTATTATGCAGTTGCATAATAGCACGCACCAGTTTGCGAATTTATGAACACGTCGCTTAAGCTGTTTATTTCTTACGCAATTGATTTTATATTGATTTTTACACCGGGTTTGTCATTGTGTAGGCCAGCAGGAAATCGGCATTTTTAAGTGCGGCAAAAAAAGCCAAATTAAAAAATAAGCCATCGCGTGTGCGCTTTGCCGACGGAGTGGTAATAAACGGCAGCGGAAATATTGTTCCAGCCGGCGCCCCTGATCCCGCTTCTACTCCCTTTATACCCAATGTTCTCAAAGTATTCCTGGAAAATGGACAAACCAAGTCTTTCAAATACGATAATAAAACCACAGTTCGAGTAAGTTGCTCATAATATCGAAGTAGCGGACGAAATGTTTGTGCGCATGCAGCGTGCGGCCTTACATTTAAATCAGCAAAAACGATAGCTAATCATATACTGCCTTTTGTAAAGTATGTGTTTTTGCAGGATGTGATGAACTCTTTAAGAGAAAAGCTTTCAATCCAAGCCATAGAGCACTTTGCATTAGTTGTGGAACATGTGAAAAGCCTAAAGAAAAATCAGCTCAAGCTTTTGAGCCCCGAAGATACCATCTCAAAGGTTAGATTTGTTTTTATTTAGGTTAGCTCTAAGAAATTAATTAAGCACAGTAACTAAAAAACTTTGGAGTGCGCGATTATCTGGTAGACGCGCGTTATGGCATATATTTTTATGCATTCAACGCCTGTTTTGGATTATTAAAAAACTTTGGGGTAAATTCCAAAGGTCAAGCAACATTATGCGTTTTAGGTGGCAGCGCGACCCGGTGCCCAACATCTGCGATGTCTATTCCGTGTAGTGTTTGTACCCCGGGATGCGTATGATCTCCTCAGAAGAGACCCGATAGCCTTTGATTATTTTTATATGCAGGTAAATTATACACAGCAACCTAAGCGCCTTTTATGCTTACTTTTCTCCACGGATTGTAAGTAGCAGTCACAGTATTGCTAATTAAAATTACATGCACAAATGATCTGCCTTTGTAACGGGAATTAAAACTGTACATGTTGTACGTCATGCTTCTGTGTTCTCATTACAGTGTTGTAACGATGTTGTTGATGAAAGATTTGCCACTGAATTACGCTGCGATGTTGCTCTGCGGTTAGCGGCGCTTCAGATGCAGCAGCACGGTTTAACAAGTAACGTTGGGGCAAAGCTATCTGTGAAACGAATCGAGTAAGTACTCGCCCAAAACATGTACAGTTCACTTCAGGTACGCAAAATTCAGGACTTATTGTTCGTTACATTAACAGGAAAGAGTGTGGTCTCGAGCGATTCATTCCTCCCTCCATTATCGAAGCTATGAAACAAAAGAGTTAAGGCGTTTATTGTCGCATTTAATAAAAATCAACAATCAACAACTGTCGACGCCGGGGCAAAAAAAGCTAAGCGAAGTGCAAATTAAGGTTCATTACCTAAAAATCCTTAGCGAGCTGCCCACCTTTGGCGGACGCTGCTTTAACGTCACTATACCGGTAAGCCAATGTAAACTGCGCAACAGCGCTAAAGGTTATCAGTTCATCTGAGAGATAATAATGATACTGGGACAAGATGAAAATGAATTAACCATCGTGTTGCAGGAAACCAAAAGCGATGGATTAATCCTGATATCGCCTAAATTTGGGATAAGTCAAATTTCCGGCACGAAGAGCGGCTCAGTACGTTGTGGTCTTCTCCCTGTTATTCTGGCTTTTGCGCTTCGTTTCCCACAACTTGTGGGGCTTGAATTAATTCCCCACTTGAAATGCAGATTAGGCGAAACTCGGAAACAACAATCCAACAAAATTTTGATAATAATTTATTCTGCATGATTCTATTTTAACAAAGAGCCTGTCTGGAAAAATCATACCCAAAAATAAAGTCTCTAGAAGCTCCTGCATTGGTATTTTTATTCATCTATGTTATGACAAAATATATCTGAATTTGTAACGCTTTATTACTCATAATTTTACATTTAAAACCATAAAACCACTTTGGAACAGTGTAATAATTATAATATTGCGTGTCTTTGCAGCCTGTGATGTTAACTGAATTAGAGTCAATAAGCGAAGTCATTGTGGCGGAAATTCCTGACGCATTCCACTCCATCGAGATCCACATCAAGCCTCCCTTAAACGAAGTAAGGAAAGCGTAATGGAAACCCTAAGAAATGCGGCTTGTTTAGCATTTGCATACGGACGTGCATACTTAGCGCCGGATGTAACCCGCCTAAATTTATACACATCGTCGCATACACTGGCGACGCCGATGCAGTTAATACAAGCTGCGTGTATTTTGCGATTGATCTCTGAGAGTTACAAATTTGTAGCGGTTTGGATTTGAAGCCGAAAGTAGCGATGATCTTGATGATATGGTTCAGCTACTCAACGGTTACTCCAAGCTGTTTGTGGGGATCCCATTGAGAGTATTGGTTATTGACGACGGCAAGGATGATAATAAATCACCCGGCGGTACAGTTGGGCCTCATATATATGTCACCCCATAAACACTTTATATAGGAAATTATTTTTCATCTTTGAACATACAGAGCCTCCGCCGTATTACGGACATCATGTTGTCTATTCCATGCCCTGGAGTTATCCGCCCGATCTCAAATCGATAACAATCCAATTAAATGAAGAGACTATCAAAAATACTGCCGAGCATTACGCTGATTTTTCACATCTTCCCTTGTCAGCACAAAACATTAATAATCAGGCCAACGCACCGTCGACTATATCCCAGTCAGTTGCTCCTGTTCAACCGCAGGTAAGAGTGCTTCTATACTTATACGCGTAAGCTCAGTTTAAAGACTTTGCTTGTACTTCGAGCCTTTCTGTTAAGACATGCTAAGCGTGATCGTCTATAATGGTCGAAAGCGGCTCTGTTCCAAACATTATGTATTGCTGTACCAACATGCGGTTTTAACTTGCCATTATCTCTTCCGCAGTTAATAAGGAAAATTAAGGATTAAACATAGGTATCCAGAAACTGCAACAGCTCATAATTAAAACTAAAATAATGCATAATAAATTATTTGCTTTGCTATTTTACGGTAATTAGCAAGCACATTTCCAGTTGTACAAAGATTGCGCTCCAGCAAGCTAAAACTCACAGTAATTAATATGTTATAATATTAAGTTGCAGCTATTTAGTTATATAACACTTATCACTCGCAATCAATCTTGTCGAAAGTGAATCAGCCTATTCAAGCACATATTGGATGTTACCGCGCTTATTTATGAATGTCGATCTACAACAGTGGTTTGCTAGGCTCGACTCTTTTATATTTGTTTTCCATAAGACCAGTATGGATTAGCATAAATAATTTTCTTTTGGTCAGTTAACGTTTGGTCACCTGGGTTGCGCATAACATGTTATCAGACCGGGCATACCGTAAAAGACAGACATACACTGTAAAAGCTGTACAGCTTTTTACAGAGGTGTAGCGTAATTGTCATATTAATGAATCAAATTAACATGTTAATTTGATTCAATAATATGACATTACGCTACACCTCGTCCGACATCTAGATATGTCATAAACATCCAGATATGTCTCGTATCATTGTAATGCAGTTGAAACTATAGCGTAGGTCTCCTGTGACAGAAAAAATTCGATACAATTGTATTTCCGCTTTCTGTTGTAACGTGGTTACACATAGTAACGCGTTGCAGTTTCCTGTATGCCACAAAAGCGCAAACAGTACAAATTCATAAAACTTCTCGTGGTTATACGCACATTCAGATCATTGTGTCTGGAAACATAAAGTTTAATTATAGCAACATAGCAAGTATGGGTCACAAACATCTACCCTATCTGTATGCGCCGCTCTAAAAATATCCAGAAGCTGAATTTGAAATACAAACTGCATGTACATACTGTAATATTCATCCTACTGATGCATATTTCATTTGCAGCCACATCCGCTCTCTGTGTCCATAAAATCCGACTCTCTGCAGTCGTCCACGGAATCCGTGGTCACACTCGCTAAGCCAGCGGACATTCCCGAGCCGCCAACGGTCACCATACCAACCCATGTGGAGATCACACTGCCCGGACCCATTACTGCAGTCCCCGCCCCCTCGTCAACCTCAACAACACTGGCGCCGCCCGATATTGTTCGCAATATGAAATTCATCGACGATTCCACATCGTCCGAGCTGGATACGCCCATCGCCGAGCGCGCCCTCAAACGCGCCGAACAGCAGCTGCACAATATCCGCGAAACCGACGTCATCCGGTTCCGACCGCAGCTCTTCAATCCGCACTTAACCGGTCCGACCGGTAACGAACCGGATGTCATCAAGCGCAGTATCTCGCAGACCGGTTCCGTGGCCGAACTGGCCGAGAAACTCAGCAGTCTGCGGACGCCCACGACACCGGCCGATAATGTCAATTTTGCCTGGCAGAATAAGATGGAGTTGGGTTCGGATAGCGAGGAGACCGACAGCGTCAGTACGACGCCCACCGATAGCCCGATCCATCGGGCGCTGGCGGAAAAAGCGGCACGCATCAGCACGGCAGCCGCTGCCACCGCAGCCGGTCATCATCATCGCATCGCCAATCCGCCGTCGACACTCTTCCGCAGCGGATCCAGTTTCGGCCTGCACAGTCCGGATGATGTGGCCAAGTACAACAGCGATGGTATTCAGGTGTACATTGATAACGTGGCCGATATGGAGATGCGCCCGTTTGATAGTCGTAATGATCACCGGCAGAGTGTCGGATCACTGTACTTGGATCCGGATATCATTGATCTCTGTCAGATTCCCATCCCCGAAGAAGCTAATGAATGCTACATGGAAATGTATGCCGACATCGTGGAAGTGCCGCCGACACCGTTCCGTGATCCGCTGATCCCGTTCCCGGGCTGCGAGACCAGTAATGAATTCGATGTGCTACCCGATATCGAAGAAGGTCAGGCGCTAATTGTATTGCAATGGATAATTTGTAACCGGCATGTAGAAGATTAGCGCGTACACGGGATAATTGTCTAAGCCGGAAGTGACAAAACCAGCTTTTCTAACGCGTAGATTTGCAGCCTGTCGAGCGAACGCCGGCACCGTATATGTGCAGTATTCGTTAGTTTTTATACTATGAACTCTGGTCAGTCAATCAGGCATAGAATGGTGCTCACAATCAGGGAAAATGCAGAAGTGCTTACGATATTGAGTTGCGCTCTGATCTTAAATATGGAGCGGAGATTGCGCCGGCGTTGTTGAACTCTTCAACGGTGTCAAGTTCTTCATTTCCCGATATTCTTCTTACATAGTAGTGCATAAGAGACCAATCCCGGTCGGTTTCCCATTCACACACTTGAAGCAAAACGTTACCATACAACTGCAAAGAATTAAGCTATACAAATTCCGTGAACTAGCATTACAAATCAGTTTTCGACTTAAGTAAAGTTATAGACTTATTTTATAACAAGGGACAGTATCAATACTTCATACTTTTGCTTTATTGTAGTTACACTTACAAATACCGAGCTAATACTATTCGAATTTGGAATCATAGTTACCTGCTAGAAATGTAGGAAAATTGTGTACAGCATAAATACATACGTGACAACAGTTAACAATTAACAATAATTCCAAGTCACTTAACTGCATAAAAGAATTTTTATCTTTTATCTGATAATTAAAAAATGCAGCAGTTCTTATTTTGAAATGCTTTCTTTCTTTTGTTATGCAAGCGGGCAGAAATTAAATAGGTAAAAATTGCCAATTATGCAAAGATAGGTCGATGCAAAAGTTTCCACAGCGCCGGATTGGAAAGAACAGTACGGGTACATCCTGTGCTCCGAAAAATCATAAATCTTACAATCAACATAATTAATGCCACATGCGGACAGCTGCGAAACCAGCTTCTGTTTCTAATTATTATTCAAATGTACGAGCCTTTTAGAAAATTTTGTCATGACGCTTAAGTAAGCAAGCATACTCGTATATTTCCAAACATACTGTATTCGCCGTCCGTCGCATTGGTTCGAAAAACGAGGATTTTAATCAATTTAAATAACCTTTCCGCACGGCATAGGAGCGGCAATGGCATGCAAACTGAATTACTACATTCGTTTGTATGTACTTCTGCGACTTGTGGGTGCAGTTGGCTGATTTCACAAACAAGTAATTTCTGGGTCGTAAAACTGGACCATCGATGTATCTTGTCATAATCCGATCAATTTTTCAATTTTCCTTTTTAATCCATAGACTCTCCACGGCATTTCCCTTCGGAGATGGCCGATCTCCTGCACGATATGCCCGAAAAACCCGGCACCGACACCGGTGCTCTGGACCGTGCGCTGGATGAACTGAATTCCTTTATTTCCGCCATGACCATTCCCGACCCGGACGAAGCGCACCCGCATTTGCACCGTGTCACCAGTGAAGATATTCGTTTGCTGGTCATTCCACCTCCGCCATCCCGCACTCCCACACGGCCGGTAACCGCCTCCCCATCAACGGCCAGCACAGCCACGGTCAGTCCAAGCTGCTCGAAACACTCAACAACCGACACCTCGGAAGTGCTCTCACCGCAGAAACCACCGCTTCCGCCTAAGCCTAAGATTATCCCACCTCCGCCGCCGCCGCGCAACAAATCTTTAGAGCGCGGGAAGAAGCAGGCGTCTAGTCCGAACGGTACGAAACCAGCGGTCGAGACAAACATCAGCGCCTCGCCGGTAAATACGGCCCGGTTCAGTCCTACTCAACCAACACCACGCGGTGAAATCGAGAACACCGAAGCATTCAAAGACTGTGTGGCGGAAATCAATGCACAGCTTAGTGAAATCGCCATACGCAGGGGGGCCGTCAGCAGTGAATCGGACCTTGTATCGACAACACCCTCGGCATCGGAAGAGTCGACGCCGGTGATGTGGCGGAAAAATCCGGTGTTGAATAATAAGAGCAACCGTAAACCGCCCATCGTGGGCGGTATTCATCCCAATGCCACTCTGCCCTTCGCCCTGACCAAACCCAGTTCCAGCTATATGAAAACGAAATACCGCACCCGACCGCCATCTCGCGAGAAGATCCGTAAACGTCTGGCGGCGGTGCGAGCCCAGACAGAAGCCAAAGAAAACTATGTCAACGGTCACGAAGAAGACGATGACGATGAACCGACCGGACGCGGGGAGGCGGTGCGGGCTACCAGCTGTGGTCCCTCGGGCATTACGCGTGTGGACATCCAGTCCAATTTGCCGCATCGTCCCGGTCATAATCAGCAGGAAACCGACGGGGAGGTCCTGGAGCGCATCTGTGATATAGTCTCCGAGATCGACTGGACACTGGATTCCATCCGGCGGCCGGAGACGGTGACGCCCAGTTCCAGTCACATGCGCCACGCCCGTGAGCAGCTTGTGTCCGAAGCCCGGCGATTTGTTACGGCGTCCAAGAGTTTCGTTAAAAGCGCCACGGTGATGTTGAGCGGGGAAGTGGAGGCGCGAGCCGTGCCGCCGGATGAAACCTACGTGGAAGCGTCGCCCCAGCGCGGTCGCCCCACCTCGCTGACCGGAAACGGCGCGGTATCCTACCAGTACTCCATCTTCCACGAGAGTTTGGTGCGGTGTACGGATTTAATCGGCATGATGTTCCATTCCGCCACGCTCGTGGCACGGTATTCCTCCACGGTCGGGGAGGCGACCAAGTTGGTGGAGGGCATTCTGCTGGTGGCGGTGGCATTCCGCAGTACCGTACAAGCGGCATTCCGTCCAACAGGGGCAATCAATTACGCCGAACGCCAGCACAGTCTGCACGATCCGGCTGTCAAATTGCTAATGTCGGAAGCCACGAAATTGGCAGCTTCGCTGACGAGTCTAATGAAGACCATACGATCAATTGAAGGAAATCCCTGCAATGGCGCAGCGGCAGCCGGTGCAACGGCCGCGGCCGTGCAACCGCCGCCGCCGCAGCCGGGTCATGCGCTGGAACATGATCACCGTCATGATGAGCACATCAAATGAATACTCTAGTCAGTTTTCTGGATTTGTTTATAGATGGGTTTCTTTTTTGATTCTGTTGGAGAAGATTGATTTGATTTGGGTGGAATCGATATGCTGAGAGAGTGGGCATTCTTATGGCCTCTCATTGTGCACCAAAAATTAATAATGGAGTTCCTACTCTGGCTTCACTACTGAGAATTTTTTGATCGCCTTTCCATGCTTTGTTAACGTTGTACATAAAAGAAAACCGCATGAGTGGAAAATATTTATCCAGTCACAATGCGTGTAATTTGTTTTCGATCGATGGGATTAAAACGATGCTATAGAGGAAAATCGATTTTACTATACATGTCAAACATTCGCTCATCTTATGGTAATGGTATTAATACAAAGTACGTACAGTAACTACTTAAACCAACGACATGGACACGACACATACTGTTCATGTCCACGTCACATGAATCTTCTACCCAAATTGGCATATTTTTGTAGTTTTTGGCATACGATATGACTACAATTTCAGTTTTAAGAAAATGGAGTTATAAGCTCAGCGCGTTTATTGGAATTTCATCTCATCTTGTAAACCGACTTTACGAAAAGGGGAACAGAAAACAAAACGTTATTCGAAGCTGTCACTCCCGAAATCTGGAACCTGTAGTCAAAATAATTTGACACATATAGTCTAAGTAAACCATTCTTTATTCGGTTACAAATGGCACAAAAAACAAAGTAAAAATTTTATTTTTCCATTCGCACCCTACACAACTCACAGTTAGGCGCCGCGCCGGACCTTCTTGTTTTCCTGAATTATAAAATACACAATGTTTTCGGCAAGCAAATTCCAACCGGCTTTGCATAACCTTCAAGTATCAACGTATTCAACCAAAAGCTTATTCGGTACGCTTTTCTGGAGCATTCAGACTATCCAGGTAAGATAATTTAAAAATCGGCGTCAGCGCCACCAAGGCATCCTGCAAATATCGACTGCTATTGGCTGATTCGACAAAAATATCCGTAATTCGAGCAGTAATATCTTTCTGCATCTTGCTCGAATCCACTGCAGCGCCTTTTCCCAAAGCCAAACAGCCGGCAAACTGATTGGCTAATTTGTCCACTTCCCCGCATAAACTCTGCAAGATATCACGCACGATTTTCACGCGATGTACAAGTAGAATCCCATCCTGCTTCCCGCTGGAACCATTTAAGTAAATCATTTCTGTAATTTTCCTTATTTGTTCAAGAGACTTCGCTGTACATGCAGCGAAAGTGCGCACTGCAAAAAAAACATGACCGTTAGTCTTTACACAATATACTGCAGAAAGGATGAACAACAAAAAAATAAAAAGATAAGCCAAGAAAAAAATAAAATTAACATTTATGACTCAAAAGTCGACCTACCGGCGTTTTTGTGGACATTGCGGCACCAAAGGTCAACATCCGATTCGGGTGCTTTAGAGTGCTCATTGAGGAACTCTTCGGCTTTTGAATGGACAAAAATCAGTTTATGTGGTTCCGGAATACCAACACCCAGAGAATGGAATTCCTTCCGAATTGTCTCTACAAAATTTCTATCTCGAGGGGAATCTTCATTATCCAACAGAACGCAGAGCTTTTCGATTTCCAGCAGCCACTTTTCTGTTTCGAGATCCAAACGCGTTTGTAATCGCTGTTGCAGGCGCTCATCGCACTGCTGGCTCAGTATTTCCAGAGCCTCCCAAGATCCTGCTCCTTGTTCCTCATCGAAAAACTGCACAAATGAGACTTGATCGTCCCTTGAGACAGAGTGACTTTTACCAGCCGCGACAGATTTCGTACTTTTAGCATCCCGTAAAACCTGAAAAGCAAAAATAAAAAAACATATTCTCAACAAAACTCAAAGCGCAATTATAACTTTGGACTCATATCAAATCTATCTAAGCTGCACCTCAGAAAGATTCGGTTGATTGATCTTTCCTTTTAATAGAGCTTTAGTCTGTTGTAATCCCGGGTCCCGTTCTTTAATTACATCCATAGTTTTTCTTCCAATGCCCTCTAAAACATCCAGGCTACCGGAAACCAAGGTCAAACCTCCCGTCTGTACTTTCGCCGTTATTCCTGACAGCCAGCTCGATCCGGTATCCACGTCCGGAGATTGCGCAGCTTCGGTGGGACTTTTCTGCAAATAAAATCATTGTAAAACTGATCACACAGCTGTAAAATACATATTTTACAATTATGTCAGAACCAACAACGATAAAAAATACCGACGCACTTCTTCCACGCTACTTTTATCCATGGAGGCCAGTTCTTCTGGCTTCGGAGCGCCAAGTCCCTGTTCCACGGTTTCCAAAACAGCATTCAGTCCTTGTCCAACCTGACTGGATAACGTGGAGACCGATGCTGTGGCTGTCGATAACAACGACGTTCCCCATCCGCCCCATTTAGACAGCAACCCGCCACTAGTGCTTGCTTCCGGGGGTGCCGGAGGAGGAGACACCAGAGCTTTCAATGGACTGGACACGTCCTGAGCTCTCTCCTCTAAGATGGTTTTTGCTGTCTCCGATAGAACCGGTCTCGGATGCAAAACTGTAGGCGGCAGAGCAACCGGTATAAAATCCTCCTCGGTTAACTCCATATCATCCCATCCTTTCTCCCATTCATCTAATAAACTCTGATCAACAGTTTCTTTTCCTGCAGTCTTGATGGCGGCTTTCGCACTGCCGTTGTCTGTGCCGTTGGTACTCAGTTTATCCCATTCCTTCGTTTCACTGTTACTGTCTTTGTCGGACTGCACCGACGGGCTGTCCGGCGCGGAGATTATCAGTTTATCTAAATCTCGACATTCCTCATCCCATGGATTGTCCATGCATTCTTCCATAAATTCCGTTTCGGATATAGAGCGCAAGGTCAGAGGATTCGGAAAGCGGTCGGTATCACCCTTTTCGTTCTTCACAGGAATAGCAGGGGCACTCTTTTGAATCGCTGGAAGTTTTTCACTGGAAAGAGCAAGAAAAAGATCATACAGATTTCGAAATTCTGAACTAGAAAGCGATCAAAAATCGTCGTCCAGACTCGCCCTCAACAAACCGTGAATCACATATCAATTCACAATCAAAGCTGACCTTCTTTAAACTGTACGAGCAAAATCTATTTACATTAAGCTCAAATATCCATCAACTAGTGAAACAGCTATTCTAGCATTTTAAAACAGCCCTTTTCTTTCGAACAGCGAATGCTTAACAACAGCTCCAAAGTGATTTATATTACTCACTTTGATAGCTCACTAAAACAATTAGTTTTCACAAGCATTCTTCAACAAAGATAAACAGGAATATTCACCTTGTCAACGCAGATTCTGCATGCTGGGTGTCGCCTTGGTCTAGTCCAGCAGGAGCAGAGAAACTTCTGCAACATTAAAAATGAACATTAACTGGCGCCTCTATAAGCACGTCTAAAAATGTGGTATGTATTATGTAGAAAACAATTATGTAGTATATCTATCTGTATATATACTTATCAAAATACTATAATATCTATATGATGAATTCACTGCAGTTACACGCGATTTTTTTTCCGGATTCCGTTTCAAAATCCTCAAGCGTAAAAAACCGTCTATTCTCTCACAACAAATCGACGAACACAGACCAGATTCACTGTGACGCTAACAAAAAAGCTTCGTCATCAGCATGTTTGCGCTAACGATGAGTTGACGACCGTCGACCATAAACAACCACATACCAACAAACGGACGTACAACACATTACCTTTCTTCACTGCGCACGAGCCCCGGTAAATCAGTTTTTAAGAATTCCGTTTCTGAACTAGAGCTAGGAAGTGATTCAGCTGGCTCCTGGGAATCTGGCTCATTGCCCGGGATAACAGTATTCCTGATTTCTTCGTTCTGCGCTTCGATTTCCGAATCCACTTCTTCGTCCCGCGTCCAAACATCTTCAGCGCCTTCTTCCACGCTGTGAAAGCTGTCTTCTGAATCTGACATTTTTCAGAGATGCGATAAGTCGATGACTGAGAGGGCTGACTAGTCCAAGGAAAATCTTTAGGAAACCAATTCCAGCATTTCGGACAGTGCTTTGAAAGACGTCCTAGTATGACTCTACGCGGAATTTACCACGTCGACAGGACGTCAGTGTTGCTGATGCCAGTACAGCAGTGCACCACTATGTTATTCTCATTGTAGATCGCATCAGATAATCTTACACAAAGGGCTACAGTTACTGATTAGTGGCTTTTCAAAACATCTCAGCAGATCACGTTTAATCTCCACAAAATCTTTCATACAATCACGATCACATCCTTACGATTAGAAACTTAGCCAAAAACGATTTAAAACAACTCTAAAAGGAAAGTTGATACAGAGTGAGAGATATATAAATTAGAGCATCTTATGGGAAAACACTCAAAGCAGCGTGACGCTGATATTAACGTAATCGAACCCTGGAGCGGTTTACCGCAAGTTAGTTTTAAGAGAACGAACAAAGTACGATATTCAGCAGATTCCTGGCGGAAATACCAGTCTGATCAGCACTAGTTAACTGTTAAATTGTTTGAATTGCTTCGTACCATCGGCAACAAAAACTGATTATGACAGATATCGTCCCACCATGCATAGACAGATATCATCCCACCATGCATAACTGCATTTCGCGAAGAAATGATGTATTGAATCCCCAATTTCGCACACAAAAATATTTATTTTTACGACCAGAATTGTATTTGAAAAAACAAAGGCTGCTGCCTATTTTCCATCGTGCTAACACAATCATAATTCAAAAAAACCTGCTGCTAGTCGGCTAGCAATCGCAGGGTCGATGTTCCAATCGATTAAATGTCCGACAACAATTAAAAATTACACAAAATTACTGTACGTTTCTCAGTAACAGACGTAAAAAAGTCACTGTACAAATAAGTCTGTAGAGTTCACACTATCCTTCCAGACATTTCAGTCGCTGAGCGGGAATGAAAGAAAAAACACAGGGAACAGAGGTCAATTTTCATTAAGTCGGCCTGACAGTGAGCCCTTAGCTGAACAGCACCGTATCAGGATCCAAGTGATCCATTTCTTTGATCTAGAAAACAAAATGGAAGCCACGTAATAAATAAAATTCAAAAAATTTCATTATACAAAAGCAATCTTACATGCTTGAGAACATCTTTCTTCGTAATAATTCCCAGCAAGCGCCTAAATAGCAAAACACTGAACCACAGCAACAATACCCATCGAATGTTACTGCCCAATTTACTTACCCCTTGTGCGTCACCAAGGTCTGGCGCAATCCCATTTTCCTGAACAGATCTATTACAGTCTCCATGGGGGTTTGATCAATAATTGTTATGGGAGCCTATAAAGCCGAAAACTCTTCAGCCTAAAGCTTGGAGTATTTTTTTTAGTATAAAGCCACTCGCGTACATAGTCCACGATATTTGTCAAAACCAGCGGCTTTGGACCGATGTAATCACTGGCAATCGTATGTTCTACGAAATACACTTTGGAGCTGGAAACGATGCCAGTGTTTGAATGGCGAACATTTTCTGCAACACAGATAAGTTTTCATCTCAAGTGAAAAAAGCGCAATCTAAAGAGAAGCATCTACCTAGAGCGATCTGCAGCTCTTTTCGTAACACGAAGCCAACCAAATACTGGTTTTCCCGCGAAACCACAATGGGAAACCCATTGGGACCGCTTTGCACTACATGCTCCAGTTCTTCGACTGTCATGGAATCCTGTGGCAGCGCCCATAGTGGATCCTTTTCAGTTGGTCGTGGTCGCATCACGTCTGCCGCCACTGTCGTGTGATGGAATTCCACTTTATTATCCAAAAACGGATATCCATTCATGTTAATAAGCACCTCATAACTAAGAACAAATCGTCATTAAGCTGTCATACAGATAATAAATAATCTTTTAGTGATAAACCGTACATTCCCTCTTTCATAAGGATATCGCCGACCCATTTAGACGTCATAACAGCCGCCATTAAAGGGACAATGTACTGCAATCCGCCAGTCACCTCCACCATAATAACCACCATGGATATGGTGATACGTGTTACACCACCCATCATAGCCGCCGCTCCAATCACGGCATATAATCCCGGGGTAACGCAGCGCGTAGAGGTGCCACACGACGCGACGAATAATGCCGATTCGGCATAAGTCCTAAGTGACAAGCGGCGATTAATCCACTGGATAGATACCATGGATAAAAGAAGGCCCAACAGAATCTTACATGCTCAGCTGCTCCATACCCACTCCCAGCATCCGTCCTACAATGGCACCGACAACCATGTTCGGGATGAAAATTCCGGCCGGGATCTGTTGGAACCATACCAGCTCACATTTTGTTCGTGCTGAGCAGAAGATTTTACATGAACATACCTTCATTCCGATTGACATGATGCTCAAAACAAATTTCACAACGAAAGCCAAAAACAGCTTCCACATCGCGTTCGTCACTCCGGAATTCGGAGCCGCCTTTTCAAAGTCAGCCGTGACTGACACGTAAGTGCGATTGTAGTCACTTTAAAAGATATCATAATCGTTTTCTTCTTCACCAAAGCACGCGGATTACGCAAGCATATTGATCAACAACAGCGACATACCAAAGTTCAGAGACGTCTGCCGGGCCACAGTCATGGAAGAGTCGCGCGATGAGAGCACTGTTATCTTCTCTCGTGTAAGGATTAGGAAAGCTCAGTACGGCCGTCAAAAAACCCATGGCTACGACTTCCAAAATGGGATACTGTCCCAAGCGAGTAGTTTTGCGCATTTTGGAGCACCATGCGCTTGCTTTGATAAACAAAACCCCAAAAATTCCCTACACAGAGGTTTATTATAGAAGCACTTGCAGCACATATTAACATGCCAAATTCATACTTACCCCAAAAACTCCCAGAAAAATAAAGGGAATCAGCTCAAAGAAAAACCATGGATTACGAACTTCCACATAAAACATTGTCAAATGGTCATTGCCGAAGGGATTAATGCTTCTCACAACGAATGCAGCAACAAGAGCACAGAAGAAAGAGCGGTATAAAGTCTTCAGGGGGAAATAATAGCTAATCTAAAACACCGCAGGGGTCCAAGTGTCCGTTAATAATTAAAATTTCGTACCGTTAATAAGTAAATTGCGTACCTCTTCCAAACTAAACAAAACACCGGCAATGGGCGCACCAAAAGCTACAGAAATGCCCGCAGCAGCAGCGGCGGAATGGATCTAATAAAATGCAAAATGTAAATACGAAAAGTCAAAAGATTCAACACCGCAACCTGTAACCAACCTCTCGCTTTTTTGCTTCATTTTTCCGTACTTGGGAAATAAATATGCCAAAATATTTCCACAACACGCAGCAATATGGATCATCGGGCCCTCCTTGCCCACATTCACTCCGGACGAAACGATAAAAATAAGGGAAATAATTTTAATAATCAGCGTCCATTTGCCAAGATATCCACGAATAATAAATCCACTGAGTATTGTCTTAATCTCCGGAATCCCAGATCCGCTAGCATAAGGGGCGTACACGCGCACCAGCGTGGCGGCTAACCAAGCGAAAATCACAGCCCACAAAATATACATGAAGTACTGGATAACATAGGCTCCAGCATCTTCCGGAATATGGCCCAGCAAGTTAGACCAGGTTCTCCACTAGAAAAATTATCGTCATAAAATTTAAAAAGGTACTTAAAACAAAATCCAGGTGGCACGTATTATTTGCCTTGACCTAATTTCAACTTACATGACTATTGTACGATCAGGATTACGGACACTTCATATTTTAAAAGTTATCATAACCAATATATGTTCTGTAGTGTATGTCGAATTTACAAAAAAATTAACTGGACAAAGTATTCACTAAAAAAATTACGAATAACCATACTGATAGAACGATTTTACCTCTGTGCAGTTAAAATCACCATCAAAGCTTAATTCGTTGGACTGCCAACAACACTGTTCCCTGTTATACCAAAATCCCACAGAGCATATTCCACTCCGTAAATCAATTAGCCACGCCGTCCCTATATCCAGCATGGATGTGCACAAACCTAATCGAGAATAAACATTTCCCGTCACACTTCCGTGAAATAAACCGTGCTGAAATAGGACGCACCACAAAACAATCCCACAAGAAAGACACACAGCCATGCTGATCCAGCATCCATTCCACTACGCAGGTAGTCCAGAATGGACTTCTTCTTGACTTTATTGAACTGCCGATGACGCTGACGGTCCATGGCATTATCACGCAGCCAGTCGATGGTGTGGAAATCATCATACTTTGCAAACACAGTCGGGCCGCTTCTCGCCCCTGTCATGTTCACAATTTTCTCGAAATGCAATTTTTAAATAACGCCATAATTTATAAAAAGAAATGTTTTTTAGATTTAACTCACCGGATGTGACTGCCATGTTTGGCAGCGTCGTGTAGGAATAGTTATCGATAGACGGAACGGGCATATCGTGATCCCTTCGATCGGTGTGCTCCGTATCGATGGTCATCTCCACGTCGAAAGGATTGAAATTCACGGCGCCCTGGGCATCGACCCGACGCGAATCCAGTTCCCCCAGATCCATTGACACCCAGTTGGTGTGCGAACGGTCGGCGTCCATGGTGGCAATGGTATCAGCAGCCACCGAAGCCAATGATCACGAGATCATTCAACAATCGGAATTTCTGATCCAGACTCTGTTAAACGACGCCAGAAACAGCTTTCGCAATAGCGAAAAACACATCCACTAAAATGACACGGATCAGCATCCGCGTAAACCTCGTCTGTCCTTTGTAAACCCCGTGATGCGATAAGATACTGGACCGAAATTCGTGCAGATCAAAAGTTTAACCATGCGATCCTTTAAATGGGAGGCATTTAAAATACCGCCATTTTAATGCTAACTTTGTAAGTTTCAAAGAAAAGTAGGTTAAAAAGACGCTATCATGACGTAGTAACGCATAATCAAACCATATAAATCAAAATACGGAAAGAAAATACAAAACTGGCCTAATAATCCTTAACACGAAACAGACTAGAAGCATGTACACGAAACTAAGGCCTTGTCCCGAATTCGAAGCGAATCTCGCTATGGTACGGTTGCTCAACCGCACGAGGTGGCTATATGTGGCCAAGCCATCTCGCGAAAACAGTTGCTGTATCGAACCGAGATTCGCTTCGAATTCGGGACGAGCCCTAACAATAAATCTAGTTCCTGCAGGCAGAAATTTAGAGGATACAACAAGGCTAAACAAGCCATCTGCTCGAAAACAGCTTGTCATGCCCCTCGTGGGATCGTTCTACATTCAGGCAAAACTCGGAGTCGCTTCCTGGGGCGGCCAACAAATAATTATAAAACGCAGGGTGCATACGCTGATACGGTTTAACGTACTTATGCATTGTACAAAAATTTGTTGAAATCCTTCACAAAAGTGACTCGTAAATTTAATATTTTTTCATCTAATTTATTGTTTGCTCTTTTAGTAGAAGTAGTCTCTTACATTATTCGTATGGAGCTGATTTCATTGATTTAAGGCTTACGAATAAGCGCTAAAACGTTATGTACAGTAATTCGTGTTTAAATATCCTAATGTTTTCAGTGTATTAGTAACGAAGAACAAGCACACAACAGTATAGAAAAAAAATACCGAAGCCGCGATATTAATAAAACAAGAAAATCTGGTAAAAAGTGCAAAAAGGGTCACATGGAAAAGCTATTACGAAACTTAAGAATTAACAGGGTCCAAGTACGATGAGTATCGATGTCGACTCCAGAAGAATTTTTAAAAGAGTAACAGGTTAACCTCAAGGATCTCAGATCTTTAACCGCACAATTACAGGACAGGTCTATTGCGCCAGTGGCAAACCCTTGCCATAGAAGTCCAGCTTGCGTTTCGCGTTTTCTTTCATTTTCACTTCCTGCGGAGTAAGCTTGGTCGTCTTGCTGTATTTAATCTCGGACAACTTCACCGTGGAATTCTACACCAAAGACATTTTTTAAATGTTATCAATGCTAAACTGAAAACTAAGTAGGTATATTTAGTTCAAAAAGTCTAACCTTAAGGCTGAAATGGCTAAATTTCGCCCATGCTTCAACAACCGCAGCAGCTCCTCTCTGTTCGATCTTGTCTTCAGATCGGTAAAGGAACAGGATTTCCGTTTCAGAAAAAGTTGTTGGCAAAAGTTTGGATACCTGTGTGGACCCAAGCCTTTAATCAGTGCCAAGTAACAACAGTACAACCAGCTGATTTAATTCCAACACGATTTGCATTCAAGTTTAGCCGGTAACTGATAGTGTTAATGTCCGCAGCACACTCATACCTCGTTGCTGCTGATTGTTTTAGGATAATTCAGCTTCTTCTTTTCGAAAAACAACACATGATCCAGCGGATTTTCATCTTTTTTCCCGTAATCGAATTCGTTCTTTAAAATGATCACATTCTTCCTGAACCTTTCCGCAGAGATGAAATTTGCATCTGGCATTTTTACTAACATAGCGGTTAGTTCTTCCAAGATTGTGTCCTGCACGATATTACGCAGTCAATAATGCTTTGCATTTATTACCATAGAATAAGGAAAGCTGCAAGAAGCCAAAACCCGCTTCAAGAAAAACTTACAATGGTCTGATCTATCGATTCCCTGGGTTCGGTACGACCAATACAGCAGTACAATTTTCTTTCATCGATTCGCTTCCACAGGGCCTTAGCTTCCTCCATTTCCAAGCTATCGTCGTTCTTTATCCAGGTGCGGATGCTTCCGTCGTCCAGTCGTGCATATGCAGCCATATCCTTGAACGCTTCCGACAGCTTGTAGAAAGTTCCATTCAAGCCCTTTAATCGTAAATGCCCATCGGCTGCCTTCATGACGTCAACGATCATCTCGTCCAGAATCAGGGACACGCGATGCCGGTATACCTTCTTGTGCATTCGGTATCGCGCATTGAACATGTCGTAGAAGTTGCCCACTTCCTGAAAAAAATCAATGTCAACATGGGAATGGCCTTCCATAATACCTTTTGCCGAAACAGTCGCACCTATACAGTGTGTGTCAAACGGGTGAAATTCATATCACTGCAGCTAATCTTAAACCTAAGCACTTCATACCTTGTCGCGAAACATGATACAACGACGCCGGTCGTTACCAGTGCCAGTAAATGCAACCCGGGAATGTGTAATGAAGCGCTGATGGTCGAATGAACCTCCCTCGTCAACCTGGTAGCCGTCTCTGGCTAAGTAATCCCACTTATCCACATCGATTCCATTTATCTTGTTCGACACGATCTTCAACAGCAAAAAAAAACTATAATATATATAAAAAGACTAAAATAAGACGAAAAAATTTGACTGTTCCAAGACAAAAGCTCAAGCTTGAATAAGTACTGTGAGTGGGAACTAACCTCGTATAGGAAATGGCGTTTCTTTGGGCGGGCGGTCACTTCTTGGCATCCGTTGAGAGGCCCAAATATAAGTTCCTTGATAAAACGGATATCTTCATCTCCCAATCCGAAAGCCTTAATTGTCGGCAGTAGATCTTTTTTCGTTATGAGGTAATCGATCATGTCCAATGACGCTTGTTCATGCTGATAAACGAAAACAAAATAATCACATTCCTCACGCGTTCCGGACAGAAATAATCAACAGGCTGATAATTTAACTAATAATTGTTTTAAGTAAACATTACGGCAATTTAGAACTATCGCTCACCGTCCATTGTGCAGTTGGATTAGCTGCTCTCATGAACTTTTCAAAGGTGTGGCTGAACGGACCATGACCTGCGAAACGTGAAGGAATTAAAATGCGATCGGAAAATGACAGTGTGAGCCTTAAGGTATAATTCTGCGAGGTAAGTAGTTAAAAAGCTCTCGGGTGTTGTGGTTCCAGGCACGACAGTCGGCAACAATCTACAGTTAAAAGCGAACAGCTAAAAGAAGACTACATTCACGTACCAATGTCATGCAAGAGGCCTGCTAGCATAACACAAAGAATTTCACTTCGCGATATCTCCAGTTCCGGATGCTTTCGATCCAAAGCTTGAACAAACTGGCCAGCCAAATGGGACACACTACAAACAAAAACGCATAAGAACAAATATCCATACAAAATTTTGGTCGCGGTTGTGGACCTTCTCCTTAAAATGCAGTAAGCAAAAAAATATGAATTAGCTCGCGTTTACTGGCGTCAGGTATAATGCAGCTGCGCTACTAGCATTTATACAGAAAAAATTCGGAAAATATTCTTTATCAGTTTACGTACCCGATAGAATGTTCAAAGCGCTTATGATTGGCTGTTGGAAACAAGAGAGATGTCATCCCAAGGGCCTTTATTTCGCGAAGGCGTTGGAACTCTTCGGTGTCAATAAATTTGATCAACAGCGGATGCACTGGAAACAGCTTGTTGTATTAAGGTCATCAGGAGTGTGCGGAAACCGATTCGCACCGTAATTACAGTAAGCACGGCAACAAAAGGTAAGCAACACTTACGGGAAATACTTCCATGGATAACATCATTCAGAACCTGTGTCAAATCGATTCGTGTAAACGGCGTTTTCTATTACTTATATAACTTAGGCGAATTTTGACATAGAATTTAAGCACCACCTTGCCATATATTTCACATTCGTCATCTATGGATAAAAACGGCACTTCTCCTTTGCCGACCATATCCAGATAGTCCGATAATTCACTTGGAAGATCGATAGGCATTTCTGGTGAAAGGTCGTCAAGATCGTCAGAATCGGTCTTCAGTAATTTGTCCAAATTGTTCGAATCTAGCAGGAAAAAAGGTGGATTATCAAGCAGAACCCGGCATGCCACTACGCATTTCGGTTTATCCCACTGCCAAAACACGCATTGCGAAAGATACAGTAATACGAAAATAGCTTTACCTTGCGATAACTGCCCACGGAAGCATAAAATTTTAAATACAGATTACAGATAAAAACATCAGTAAGTAACAACACCCAGCAATAACAATGCAATTCAGGTTTAAAAGCAAAATTGCAAGACGTACACTAGGCATCACTTCTCTACGGGTAGATAACGACGAGGCTAATCATTAATTTGGTTTGCGAATCAGACTGGCAAGATAGAAATGAGTAACGAACAACCTCCTCCAAAGTTTAGCTACATTTACAGTTAGCTACATCCTAATGCTGCTGTGATCCGAGGGATCACACCGGCTTGACCACCCGCAGTGGTACAACAACTGGACAACATATAAATCAGGCGCGGCAGCAATAAAACGGTGCCAGACTGCCGAGATCTATTACACAAAGCAAAAGCCGCTAGCACGTTCTTAATCGTGAACCGCGCATGCCTTTAATAAATAAATTAGACTGTCCCCGCGAAATTTGGCAAATCGTTTCCACTAGCGCCATGTATGTACGAGTATCACATTAATTTTCCGCACTTTACGAAATCTGTATTTCCCATCAAACCATAGCGGCGGGCAAGCAAATACCTCCACCACCTTGCCACCGCTGTTTGTTCACTGTATGGTCAGACCTTTTCGCGATCCTCTGCTCTTTTCTCCAAATCCCCTCTACCCGCGGGATTCTTTTAAAACTCTTTCGATGGAAAGATTGTAGTAATAAATCCCGGAAAACGAATTCAAATGCAAGAAATGACCTTTCGGCGCTGTATTTCAGTCAACGATGCCCTGACGGTAACATGTAAAAGCTGCATCGTGTTATCGGCATATTTTCATGATTTTAAAACTTAATAATGACAGGATTCAAATATTTATGCAAAATCGTAATTACATACTGTAATAACAGTAAGCAGCATTCCGCATGTTATGCATATTACGCACGTGCATGAATGATCACTCATTATCTTTATGACTGAATGAATGAATAGCGGATCTTTTGCAATCTTCGACAAAACATTTTCGCCTCAGCGTATCTAGAAAAAATTTCCACAGGTCGTACTCGTAACTCAAGGGGAATCGTGGTGTGTACGGGGAAGACCCGAGCGCAGCAGCTGAGTTATTTCAGCTCATTCTAATTTGGCTTGCTATTAAGTAATTTTTTATTCGGGTTTTGTAGGTACTCGTACCATAACCTAGCAACATTTAATGCCCGTTTCAGTAACGTATTATTGCAGAATTAACTTTCCTTTAATACCTGGCCTAATGGTAAGCAACTAAATATGCGAAACCAGCATTCATTTTTGTGTTTTTGCGAAAACCGCAATTATTAATAATTATTAAGAATTAAATAATTACAGATAATCGACCGAAGCGAAGGTCGATTATCTATATTTAAACTTCACGATTATAGTAAAAATAACAAGACCAATTTGCAAATTAACAATTACTAACTAACAGGTCATACTAATTTATTAGTAAGGCCGAAAATGTCGCGCTAGCTACGCCACGCGCAGAAGATAAAGCATTTAGGTGCACAATTGCGCGAAACTCACAAAAACTACTCGAATTAATATTAATTAGAACGCAAGTTGCCGCTCATCCAAGTTCATCATCGACCAACCATCGCCAACCATCTGTCCATGCTTGGTCGCCATTGCTTTAATCGCATTGCTTGCTTCTCATAAGTCAGCATGAGAAGTCAGTCGCTTAGTGCTTGTACACGGTGCGTTAGAAAAGTGGAAATCTCAAGCGCTCTCTATTAACTAACATGTAAGAAACAACAATCCAAATTTAAACGACAGCAGCGTACCTGTTTTCCACAGTTCAGCAGCAGTGCCAGATTCCATTTTCAAGAGCTTTGGTTCTTGATAAGTCCACAGTCCACTGCCCAGTTACTAACATATAACAAGAAGCAACCCGTGATACCAACACGCAGCAAAATGAGCAAATTGCACTTAATATCATTTTCATATTCTCACTTTATTTTGTATATCATTTTCATATCATATCATTTTCATTTTCTCACTTTATTTTGTATTGACTTACAATTCCAGTCAGCAGTTTAAATGAATCACTGTATAAGAGTACATAGCTCACAAGTCAGTATCAAGGGTTATTATAAGGCCATCAGTTTGTCCAAATCTTACTCGTAGCACTTATGTGCAGTAGTTCCCGACTTCCAGTCACTGCTTGAATTAAGCAATCATAACCAGACTGATAATCTCATAACAGATGATTGATTTTAAAATGAGAGCTTATGGAAGAAGAGAAGCTCCAAATTTCCACTCAAAAAGTCCCAAATACGAATAAATAAGTCACCAGTAAGCAAACAGTTTCCAAGCTTTTTTTATCATAGAACATTGGTGTCCCAACTCCCAGTTCCACGCTTCCAGTCGTTCCACAAGCAGTCCAAACTGCAGAGTACAAACCCAGGAGATCTGCTATCGCTGCAAGCTTGCAGACTTAAGTAACAGCAGGCTCAAACCATAAAAAGATAATATGGTTCTGAACTTCTGCACCTTTATAACTTCTACTTTAGCTCTTCAAGAAAACTGATATTCATAATGAGAAACTGGAAAGAACTGGAAGATTTGTTTGTTTTATAATGTGGTAGACTGTAGAGTCTTTTATTGCTAGACAGGCGGGAGAGCAGAAAAAGCAGACAACTGCCCCCGTGTGCCGTCATATTTGGAGAAAAAAGTTTTTCGGACGACCGCACGCACCCGTAGTCACGTAAAGAAGTATTAAAGTTGAAAAGTTTCTTATAGTTTTACTTTTCTTCGTCAAAATTTGGTGACTAGCTAGTCTAGCACTTTTTCCTCGTTGGTTCTCTCAAAATCAGTTTTTCTTTGCTCTGTCCAGTTGATATTCCCAGGAACTAGGTTCTGCGTGACTTACAGCAGACACATAAGACTACTGTCAGACTAAACCGGAAACTTACGCTTTTTAGTTTTCAGTGCCCTGAATCAGTGGAGCGCAGTTGCTGTGAGGATTTTAAAAAAATGGAATTCGAACTCCTGAACGCAGAATTACAAAAAATCGGACACTCTTCAAACCGTTTCTCCGATTATTACACTCAGTCGCGTCGATCCGCAGAAACACAGGAAGATAGACGAAGAGCTGTGCTCCGAGATCTCCGTTTACAGTAAGTGAAACTCTGTAAGTACTCGTTATATTAGCGAAAGTTGAATGAAGCTGTAGAATTGAAAAAAAACGCCTCTAAATATGGAAACATGGGATGCATCCTTGAAATCGAAATCCTGATTGTCAGTCCAGGCGTGGAGATTGTGGAGTGTGTATTTACTGTATTAGCATATTATTTTAAAGACTAATTTATAATTAATTTAAAGTCACATAGGTAGTGGTAATGAACTGCGCTTAGCCGAATCGCAGATTACGGTAAATTTTGCGTTACTAATTTTAGGAAACGTGACGCTCTCCTGGTAAGCAGATACAAAAACATTTTCGCGGATGTAATTTCTGATAACGAGGGCGCTGCAGATCATAGAGATTATGCTACAAAAACAGAAGAGGAAACAAACGAGATTCAGGCAGAACATGGTCAGAGTTCCAGTGCAGGGCACGAAGCTGAGGATTACTCGCCCAACAAATGTCCGAAACGTCGAACGGAAGATAAGGCTCCTCGTTTAATGCTGTCGGAGTGGCTGATCGAAGTGCCGGCGGATTTTGAAGATAGCTGGCTTATGACTATATGTCCGGAAGGAAAGCGCTGTGCAGTCGTGGCAAACAAGGTAGAAAATTATCGTAGTAATGATGCTGCCATTTTACTTTTTCCGTTTGTCTTTTCCTTAGTGCTGCGTTGTGTCGATCTGTATTAGTTAAGCATGATTTCTGTCCTCAGTCCTCTTTTCTCCATCCACATGGATGTCTGAAAAATTTGTTTTTGTCTGTTTGTTTAAGGGTCGTACTGTAATTTATTCCCGACCTGGAAAATTCCTTATGGACGGAACATCCGATTTGCCAGGTGGTAGCCCCCGAAACCCCAATAAGCAGTGTTACAGCGTTCTCGACTGCATTTTAAATAGTAAAGATGGACAGTTATACGTGCTGGATGTGCTTTTTTGGAATGGATCCTCATTAGTGGATCAGTCGGTAAATATTTATATTTTGTTGTGCTTGCAATTGTTTTATGAAACGGCTCCTGCTGACCGATTGCATTTACGCATCTTAAAAGTCTAAGTATTTGTGATTTCGGTTTATCTCAGAGTTCTGCTTCTAGGCTGAATTTCGATTGTTTTGGTTGAAAAGCCGTCTCGGCGAACTGGACCACACCACACTCATATCAGAAAACGAAGAAGTAAGACAGGACCTTACTTCAGCATCATGCAGCTAGCTTATAAAATTGCATTCTAATTGTAGTTGCCTTTTTCTTGCCTTGAATATGTGCCATGTGACAAAACAAACATGGAAGCTCATTTGCAAAGGAGCCCGAGCAGCTTTACAGTGGATGGAATGATGTTTTGTCATAAGGATGGCTGCTATTTTCCTGGGACAACTCCGTTGGTGTGTTGGTTGAAGCCGTTTATGATTCCGGAGATACTTGGTATCCCTGTTCCTGACGTCATGATGCAGGGCATGCCAGAAGGGTATAGGAATTTGTCGGAGCATCTGCTAGCATTGAATGAGAAAAATATTAGAGCGAAAGACATTCAACGATCGAAACGACGAAGTTCAAAGCCAGGCAAACGTTGATGTTCACAGGACGTCATATGTTGAGTTTAATTCAGCGATTTTGTCTTTCGTGCCCTGTATAATTAATTGCGGATTAAATTTTCAATTTATTCTATGAGATTCCTATCCGCCTACGTTTATTGTTGAATTCGACTTGTTATACTATTTAAGCCAGATCTTCCTTCAAATCAGATGACCCTTGGAATTTTTTGTACCGTAGAATGGTCCTTATTGTGTTTGTACAGTCAGTGCGCTGTGTGATGAGAATTTTCTTTTTCGTAGATTGGTAATGTGATATAAATTCGTGATAGCAATTGTAAACAGCCGAAAAACTGACGCGTGATGCAGTGAAAGTACCTTCCTTTTTGTGACTTCTGTCAGTTGCATACGGGTAAAGGGAAGTGCGTATTTGTCATCTCACCAGGCAGTTAGCACTTAGCTCTCGTTCGCACTTGCAAAAGTCATCAGTATTCCATATGAATGGAACGCTCGAGCCCAAATAACACAATTCCTTAAGGTAGATAGCTAATTTACCATTCGCCTATAAATATTCATAACCATAAAATTTTAGAAGCGAATCACACCAGGAAAGAAGAAACGTCAAAAGGGTGCACACTTGCACAGTTCACCAGACTGCACAACAGTTTTTTTGCTGTAATAAATATAGAACACCAGCACTGTTAGGACGAGCTCGCGCCGCCTGGCCTGCATCGCGAAAAATCAATGGGTGCTCCAATTGCACTGGAAATTTCAGATGAGAGAAGGTCATAAAGGGACATCCCATCGTGAAGATAAATCCAGGTTCCTCGAGCATAGTCATAGCGCTTTGGGCCACTACAAAATGCAAACGAGGATAGCGCGCTATTAACCACGAAATGACAATTTGAATAATATGGTATGGACAGAAATAATCAGCATTTCGTTGCTTTTACAGCTTTCTCCCTTAGTGTTTACTTATTACAGCGTGACCAGAAATCCTTGCGCTGCCGATCATCGGCAGCGGTATTGCCTTTGTTATAAGGTAACTACTACGCGTTTCTCGAAGCACTACAGTACTTGTACGCTATTAAAGTACAATACTGTACTGCATGAGTGTGTTGTACACACTGTATCCCACTACAAGCAGTGTTTCAAACACTGAAACATACCGTAATTCAAAATTTCAAACACTACATTTCTTAAGATGAGAAACATTTTAGAGAGCAGTTAATTTATGAATTATTTTATTTCGATTAATACGTACATTGTGCTTACTACTAAACAGGATATATCTATATTAAGTACCTTAAGCATTTTCTTAATATGAACACATATTATAGCCTACAGATAACATACCGGATTAATTATAACATATTTTTTTGCTTTTTTTATTTCCTTCACCTCAAGGGAGACGATAACCAAATCTGTCGATTAGGGCTCTGTTTATTTATAACGTAAGTCTCGCCTGGCTGAATCTTGACTGTCAGGACACCATTCTGCAAATCGAGAACATCCTGATTACCACATCAAAACAAAAAAAATAAAATCGTTAAAATACCGCTAGTGTCACATCGTATTCCGGATGGCACTGCTGCGTATCGCCTATTTCTTCAAAGAGTGCAGTAAGTTCATCCAAGCTATGGTCCGCGATTTCGTTGTACATTTTTTCGGTCATCTCAGTTCTGTTCGCAGAAATGTGTTTTGGAAGCTGGGTTCAATGCACGACACTCAGAGTATTGTAAGTATTGTTAAAAGAAAAAATGTGAACCATTAACTATAACTTACGAGCCCGATCCAGGTGTTTTAGGAGCTCCAGTGAAGCTCGAGAACAGCGAACCGGAGGATTTTCCGCTTCTCGAAAAACAGTTTACCAGAGATCCATGGCTACAAAATCGAGCGACGGCGTGGGCAGAGAAAATGTACCATCCAGTATTTCCAGGCACGAAGGTCTTCCAGTAGTGAATAAACAATTCGTTGTGGGAGTGGTATAGGTAGTACCGTCTCTGGATTATAATTAGCTTTCGCAAACTAGTGAGCATCGTACAACAATAGCGAATCTAACAACGAAATATCAAATCACTGCCACGGCGGACTTTATCTCGACACGCTACGACTTAAAGCGATTAGCAATAGAAATCCACAAAACTTCCATGCAGCTGGATGCAAGTACTGGATACGAAAGATAAAAAGACAAAAAAATTCGAAGTATTATCAAAAACCGAAAAAGGTTCGCAGGTAAAATACAGGACGGCTACAGGCTACAGCTGATCGCGAGATACTCGTAGAACCAACCACAACGAGGGGCAGTTCCTTACTGTGCAGTAAAGTAATTGAATTAAGCGAAAAATCAATACTCGTACTTAATTAATAAAACTGCACCGCAAAATTAGTACACACTTCCTATGAAGGATGAAGCCAGAAAATACGATCACAATAATGATTTTGTGTAAAAGTTAGTTTTGCGTTATTTTGAGCAAGCATTGAAACCCTGAACCGTACACCTTTCTGCAGGCCAAGCTTACTGAGTTCCAGATCCTGGCGAGAAAGTGACGAAGTACAGTCTGTAGTTATTTTTTTCTATGTGAGTCGGAATGTGACCATTGAATTCTGCAACTGACTGCTAATACAAAATTATCGTGGTTTCTTGTATTAAACTTCGAAATTTAATCTTCTGTATGCGTTTCGATTAAACTTTGCCGGCAGATATATCTCAAAGGTAAAGGACGTGTTTTTGCTCCTTCCAGCTTTTGCCGGTAAGAGCGCGGAAAATTAACAAGTAAGGCGAACGTACGAAATCCGCTTTGACCTTTGTATCCTGGGCATAAAAAGAACATAGGTAATTACTTTATCGTAACTATAGCTGAGAAAACAGCGGTTCGACGATGATTAAGTATCGTTTACATACGAAGCGTAAAAGAAAATCAGATTAGACATCAGTATCAAATTTTAATTGGTTTATTTATGTAAGTTATAAGACATTTCTTATGTGATGACGTTCAACTTGCTTAAATAATGGCGGTATACGGTACTTCGGAAATTAATGAATTACGATATAATATATTTAGCCATTTAGGGATTGCACGGGTTGGGCTGCTTGCGGGATCGTACATGCTGGAATTATATAACGCGATAGCAGGCTAAAAAATGCAGAAAACAGGATGCATGGATTATGGAATATGCATAAACCAGTTGAATCTCAGCTATGAATTAATGAAAAACAAAATAAATTAGTGAATGTTGCGGAATCAACTAGTCACACACAGCAACGATGTGTATTTGATATTGTTTTTTAATAATACTGTTTTCGCCCTTGTTGGGGATTACTGTAAACACAGCACCGAAATACAATTAAGTATTGTGTGCACCGTATAACAACCTGGACGTAACGCTCACACCATAATGCTCACACTATAATGCAGATGTCAATAAAAACGCAGTTTTTCTTTTCGTGGTTGGTTCTTATGTCATCGTTTTACTTATTTATTCTTTCTTCGCTGCCATGAGTCACAACTTGAGAAAATATAGCCAATCTCAGCTAAGTTGCAATTAAACATTTTATATAAGCCTACACAGATAATTGCATATCGTCCAAGAAATCTCGTGTGTTGGGTGGACTACAAACATACAATAATCAGTATTGTTATTAACTATTATTTTACTGCACACTTACCGTCATTACGCTTGCTCGATAAAACTGGAACTGCGAATTGCAGGCACCACATCCCCCAAATGGGTTTTACAACGAGTTTACAGCTCCTAAAGTTACAACGGATCACTTCATATTTCTATTGAAAATGATATTTTCCCAAATGTTTCAATGTTTCAATATTATGTTTCAAGTCTGACGTTCGTGCAACAATAAAAAGGCTACATTGTTCCCTGTTAATTTATGGATTCTTCATCTAGATCATCTGAACGCTAAGCGTTAATGTTAAATCTTTTGTGAAACATTCTGTATAAAGTTACTTGTAATCAATTAATGGGTGTTTAGCAGGATAGTCATCATTGGTGCTTCGGCGGCAGCACTGGACAGGGATGATAGGACTTTTCACGTTACAACAGTGGCATTAAAAGATATTTTAATACTTCTATTTAGAAAATTTATGTGTAACTATTTTTGTTGCGCCGCTATTTCCGCTGCAAATTTCGCAAAAGTTATGACCCTAGTAACCGCTTTGCAGTGCAGTTATGCGTTCAGCTGGAGCGGCTGACACAACCATCGGTATGGTCATATGGTATACATGAATGGTTGTTATCCTGGTGTAATTTTTCCGCTATTGATGGCCTGGAATAGTTACGTGTATATGGGGGTTTAAAGAGTCGGCAAAATACGCCCGTACCGATCATGCAGGAAACAGGAACACATTAGCGTTATGCCCTAAACCGAGGAATGCAACAGCAAAATTGGACGTGCTGTATGGGCTAAGGATGTGTTTAGAGTTAGATGAAAGCACGTTGAACGCGGATGTCCTGTTCGGCACAGTACTTGATTCCCACTGAGACCGGCCTCTATCAGAACTTATTTAAGGCACAATTCTCCAGCCCTTTTCCACTTCCGTCTTACGTATGTGTGTACATATATCGGCAATGCGCACGTGCACTATACAGCGGGATTACTGGCACGACGTAATAGATATTGCTGACTGGTAATTACATGGCCTGCACGATTGGGCCAGACTAACATTTGCTAACAGTAAGTGAACAACTGTTGAGTGTCTGTGTACTTGTACAATATGTATTAATGTATACAGTATGTATGTAAACGGGAAACTGATTACCATTGTCGACATATGTTTATTCGGATCTATTTCGTCGCATGGCCTGCTTAAGCTTAGCGGTTCCTGTTGGCATTGGGGATTAAGTGTGGGTTATGTTTTCCTCTGACTGTTGCTCTTTAACTCTTTAAGAATACACATACACACCGCGCCGCTGCGTCTGCAACTCCCGCCGATGTTGCCAGCATCCGCACAGATATTTCCTCTAGTCTCCCGGTATATTCGGGCCAAACGCCCATTTATAACAAACGCATTCGTCCCCATGCTAGCATCGGCGGACGCAGATGTTTCCTGTCCCAACGTGGAGACCGCGTCATGTCAACAATCAGCATCATTGTCGTTGTGTGTGGCTGCCGGTAAAATTAATATTTCACCATTTTATGGAGGACCTATCCCACAACTGTAAATGTCACAGCCGAGAAATTGGATCTAGATATGGCGCGAGCGTTGATATGCGTTGTTGTATATTAACGAGCCACCGGGACATGCAGCCCATAAGTTCACGTATATATGGTGACTACGGTAATACCTGTTTTATATGGCACTCATGTTGGATGAATCGAATTACCTGTTGGCAAACTGACACGAGTAATTCACTTTATTGGTTTACTTACGATTATCTCCACTGGACATTAGGGTACAAAAACGATTAAATACATGTCACTGTTCAAGTGCTGCATGGACGTGCTGTCGTTGATTTCTGCAAGTCCTAATGAAAAATTTCGGTATCCTCTTATCTGTACATGCGTCGATGGAATGAAACGATCTTCACATCCGGTTGCTTCGGTATCTACACATCGAAGATTATATGGAGAGAATTCGAACTCCGAAGGTAATCAGTTATTACAAAAAACTGTATAAATAACTGCAAAGGTACGATAAACACGCGGCTTTGCAAGGAGGTCTATCCATAATAACATTATTATTTTTCTTATGTTAACCGCCTTATGCATATGCTGGATGTATGTATATTTTATAATCAAGCTACTGAAAGAGTTACTCCACAGTGTGTTAAAAAGTTTTTAAAAAATCAGTATTGTGATAATATAAGATTCATAAGGAGTCTGTCTTTTCTACACGGTCATTTCTTTAGCCAACATCTCCGCAAAAATGTGGTAGGTTATTTTTCAAAGCAGATGCATTTTTTATGATAAGCCGTTTTTTTAGTCATTTTACAGCAGTATGGGTCTCGCACTGCCGCATGCAAAATACGAATATCTATATTACCGAATTTGTACTTTTACGTATATGTAAATTGCTGCCACAAACGAATACAGTTATATTTTATGGTGCATAGATACGCGTTCGTCTTTGCGCGTACGATGGCATTTTGTGAGTTTTTATTTGCATTGCATATGCAAGCCGTCGCAAGCGTACAGATCTGATTTTCCAAAAATGCATTGATTCCTGAATAAATACTAGATAATAATTTGACAAGATCTATCTTATTAAATTATTATTCTACTCATGGCCTAGTATAATACTTAACACAGGAGTTGGGTCGATTTGTCAAGAGCGATCCACTTATACTATATTATATACTTCTTTACCGACCGCAAAGCTCATTTCGATGCAATCACTTTGTTACACGAGATGCAAGATCAAGTGGAAAAATTATAAGAGAATAATCAAGAAATTATTAATGTAATCAAATACTGGACTCTATTCAAGTAAACGCACGTATGTTTTGGTACATATACTGTTCAATATAAAACTGTGAGAAAATTTTATCCAGAACAGAAACACCGAACGACACACCTACACAACATAAATAATTACGAGTATTATTTCCTGGTGATGAAGTTGCAAGCTTTCAAGAAAATGTTCCTATCCTTATACAGCTTATTCAGAACTAGCACAACTGTCGTCTGGCTTGAAAAATTAAAAAAATAAGGTAAATAAATTATTCAAATATTTTAATTTTATCAGTATACCTTATTATGCGTTAGCTTAATACCGACTCTGCTTTTATGATTACTCATACTGTATATTTTTGTTTCACCAATACCGTACAGTATTCATGGGGCTTTTTTTATTACGTATAAAAAGCCCCTCGAGTAGGGTACTGGTTCACAAAAGGGATAAATATCTACCCCATATCGTCATGTAAAGCACAAGCCTGCTTGTTTGAATTTTAACTAAAATTATTACAATAATTATTATAATTAATATACGACAGTATAATATTATATTGAATTGCGACTTTGGCTGCAGCCTGAATAGTTGTTGCTCGTACCGCATACTGTGCTTGTATGTACGTACACATTCATTATAAAATCATTACTAAGATGAATAATTAAGTAAGTACGAGTACTTATAGTACTTCCTTATTCCTACTATAGGCAAGTATACTCATAGGTGAGGTAACAGCTCCTAATGAGCATAAATTACATTGTAACACCGACGTTCCATGCAATACCGATAAAAGTTGGTTTCATTGAACTAGGTTAATAAAACGTATATATGGCGGGTGTGAAATGGTACGTTATCGTTTGAAAGATGGATAGTGAATGCTTGTACAATAACTCGTATAGTAAGTCATTAAAGGTTCGAATAGCAACTCTGGTACATCGAAAAATTCTGAAAATCTGTGTACGTATTGTACACGCTGGCACGGCACGTATTGTACCTAAACGCATCAATGTCCAATATTATTACATGATCAAGGATAGCGTCATACAGCTATCATTTTTTTGTTTATTTATAATAAAATGCACTGATTATGGCACACCTGTGAGAAATTGGTAATATGGTGCTAAACCGGCTTTCTCCCGATCTGAGCAGTTTTGAAGTTTTGTTTCCTAATTGTAAGTACAGTAGAATTTCTGCTCTAGCCGAATCACCGAAAAGGCTACGTAGGCATAAACCGTAGAGTAGTTTTGAAGTTTGCTCGCTGCATGAACTTGAAAGAGAATTAAACTACGTACACGTAGAATACACTGTATTACACCCAAATTCGATAATATAGACCATTACAGCACATAACCGAATGTGTAGGTGGGCTTCACGTTATATGATTGCGTTAGTAATTTCTGCTTGTATCCTTACGATCATAGCTGCCAAAAATACAAGTATTACTCGTAAGTCAGTTTCGGTCAATCGATTTCTTGCGTTGGTCCTCACAGGTGTTCCCGTCGTAAAATTCTGGGTTACTTAGAATTTGTAAACGCGGGCAGAGTCTTACATAACTTCACTGTATATTTTGGATACTGCTTGAATAAAACGAGTAATGCCTGCAAACTGTTCAGGAATGTAATATTATTATTTATTCATATCACCTTCAAAAATTATCTGTCAGTCCTTAAATTCACCGTAAGCTATGTACATACTATTGCTGCTACAGTGTCATATTATTTGCACGTAGAATTGAAGTTTCAAGCAACAGGATTTATTGTTGGACCTGTATGTTTAGTTTGCAAGGATTTGAATTGCTCCAGATCTTCTGTATGTGTTACCGGAATTGACGAGCCGGCCACTTCCGACTTTCATGCTTGCGCCAATGAAGTGAATAATGACGCAATTAAGCATGCTATAATTATTTACAAGTACATGCGCGAAATATGACGCAGCCCAGGGTTTTCATTGTTGCTTTCTTTCATTTAGTGCCAATTTCGTGGCGGGGCAGTTAGCTAGGGCTGGCATGATTCGTTCTAACGGAAACTTTGTGTAAGTCCAACGAGGACAAAATTTTCAAAAATACAATACCCAAGGAATCTCATTTTGGGAAAAGCTTCAAAAAGCCGGATACCGATAAGCATATTGCTACGCCGTAACTATAATAAGTGACGATATATAAATAAAGGAATTACTGCATGGTAGATAATAACCGATAAAATAAGGCTTATAATTTTATTTCAACCATATTCTGCAAACGTTCGCTAATTTTTAGCGTTAGTATGCTAGCAAAAAGAGGAACCACAATGCTAGCGAAATAACAATTACCGTTTGGAAAGCAATTTACCCGAAAAAACGTAACCGCTCACGTAATTTCTGTAATGAATTTTGCAGGGATGACGTACTGTACTCAAAATTTGATTACTTTGAAGGAGTGCCGATAACCTGCTCGCGTCGGCATGTCATTAGATCCCTTTACAGTAGTGTCACACTTAGGGTTGTACATCATATGTGCGCGTGTATCATCCACTCTTTTATTCACATCACACTGTGGGAGTATCCCAAACACTCTCATTTATACGACACCGGAACTACGAGGATGCTGCTGGACATTATGCATACGCACATACTACACCAATGCACAGGGTTATCCAGAATCCAGTGGCACAGATATCTGTACATGTAGTACGACCCCAAATACAAACCTTGACGGCAATTAATAATCCGCCTCAAACTCGTGGTGGATTTTCGACTTCAGACCATTTACCGCACTTTTGTTTCACGTCCCTCCCTCAAATTATTATTTGGTGTGTGAAATAATCACTGGTGTCAGTTTGATTATTCGATTATAGCATGTATAATCGGGATGTACTTGTACATAATATTTGTGCGACACCAGACAATTTGCATATGCGAACGGATCTGTATTTGCTAATGGATTAGCTTAATGTGACGCTCAGATTACTATCAATTTATAATAATTTTTAATTCCTTTTTATGCGCGCAATACGTTTGCTTACATTATTACTACTCCAGTGCCTGCGACGGAAAAACGTACCATTTCGGTTCTTGATTGTTTACACTTTATTTCGCCTGCGTGGTTTACAGAAATTCAAAGTCTACGTACAAAAACCCCTTTTTAACTGTATCTGACCAGATCATCTGCTGTTGTGTCGTTTTGAAATAATTTATTCGCTAACTCATTAATAACGGTGTCGATGTCATCTGAATCAAATGTATATTTATTTTTGCGCAATATAAACCAGTTTGCGGAATCCGCTGGAGCCAATGTGACGGAAATAATTTACCATATGCAGAATGCCGCATATGAATTTCAGCCGGATCGGATAGTGCAGCTGAAGCGTCTTAAAGCGGATAGTTATAAACTGTTATTGCATATCATACTTCCTGTGATCAATTACAACAACAATCCTAATTTGCCTAACGAATGCATTGTGCAAATTTTGAAATCAAGTTTATATCTACGAGTAAGTTGCGACTTCAACGGGCAGCCGGTATAGATCAAATGAATTGCAGCACATGGCGTAGCTATGAACAGTAGGATCGAGTATCCCGACAAAGTTGCGTGCCATACAGTTATATGTTGTATACAATATAATATACAGTAACCATTTGTTTCATGTACATGATGATGAAAATTATGTACATAGCAATGGATTATTCCTAAAAGACATTTGTGAAAAACAAAAATAAATGTGACTCTTCTCGAATAATTTATTTTTGCTTTTACGTTATTACCCGAAATTGTACATGTAGAATTTTGGGTAAGCTCATTTCCAAAATATCCGTTGCACTGCGGATAATTTGGAATTAAACATAATGAATTTGAACACGGATGTTTTAACAATTCTGGGCAGCTTTCGTGCTTTGTGCTCACAGCGACATAGGAAAATAAAGTCAGTTGGTACAGTGCTTACGAATGACATCACTGGGATACTACTTCGTGCGTTTGAATGGATATGGATCAGATCCAATTCAACAGATCACGTTCGCAATCATTGCTGCGACTTGGGTATGAGCATGCGGAGCACTTACACACGAAAAACTAGAAATTCATTAGAAAAGGTCAGGTTTAGAAACACTAGAACTCTATCAGTGTGTCGTCTATATATACTACAGGAGTCTCTTTTAGGAAATGACGTACGTATATTAAAATGTTGTGCAGTTAATTTACAGTCGTCAATCTCGATTTGACACTATTAATTTCTACAGTTGATATTCACTCATTTAAATTAAGAATTCATAAGATTATATTGTACCTGTTGCTGTTTACTACTGTTGCTATATCTTATACGAAGACGATCTTATTGATCGAGCCGACACTGGCGTGGTCGACAAGGGTTTGCAATCCATATGCTAACCTTTCCTTTAAGGTTGTCTAATTTAATTTAAACGGAGCTATTTGATTGTGGTTTTATTCAGCAAAAGCCAGTACACGTAAAAACATTTTTCATCCCTAGTCTAAAATTTGTGCCAAAAATATTGTGTATACGATTTAATACCTGTAATACAAGTAATTTTACACTGTTTCTCACCGTCTTACCGTATGGCTTGCGCCTGGCGGTTTAGAGCTGACTTACTCGTAGGTGTGCACTGTAAGTACACTTTTACCAAAACTTAATATTAATAATATCGCGGCACCTTGCGGTATGCAGAGTACTTTGTAGTGTTAGGTAGTAAAAATCCTTGCCAATATACTTATTTTTACTATCTGCTTTTGAAAGTTAACTTACTTTTGCTTACTATTCAAAATTTTTGGGGACTTTTACTTACTTTTACTTTTTATTTCAGTTTTCCCAAGGACATTTACTTTCTAAATTAAAGTAAATTTACTAAACAAATTTAATTTAGCATTGAAAGTTTCGAATTGCGTTAGTTTCAAAGAGCAACAGACTACTGAAAATAGTGCAGATAAATTTCTTATGCATTAATCGAGCTATACAGGTGCATACTGAAAAATAAATACTGCTGCTTTGGAGGGTGGCAGGCTAGCAGCCGACTACCGACTACTGCGCACACTCACTTTACCTGCGAGTGGCGGCGGCTGACACGCCAGTTTTCCGTAACGCTGATAAAACGATTTAGTAAATAATTTAGTAAATGATTTTTATTTATTCAACGCTGAACCTTAATATTTACTTGCTTTTTACTATTCCGTCAGCACATTTTACTTACTTTATTTCCAAAACCTTACTATTTACTAGACTTTTAATATTAGGCGGACTTTTACTAAGTAAATGGCCGTTATTTAATTTTATTTAGTAGCACAACACTAGTACTTTGTATATTGCACAACAGCTTGGCTCGAAGCTCTAATTGTTCTGCAGAACCCGCGGTATTTTTGTAGTACATGAATAAACTCTTCGAACTACACCTGTACAACTTGCTGACACCTAAAAGTTGAAAAATCTCATTTTGGATAAAGTATATTTTTTTCAATATTTGTATAATATTGAGTATTTTTATTCATCAGCTTCGCTCGGCTGCTGCAGACAGAGCCGAGTCACTGCCGACACATTCGTCTACTGAAGCCATTGGTAGAGAGGTACTGCATGATTACAATTTCATTCATTCGCGGTCCATTCATTCGTGCATTCATTCAACCTGCAAATATTCCAACCCCGGCCAGCTGTGGCCTGTGCTGAGTGATCCTTTTCGCGTTGGATTGAGAATCCTGAGATTCCAGAAACAGCAATTACAGCGTTTATTTACACTTTTTTAGTCAAAAATTATCCACTTGTTATCCGTTTTCTGTTTGCCCGTACATAAAAGCAGGAAAAGTAGATTTGTTTGCTGATCTTTTTACGTGCTACCGTTCTCTGTCAGTAAATCGCAAAGTTGACATTAATACAAAAAGCTGGAAAAGCGGACGGGAACAGGATGTGCGTGCATCGTTAAGTGGTCGGGATTTGGATCAATAGCCGCGTAGCACATGATGATATGTCGGTTCTTTGAGGTGGACGTGAGCAGACGATGTGAATTGTGAAGTTTGTGTGTGTAGAAAGTAGCAAGAGGCTCTCTAATTCTGATCAGCGTTCTTAATGTATGCAGAGGATCTGTTGAAGATTACGGGATGGTTGGATGCAGTGCAGTGCTGATCGAGTTTGGCTGTTGCTGTTAATTTCAAGTATCAGTGTTTGGTTAGAATACTGAAGTTTGACAGCCAGCTGACGTAAGGATGGAAGCGTTTTATCGTAATGTTGGTGGTCTTGATTCCACGGCGTTGATTCTGGAGAATCCATTGCTTCAGGTAGAGCTAGAGTTTTTAGTTCGCGCAGTTGCAGCGCACTGTAGGAGTGTTTAGGTGTTTACGGTGGTGCCTTTTTAGTGCATTCCGTCTCTTTCTCACCTGTAAAACGCGTTATATTGTTGTTTGTTTCTTTATAAAATGATAGACATGAATTTTGAGCGAAATTGTTACTGTCAGCTTTTCGCGTACTACGTTTCTGTACAACGTTACTTGTTGTATGCGAACCGTATCTTGGTAAAGTTCACGTACATTTTTAGATTCATGTTTTTAATCCTGGATTTCTTAGCATAACGTTTCTTAGCGTAGCGTATGATATCGTGGATATCGAATCTTGAGTGGAACCAGGAACCATAAATAATAATATAAATATTAGGTGATCTCCTCTTCGGGATACATTTGTTTTATAGCTCGAAGAGAAGACTATTGTACCGGTACTGTGTGCAATATCTATACTTACAGTACGAGTATTATAACGAAATGGTATTATTTAAAATTTTTAGTTCACAATTCTGCGATTTTAGTACTGACTACTGAGTGTCCGCAAAGTGCATTACCCAGGTGTACTTTCGATCAGAGACAGTTTTCATATGACTGTCTGAATGAATGACATCGTTTTCGGGAACGTATTTGCTGCTTTTTAATCTTGCCACTTTACCAGGTTTGAAATTCAAAGCAAGGTCAGCAAATGCAACAAATGCTATATAACTATTAAATACCGGGTGGTACTCATAAGTCAAAAAGTTTAATGGTGTGAGAATCGTTTGAGGGGAATTTGACAAATTATCCTGTCTCTTCAGCTTTTTTAACGCGCTGGAATCCTACGTAAATTAAACTACTGGTACTGTCTTTTGCCGACGTAAACTGCACATTAGGAAAGCGTTAATGGAATTGCTTCCTTAATGTAAGTCAGAAGGATTCTGGGTTATTCTTAACGGGAGCTTCATTACTCCGACCCGACAATCTGTTCTTTTCTCTCCGCGGGATCATAGCGTTGTCCCAGTGTTCAGGATCGATAATGCGTCCAACTGTCTGCATGCGCCAGCACCGGCGTCATCATTGTGCTTTAGCAAATGGTTTTTACGTTTCACTGCCTGTGAAACAATTATCACCGGTTCATCAAAAAACCGTTATCTAGACAGGGAAAATACTAGCCGAATTAATCTAGCGTGGATACGGGAACATTGGCGTAATTCCCACTGCCGGCAACCCATCAGGCCGGGCAAAATCGAACGAAAAAAGTCGATTGGAGATGTGCAAATCTCATGGTGCCATAAGATTGTCGGATGTACAATTAGCATTATTTTGCAGATAGAGAATGTCCGTGTACTTGATCGATTTTACCATTGGCAAAACCGAAACGCTATGGAATCTACGACACCGTCCACTGGTACCCTGTACTTGACGCCGACCCATCTAATCTTCGTTAATCCCGTCGAGAAGCGGGAAACTTGGGTAAATACGATCGTCATGAATATTCACATTCCTTGATTAAGCAGAGTCATTTACTGCATAAATTTCAGCAAATTCACACTGTCAATAAATGTTTCGCTGTATTTAGCAATAGAAATTGAAATGCTTTCCATGTTTATACATTAGAATTTACTTGCAATGTCGTCGCAGGTTCTTCTGGGGCATATCGGAAGTGTTGATCGTTTATCGATGGCAGTTGGCGGTTCACCCTTACAGATCCGGTGCAAAACATTTCTGTCCTTGATACTAGTCATTCCCAAAGACAGAGATTCCCAGGAGCTTTATGCAGCTCTTTTACGCTTAGCACAACCAGGTGAACACTTGTGCTGTGTTATTCAAAATAACGAAAATCTAACTTCGTGAGCTCCAGAAAACAGGTCAAATTACACAGGTGTCTGGACCTAATGCCAGTGTGCATTTACAGCTGTTTTTGATTATTTTAGCTACATATGAAGAGCTGTACTGTTTTTCATACAATCCACCCGAGGAGAGCTTTGACCGAACGTCCGGATGGAATATTTTCGACTTGCAGTCTGAGTATCAAAGAATCGGCGTTCCAAACCAGCACTGGGTGTTGTCCAAGATGAACCAGCATTATGAAGTAGGAATTAGGAACGCTTTTGAATCTGATTGTTTGCGAGTACGTTTAATGCTCTCTCGTAGGTTTGTGATACCTATCCACAGTTTCTTTACGTTCCTTCCTCGGCAACGCCAAAAATTTTGCTAGGCAGCGCCGGATTTCGTAGTCGGGGTCGACTTCCTGTTTTATCGTATTTGTATCCTAAAACCAACGTGAGGATGATACGTAGTAGCCCTGTCTTGCTTTTTCGTGGTTTTAAATTGTTGATTTTTTAGGCTGCCATTTGTCGCTGTTCACAGCCATTATCAGGTTTCAGTGCTCGTTGTGAGGAAGACGAGGAAATGCTAAACTGCATACTGCGGTCGACACCGGAGTCGAAAACCGTATTTATAATCGACACTCGACCCCGTGTAAGGAATGTTTTTTTTCCTTTTATAAATGTCTGTTTTACGAAATGCGTTGTATTTTATAGATCAACGCGATGGCTAATCGAGCTACAGGAAAAGGTTATGAGACTGAAGCAAATTACGTCGGAATGAAAGTGCAATTTTTCAGCATTGAAAACATCCATGTCATGCGCAGCGGGTTGCAGAAGCTGGTTGAAGGTTAGTAAAGTGTAAAACTAATTACTTACGTTAAAGGGGTTTACCATCCCTGTGGTGAGTGATCGTCTCACATCCATGAGAGCAGTGGACGCTCGACTCTTGGAAATTTCTGTAAAAATAAGAATTGATCGGATGCGCTGTCACCGTCCATACAATAATTCTTCCCATGTTTTGACTTTTAGTTTGTGATTTGAAAACTGGATCCGAGGACTTAAGTTTACCTTCGCATTCTACCTTCTTAAGCGGGTTACAAGCCACCGGCTGGTTAAAACATATTCGTTCCATTTTGGATGCGTCTTTATTTATTGCTGAGGTAAGTAGTTCAAACTGGAAGAGTATGAGATTCTGTACTCCAGTATCTGGACTTCCTTTCCCGGTATGCACGCAAAAATTCGCTCGTTGTTCTAACTGTATAAAGGCCTAATTCTTACAGTTAGAGAGGTCGGATTCTTAGGTCTTCATTATACCTTGTGTCCTTTGCAGAAAATAACTGAAGGTCATAGTGTCCTAGTGCATTGCTCTGATGGTTGGGATAGGACTGCTCAGACTTGCTCCCTCGCATGTTTGTTCTTGGATCCATACTATCGTACGCTACATGGATTCATGGTGAGTGCCAAATGTTAATGTTTGTGTACAGAAACTGGAACAACGGTAAAAATATAATGAAGGGATTAAGCAGTACCTTTTCGTCGCAGCCGACGCAGCACTAGAAAACAGCATGCATGTTTGCTGGGCTGACTTGTCGTAAACTTACTGTGATAACTGTGTAGTTGCAAATCTTGCTAATTTTTGCATCATAAGTATTGCGTTTTAGGCGCTGATTGAAAAAGAATGGTTGGCATTTGGACATAAGTTTTCCGATCGTGCCGGACACCTGCGGCCGGTATTCGGAAACGGAGGTGTCAGTCCAGCCATCACACCGAGTAGTGCCGTCAACATGGTTATTGATACATCAAGGGAGCAGAGCCCGGTGTTTGCGCAGTTCCTGGATTGTGTTTGGCAATTGCTCTGTCAGAAGCCCTACGCATTTCAGTTCAACGAACGCTTCCTGTTGGTGCTACATGATCATCTGTATAGCTGTCAGTTTGGGACATTCATTGGGAATAATGAGAAGGAGCGGCGAGATTTGAAGTAAATATTTAGGCTTTTGCTGACGGCATGCGCATCAGTGATTTATTTTTGTGCACGCTGGGGTGGATAGGTTATAGGCAGAGGAAATGGCAACGCTGAGCCTTTTCCAGGGGCTTTGATTAGATTAAGAACGAACTGAATATTAGCCGTTACAGTCTATTATAAATAATTGAACGATAATTTTTATTTTTACTACTAGTACTGTACTGAATTTTTTATTGCACTAGTGGAATTGTACAGTATACTGGAGAGCAAGCTACTTTTATTATAAACGTGCGGTTCGGGTAAACGTACGGTTCCCGAACCGTACGTTTATAACAAAATTTGGAATAACCTTGGCACTAATTTTCGAACGAAACTTGGCACTAATTTTCTTTGTAAAAATGCCACACAGTGTCTACAGTTTCGTGTCTTTGTTAGGCTGTCCGAGCGAACCTACTCGTTATGGGGCTACATGAAGCGGCATTTGAACGAGTACTTGAACCCTTTATACGATCCGGAACGATGCCGATTAACTCCATTATTATTTCCTGACATTTCAGCTCAGCAGCTGAGGTACCGCGAGCGACTATTTCCTCTTGATGTTGCTGATGTGATAATGCACTCTGTTGATTGCATTCAGATTGTGGGTGACCCTCTATAGCCGCTTCGAAGAGGGTGTCCATCCACGTGAGCCGCTCTTGGATACGGTAACATCGCTGATTGATCACTCGAGTGCCCTGGAGGATCATGCGTTGTACCTCGAACGTGTATGTGTGTGCGATTTTTTCCTTACATCTAATGGTTTCATCATTCCAGCCGGTGACATAGTGTTCTGCGCGTTGTAGCGAATAGCATTATTAAAGGAAATGCTGGCAAATCCTCCTCATCATCGACGTAATCCCCTCGTGACGGTGACAGCCAACGGAGCGGGAATGTCGTCGCCACACGGTAGTCTGAGCAGCATCAGTATGGGCTCTTCCATGAATTGGGATGACTATCCGAACGCTTCTGTGATAATTAAATCCGTAGCACTTGACTGGAAGCCCATACGCTATGTCAGATATTGTGTTTGCTCAACACCTTTCTCGCAGTTTACAGTCAAGGTGCGTGTTTTGCCTTTACGGCTTCTCTCGAATTTCGAAAGCAGTAGTAGTTTGAAATTTCGAATGTGAAGTATTAGTTCCCGTGTAGAAATGGTGTTTCTGGAGATTGGAATGTATACTTCAGTTTGGTGGCGCTTTAATTTCTAAACCCCCTCTTCTTTTTATACCTAACTTTAGTACTCGTAATATGACCACTTTCACGTAATCATTTAAATTTCATAAACATGCTTCCTGAACCGCATTTTTTAAAAAATGCTGTATGGGTTTACAATTTGTTATGTTTCTTTTAGTACCATTGTTGGAAGTGCGGTGATGTGGTATGTCGTCGTTGCACGGATACTCACGCTCCTTTAATAGGCCTTTATTCAAACAAACCCGTGCCGGTATGCCAGCTGTGCTACGAAAGATCGCGCGTTTCTCCCATCAAAGAAAAAAATGCCACCTTTGCGGAGAAATCTGACAAACTACAAAAGAGCCAAAAAACCGAGAAGGTTCCTTAAGACTGCCATTTCGTATAAGTTCGAGTTGTTCTGCCCAATTTGATTGTGATTTGATTTTGGTCTGCTCCCTTTGTTACAAAACGATATTTTATATATATCCACCAATGGTTATACTTTTTTAAAATCAAATTGTTTTCTATTAATTTATTATTTCTGTCTAATCCCGGTGACTGGTTGTCTGCAAAGTGCAGTTACTCGTTTTATTAGTTATCCATGTCAATGTGGAAGTAGCCAGAGCCTGCACGGGATGGTGTGCAATTAACCCAAGTAAAGCATTTCGGTCTACCTGGCATTTGGCTCTATACTGCAAAGTTCTACTCTGTTTACCTAAAAAAAGTCTGCAAAAAATATGACTGAAAACCTCTACAAAAATTCGAAAGAATTTCGCTAAAAGCCGACACAGACTTTATTCAGTGACAAGTTACTCGTTGGCCGTTGCATGCTGATTTTGCGAGTACAACTATTTCACAACATTTCTATTTGCCTGCACAACTATTTCCGGTAGTCCCTGAACGATTCACGGTATCAGTTTAATCATCGAACATACACTGTACTAAATCAGTTTATCAAGTTCAGTAAATTACGGTATGGTAGTATTTCCAAAATTAATAATAATCATGATATTAATACGATACCATCAGAATCGTACCAGGCAGTTCAAACATTTGTGAAATCAAGGTACCACATGTTCGTCCTTTTATAAAATTAGATTGCTTAGATTCAAAAACCATAGTGTTAGCTAGACGATAGCACTGGTCACCCTAGGAAAATAACGAAATCTCATCGTCCATATTGACACCAACAAATGCCAAACCCCACCGTACGTCACCAAACAAGTGAACAAACTCATGCACCAGAATAATAACGCAAGAAGCTGCCAAGGTTACGGTTTCGAGGAGACATGTAGGAAGCGGCAGGCATTTCCATTCCGGCAACCTCCGGGCAAATGTTGATATTGGCACACTCGCGCAGGCGGCCGTTGCTGTGGACCACGGCTACCGAAATCGCCGGCATGTGGTCGAAAACCGTTAGTATCATGCCGGACGGGGGGAGCAGGCCCATTGTGGCGAACATTGTGGGCAGGGAAGGCAGGACGATAATCGGGTTGTCGAGTGGACGGTGCAGAGGGCAGGGGCGCCGGTGCAATCGGGCTGTATCCGTCCGTTCGTCCACCGGCAACTTGATACTGTGGAATTCCGTTAAACGACGGCTGGAAGGCAGAATTTCCGCTTCCTAGAAAGACAACAACTGTTTTATTCCACATTTCAGGTTTTGAAAGGTCACTTCCAGTGAAGTATCTCATTATTTTAAGCTTCCAAACCTGAGAGCACATCGTCAGACACGAATTTCATAGTTATCGTCGCGATCGTATATTAAAATCAAATTATACCGTTTGAGATTGAACAATCCTTCTCAGAACAAATTTAATACTAATAGGTAAACAACACAACACTTCACAAATTCCATAAATACACGCTTATTTATACAATCTCATAAATTTGAACTTTTAACTGTATAACAAGGCTTAACAGATCCTTACGACTTTAATGCAGATTTTAACCAAAACCGATTTTTTTCTAATGTAGTGTACTGACATTACTCTAGGTTGTGACCATCAAAACACCGTGTCGGCATTTGCAAGCAGGCTGAAGCAGCGCACTTTGACCTTTGCATCAATGCATCGGTGAATTCAAAATAGACCTATAAATATAAACTACAGTGGCTACTGGCAAAGAAAGCGGTGCATGCAAAAACCCAATATACTGTAAAAATCACAGTCGTCCTAGCCAAACAAGAAGGCATGCACATCATCAAGTTAATCGAACGTCTTGAAATGCACTATTTTCCTATACTAATTAAAATAAGGGGAATGTATTTCCCATAAAAGAAGTTTTATACTTCAACAATCCTGCAGCAGTAATTACCACTAAGGGCCTAGTACAGGTAAAGTCCGAACTTACAATTAGAACAAAATAATCATTTCAGTTTCAAAAATACCGTGTCTATCGAATTATTAGTCCACCCTACCCCTCCGCAGTAAAAGGTTTCTCAGTGAGGCGATCGAAATATTCTATATGCCACCCTGGGGATACAAATCGCTAATTACGGTAGTTCTTAAACATAGGAAAACTTGTCTGCGATCGATAACACATTGAGCATAATGTTTTATGATTTTATCACGTACAACAAAATGGCACCGTGAGGGGTATAAGCCCTATGGTTGAACGGATCAGAAAGCAACACTTAATAGTTAATCTGTATTATGAAAAACATTAGTCTACGGAACAAACAGAAATGAACCATGGTGAACCCCGAAAAAGGCGAAATCCTAACAATTTGTTTTTGAGAAAGGGTATGACGCTGTGGATTAGCACCGTGAAAAAAGTGACCCGCATCATATATAGCCAAGGACAGACAATTAAGAAAGTGCTTTCATTTCCCAAAAATATAGATATTCGTAATTTTAAGTGCTTTTGTTCTGGCACAGTCGCACTACCAAATTATATGAGACACACGAATAGTGATGAGTGATGACTCTACGGGTTGGGATTGAAAAAGAGACCGACTCCCGTTTTGCTAATCTTCAAACGGGCCGGAGCTTTGATCGCCATATGTACAATACTTCTATACGTCTAGAGTACATCATACGGGTCGGGATTTGTTGGTTACCTGGTCTCAAAATGAGACCCGGACGAGCCGAAAAAATGCGGGACCTCAGCGACTACCATTGCCCGTCCGTCAACGCTCTTTATTTGCCCGTCGCTATACCATATGCCAAATACAGTAAATTTTCGGAGGCTACGGTAATACGTACAATAATACGCGTATTCAAGCAAAATATTCGTATGCCGTAGTTATACCTCGCTCGTTCCAAATTTACACAATTTTTAACATAAATTCAATTAATTTTCTTTAAACAGACTATAGAATGTTAAGGGCAGACTGACAAACAGCAATGGGTATACAATATACATACGATGCTCCCGGTGACCTTTCAAAAAGGGTTGTTCAACTTGTCTGGGATGCAAGTTTTACACTGTATGGCATATCACCACAGCTTGTAATCGATTATCTGGTCGTTAAAAATAAGTAGGATCTGGCCAAAACTGCTATAATTTCAATCGAGAGAAAAAGCAATACTTTGATACATTTTGATAAAAAGAGTATGGCGATTGTGGGTTCGGCACTTGGGCTGGCATTCCTTAACAATCTATCCCTGAATGTAAAACGCAGCTAATGTGCTGCTTGCTACGTATAGTGACCGAATACCAACGATGTAGTTTACGGTGAAACAGTCCTTATGTAATATGAAGTCGAATTCGCTTCCTCGGCTTCACTGCCAGTTTGCTACATAAGTAATTTATATTGTTGGAAACTGGAAACCTATACTTAATGTTGAAAACCATCGAACGCGCAACGGCACTCTCTTACCACTTTCAATCTGGTCGCCAGTTGCAGTACATGAACATGTACTCAACAACCGGAAGAATGTTACTGTACCTCTGAGATGCATATACAGGGTGGAATTACGCCGGAGATTCCTGAATAATCTGTACGTATTTTCAAAGAGCAACAACAAAAATCACCAATATAGAATACTGTGCAGGATCTGTACAACAGCACGTAATAACGGACGCATGTGCTCTGAGATTTCGGAAGCAGCTTGAGATTTTCGAGATTATCTCTAACAACGGGAACCTTGTGCGCGAAAGGAAGCATCTATTGGCGCCGGTAGAAAAGAAGGCCTAGAGGGTGCAAAGGATGGAACTGCGGAAGATGAATGAGCAATATCTCCAAATCCTAAACAATTGCAATGTAATAGTAGTTATCCACACAGCTGCACTTACTTCCACCAACATTAGTTTGGACATTTTTTAACAATAAGCCGGAAACTATACACTTACATTTGACTATTTGAGTACCTATTTGGAAGTTCTAAATTTTAAGCCTCAATAAGAATGCTAGTTGCTAACTCTAATTACCTGTGGACTTTGGTGCTGACATCGGAGCAACAAGCTGTGCAGGTCTGGAAACTGGATCTGCCGGCAACGCTAGACCATTCGGCGGAAGCAACTGACCGACCGGAAACGTATTGTGCGACGTGCTATTCACCGGAGCTGCTGCAGTGACTGGCTGAACGGTAAAGGTAGGTGTAACCGGAGCTGGTGCTGGAGGTAACTCAGGCACTTCCGGTAAGGGGCCGCTAGGGATTATTTCGGCGGGCAGTGGCTGTTTCATGTTCATCCCTGGCCTCACTAGCAGGACATGTTTTACACTTGATGTCGGCAGAGATTCAGTTGGCTCTTCTGGACTATCTGGGAGGCTAAATTAAAAAAAAAGTTTAAATTAGATTTATGGTCATAATCGATTAATTGCCGTGGTATATTACAGCCTTGGGCGTTGCTGGGCCTAATTCATTGCGCTCCAAATTAACACTACAGTTAATGGGGCACTGAGCTGCACTTCGACCGTTTGACCACAAAATCGTATGTCTGCTCTCGAACGCGAGGAAACTCGATGCCCTTCGGAAGTCAGTTACTACAGCGCATTCATAGATCATGTGGCTAATGAAACAACGTAAATACTGTCGCCTAGGACGAACGCCAGACGAGAGCTTTCCTCAGACCAAGCTGATGGCCTTTACGTCAAAAAATGAGAATTTGAAATCACTCAGTTGTTTAGCATTTCTTTCGGTAACGAGGATCGGGAAGAGCCGAACGCATTGGTGCCGGAAGCCCAAGAATCATGTCAATGACGTGGTCAAGCACTTCAATGCTGCGTTCTCCACCATCCCGACAAGACTGGACTTCTAGATCAACCCAGTGCAATGAACCCAACAGAACGACTGCCTAAGTGTATCTTTCATACCGGAAGCGTACAGAGCAGAATTACTATTCTGGTTTCTCCTACATAGCGATTTATGAGCATACTTTTCTCTGTTAAGATACAGTGCGGAGAGCGTAGTCATTTGTCTTGCATGAAAAACCAGCTTCTCTACACTGTCGAATCCGCGTTCAACCAAAGGTGCCGGAAGTCGGGCAATTCGAGGCGGTGAAAACCAGGGATTTTCATCGGTACTTTCCACATGGTGGTTTAATTCGTTCTGGGCAGCTTGTTCCAAGCTCCTCCGTTCTTCTTCCGCCGATAACTGCTTCAAGTCTATACCAAGTTGTTCCGCCTGAATTTTGTTCTTGTACACATTTGCTAAAAAAAAGATATACTTCAATATTATTTCTATAAAATTGTAAACTGCCACCACGGCACACCCTTCTTTAAAATACCACAAAACGTAAGATAATTACATATTAACTAAATACGATTATCCGTCTGAGGACCGTCTCGACTCCCCAGTCTCCCCTTAACCAGCCTATGGAGCATTAAAAACAAGTAGATTTTATTTAGACAATACAGTTTAAACGGCAATTTCCCGATTACGATCAAATAATAATTTCCCAACGGGAAATAATAATTAATTACAAAAAGGAAACTTATGCGTTGAACTTTGTGTTTATGCAAAAGGAAAATTTATGCACTGGTGCCTGTGGGACGTACAAATACAAATGTGTACAAAACAATTCCTCGTATGCATAACGGACATTTATTATGCCTTCACAGATTTCTTCGCGGAAGTAGTTTTCACGTAGTTTACCTCTTTCTTCTTCGTCCATTTCAAAAAATCGAGTTTTAACCAATTTTTCATCGCGCACGAAACGAACTTTCTTCTTCACTGGTTTGGCCTGTGGTGTGAATTCTCTTTCTCTCCTCCTGTCGTACAAACAGGTGAGCAGTCCTGCAATCGTTCGGCGCCGTCCATCTAAAAATTCAGGATATGGCTTACACGGACAATAATGGGAGATTTATTACGATTGCCAAGAATTAAAAATGTTAATAAATATATTATGGAAAAATACATATAATTTAACACTTACTGGACCAGTCAATCTTTGACAGTTCATCCTCCTCATGCTGATCAACATCTGCGATATACTTGTTAACAGGAGCATCCTCTGTTTGAGAATCGGGAGGTGCGTCGTAGGATGGCGTTCTTTTAAGGCCTGTGCCAGCGTAACTAGGCACATCAGCGTCAGCCTTCCTGCGTTTTACATTGTCAAGTGTATCTTCAAAAGGCTTTCTTTTGAATCCATCTAATGCATTGTGGAAAGAAGTGAGGTTTTGTGGGCCTCCGAGGTAGCTAGACATTCTGATACAAAGCCTTATCGACAAGGAAGATTTGTCGATGACAGTCGAGTGTGGTTTTTTCGTTCAGGGTTTCGTATTTGTACCTCAACCTTTTGAGTTTTGTATTGTCAAGTCCAAGAACTAATAATAAGTAGGTTTACTCAAATACAATGCATTTCACAGTTCTAAACAAGCTTCGTGGGAGAAAATCAGAATTTAAGGTCACTTTTTTCGATTGCATAAATATCTTACTACACTACGATGGCATCTAGTGTCTGGTGACTGCAGCTCATAGATTTCACGAGATCTTGGCACTCAGAACTCATTCAATGAGGAGCCAGCTTGCAATGCTTGACTTTGACTGAGTCACCCACGTTGGACGATTTCGACTCCGACTGGAGTAGTGCTCACACTAGTACAGTGGCTGGTGCTACGTCATGACACAAACAATCAAATGACTACTTCAAGTATTTAAAAAATCGATGTCAAAAAATTCGGAATAATTGAAATTCTTAGATAATTTTTAGAATGTTACAGATTACTCTTTGATTATTTTAAAGATTTCAAAGGTTCTTCAAACTATTCCGTGCATAGTTCATAGTGACTTCTTACGTACTTATGTTGATGAAACTTGATTATCGGAGGCTTGAAAGTTTGAAACCTATTCTTTTACTCATCTTTAGTACGTAGTTCACTGTTTACCGTTTACGAAGAGACAAAAAATTGGATTTTCAGGCTGCAAGAAGGTACAGTACATGCGATACGCTGTGGTCTCTGCTCATTTAAAAATTTGTTAATCGCTAGAACTTTGCAGCTCGTTGGATATTCATAGATACTAGGTAGACTAAAGTCACTGAACTCACTAAATCATTATTATTGAACGAGTAGACCGGATCTAGGAAAAATGGAATTATGGTGCTTTACTTACTTGCTTATTTATTCATAATCGCATCTTATTCATTATTCATTTAAGCGGAGCCTGACTTGGTCGTTTTGATCAGCTGTTTGTGGGCATTCGATTGTTTTGTGTTTCTGGTGTTTACAGACAAAAGTCCAACCATCGTCAAGTGGAAATCTGAACTGGACCTGTCGCATGTATTACGTGGAAGCAGTCTAGCTGCTTTTAGCGACCATGGCAATTACGCTGACCATTCCTTCCACATATGGCTGTAGTGAAAGACTTTCAGCAGCCGCCAAACGATGGAGATTTTTACGACGTTTGAAGCGCTATGACCAAATGGATTTTCAGTTCGCTGCGTGGCAGGTGCTTAAGATTGTAACAGTGATTAAGAGTTTTCGATTTTCGAATGTGACTTGTTTTGCAACACATCACACATTGACATGTAACCAGTAGCTATTTGTAACTCGTTACTGTACAGTGGCGACAAACTGGTAACTGGATAATTACCTCTGATTTCATGTTTCCAGTGTATATCAATTTCGAAACTGTTTTTACAGATGGTCAATCTTATCATTGCTCCCCGGAAAGTTTATCGCCACTTTGTTAGTCGCAAAGAGACAAAGAATCAGTTTGCCCGTGATGATCCTGCTTTTCTGGTTTTGTTTGCTGGATTTCTGTGCCTGTCTTCGGCTTTGATGACCGTGATGTTTCACCATGGCCCGGTGCAGTTTTTGGGATACGTGGCTGGTTTTTTCAAACTCCTGGCCTGGACAGTGTTTGTGGACTGCATTGGGACGGGCTTATTGATTGCCACCGCCTTATGGACATTGACAAATCATTTATTTCGCAGTGATCTGACGCAGGATGTTGAGTGGGGTTATTCGTTTGACATACATCTGAATGCAGCGTTCCCGTTTTTGGCCTGCATTCACGTTGTGCAGCCTCTCTTCTATGAAAACGTGTTAAACTCGACAAATCTGTTGTCGGTGTTTTTGGGTGATACTATTTATCTGCTGGCCTGTTCGTATTATGTGTACATAACATTTTTGGGATATTCCTCCCTTCCATATCTTCGGAATACGAAAAGATTTTTAACGCTTCTTCCTCTCTTGTTAGCGACGTATGTTGTTTGCATAGTAATGCAATGGAATATTTCTCGCACTGTTGTCAGCCTTTATCAGTCTGTTTTTGCTCTTTAGAGATTTTTTTATTTATTTCGATAAAAAAATTTGTTAAGTTTTTCGCTAATTTGTTCGGCGATTGCAATAAAATGCACTCGTGAGTCTGAAGTTGCCTGGTTTTTAAGTTTTATTTACCCAACGAAAAATGTAAGGTGCATGGCTTCTGTGTGCGGTAGCAAGACACTGAAGTTTTCAGCGCGACAAGCGCTTCCGTATGGCAGTTAAAATGCGATTGGGCACGGAAAGTTGCTTGTCACGATGCTGTTTCCATCGCTTTTTTCGTTTTCGTAGGTCGTAAAATTTACAATCTATTCATTTCATTGCCTGAGTTTCGTAACTTTCGTTTTGATCACGTTGTTTCGCTTCCAGTCCTGTGTGGCAGTGTTTTACAGTTGAAAACTTGACATCGTACCAATATTACATCATCACAATTCGCTCCTGAGTCTGCTGTTTGGTGGACGGAATACAGTAATTTGAAGCTACGGCGAAGTTGATTGAGACCTTGTAGCTGAAGCCGCTGCCACGCTAGGGAAGATCGAAATGGCCAGTCAGGAATATTTGGCTACCAGATTAGCCGCCAATGCGGAATCTCCTCAGAAATCTAACTGGGCCGAACTGTCAGATCTATATGAGCGCCGGTAAGTTTGTCGCCAGTGAATCTGTCGATTTGTGGGAATGGAGGCTGTTGATCTCCATCTCTCATTTTTGTCATCTGGCCTCGAAGATTCGTGCAGTTTTCAGTATAATACTATAATGCAGTTATTGCCTTATCGCTGCTTTCATTTTGTAGCTTATGGTATCAGGTTTCCGTAAAACTGGGAGAAGTGTTGAGGAGTTCCGATTTCATACAAAGCGCAGGAGGTTATGGCGAGGTATGACTGCTACGAGTATTTCTGAGCTATTACCGCATGTATCGGAATATGTTATAATATTGTTATTACATTAGCTAGATTGACTAGATTGTAGTTGTTTCATTGGCTGACTGGAGTGAATTTTGAATGCAGTATTTTTATTGATATTATCTAGTTATTTGAATTATTTTTCAGCTCTACCGACGATTTGTTCAAGATTTGGAATCGAGGTGGGTAATAATGATTTTACTCACTCGCAGTGTGTTATGAACTTATGAGAATTTCCGTTTTTGGTTCAGAATTGGAGCTTATAAACTAGCAGAAACCGCAACTTTTTTGTCTCCGCGGATTTTCCCAGGTAATATGTTGTTTGTCCAGTCAGACATTTAATTCGAGAAATCTTCAAAAATCCTTGTCAACTTTCACTGTGTGATGTCGGTGCACTCGTAGATAATTTGGATGAGCAGATTGCCTTTTTGGAAGGAACGAGGAAAAAATTGAAGAATGATGTTGCGGCGGATTGTATTGTTCTTACTGCGATCGGTACTGCGACTTTAAAAAAGGGAAATGTCGCAGCCGTCAAGGTTTGTACTTTTCCAAACCTGCACAGGAGATTTTTCTTATACATACTCCCGGCACTTCGCGAATTGTAGACCTTACTGGAAGAGACCGAGAAGAAACTACGCGGAATTGATAACGTCAGTTTAGCACATCCGCAGTTTTATGAACTGAGCAGCGAATTCTACCGGCTGCATGGAACATATGCCGAATATTTTCGGGAAGCGCTTAAATATTTGGGATGTGTGGATCTGGAAAAGTTGTCGTGTAGGTTCCACCTATTTGCTAATGTAAATTTCCTTCATACAGATTTAACATACCGGTAATTAGGTTTTACAGCTTCGGCTGTTTGTATTTGTACTGTACTCGTCTTTCGTGCAAGATTCAAGTGTTACTCTAGCGAGTCTATGTAGTGGTAATTTGATTGAGCAGTTTTGGACGTTTGATTTTATGCAAGAGATAATTTCTTCATGTTTCATGTTTAGCTGAAGAGAAGCGTGGTCAAGCGGAGCGTTTGGCTATCGCTGCCATTTTGGGGGATGATATTTACAGTTTTGGAGAACTCGTGAGTTTCGCCCTAATGTTCAGTTATAATTTTCTGGTAAACGAGAATGTCTTATTTTCCGGTTGACAGCTTGTTCATCCGATTATCCAAGCTTTGCAAAATCCCAAATACGAATGGCTGTTGAAATCTTTGGAAGCCTTCAACTATGGCGATCAAAAGGCATTTGAAGCACTGAAAGCCCAGTGGCTGCGACAGATTGTAAAGTTTCTTCGTAAAAATGTGTGGTAGATATTTTGCATGTGTCTGGTAAAATTCGAACAAAGTGTGATGTTCTCAGTGGAGAACCAGTGAAACGTTTTGCTCTTTCAGCCGGAATCGACTAAGCTTCAGCCGCAAATGACTGAAAAGTTGCAGCTTATGGGCATCGTAGAGGTTAGTGTGATAAAGGTTCCGCCGGTTCTTTTGTATTTGGTTTATGATACGAGTACGATTTATCGCGGTGTGGGGCGATTCGCCCGGATCGGGCGAATCATTTTTTATTCGTTCACAATGCAGTCTCCACGTCTGGTATACAGCTCGATTTCGTAGATGGGCTTCAAACGACCCCCTCACGAGCGGGATCTCACTTTCAAGGAGATTGCTGCTACCAGTAATGTTCCTGTGGACCAGGTGCGAATTCTACCCGTAGCGGACTACCGACTGTCTGTTGTAGTATGAAGTAGTGTAAACTGTAATCAAAGGCAGCGTAGGCATAAATTTCTGAAATCGTTTGGATTAATTTTTTTTTTACCGCTAGCCCAGTAAAGCATTCGGATGGTATGAATGCAGACGTAGTTTTACGTGTTGCCATGTGCATAAGACTTTCGCCGTTTTCCATTGCGAACTGTGGTAATTGATTGTTTTTGAACCTGCGAAGGATCAAAATGCATAACAGTTAATAATAATGATAATGAGCGAGTGTTGATCGGCTTTTGAGCACCTCAGTTTTTCTGCCCACGCAGATTAATTTAATAAACCGCTGATTCTCTTGCCTGACATTATTTCCTTTTGTACAGGTTGAAATGTTGTTGATGCGTGCTTTATCTTTGAAACTTATCCGCGGTGATATCGATGAGAAGGCGCAGACATTTTACATGACGTGGGTTAAGCCCCGAGTGCTTAATATGGAGCAGGTTGGTGTTAATTCTTGAACCATCAGCGTATGTCTACCTTCCGAATACGTACATTTGTTTATTATGGAATCACCCAATTTTACAGATCACGAAATTAACGAAGAACTTAAAAGATTGGTGCAACGATGTGGATGTTATGGAGCGATTGATTCAGTTGAGGGGCCATGAAATGCTGGCTGCAGTTTAATATGTCGAATGTTTTTTCTTTATTATACTATCTTTCCTGTTATTTGTTTTATTTTCTCATACGTAATCCGTTGTAGTTATCCGAATACCCAGATACTAGCAAAACAAAATTGTCTCCACTTCTCATGTAGCTTTTTCAATACGTGGAAGTAATAAGAAAAAAACAAAAGTCTGATCGGAACCGCCAAAATCATGAACGCAAATAGTCGGTGTACACTCTCGTGAATAGGCATGGATAGTACTGAATGAAATACACACTTCTGTATTCGCCGTCACCTTTGCGAGCGATAGGTTCTCGCAGAACGGTTCACTACTCCGCGTACTGTAGCAAAATACGACCACAAGGGAGAAAACACAAGCATGCCATGCGTGGGCATTGCCTGCGAAAAAAGCGTTTGAAGCGGCTTCGCACATGAACTTTGAAAAGTTGTGCCGTAACTGTTGAGTGTACAATGGAAAAGCAGCATCATAGGAGTTGATACCAATATACTGAATATAGATATTACGCAAGTACAATACTACTGTAGAAACCAATCCGTAGTAGAGTGTAATCAAATTTCGTGCGAAAATGAGAAGATATAATTCTTTGTTACTACTTGTATTTGTGACAAAGCAGACGAAAATAGCTCGTTTCTGGTGAAGCTAACGGTAAAACAGACAACAAGAGCAGCAAAGTAAAAAGCCAGATTCATTCTGAGATTCGGTATAAAAATTAAGTACATCAACAAAATGTAACAGATTCAGTAAAAACAGCAAAGCAAACGAAACGAAGCCTTTTATAAAAATAGACGCTGGAATCATAAAAAAAGGGAAGTCAGGAACTAAGAGAAACTAAAGTGTTGCACAATATGACACTGATTATTGCCGTTATAAGACAACCATTTTATACCTCTTGAAACAACAGTTCACTACTTCTTTTTGCCCTTAATTGTTCCGGCCGGATTGTTGATGAGTTCACTTTTAACGCGATTGAAGATCTCAATTTCCCTCTGCATAGCTGTACGCTGAGTCTCAATATCCGTCATCTGGTCGGTGAATTCCGTCCGGCGATTCTCGAAACGCGAATGCAGCTCCCGCTCGTGCTCCTTCAGCTGGGACTCCTTCTCGCGTACCTTCAGGACAAACTGGCTGCGGGTCTCCTCCTCCTTCTGACGGAAGCGCTGCTCATTGCTCGTTCGCAGCTGATTAATGGTGTCCATGAAGCTGTTGTTGCGCGAATCCCCGTATCCCAATTCCGTCATCCGTCGATCGCGGTATGTTTCATAATGCAGCATGTGCGTCGTCTGCATCAGATGGTCCATGTTGACGCGCAGCAGAGCCTCACGGAAGCGCGTAAAATCGCAGTGCATCTCGTTCTCAATGTCCACAATACCCCACGGATAGACACGGGCCCGCGTCTTATGCCCCGCTACTTCGCACACTTCCGAGCTGCCCACCACACAGAACGGTACATCGGTGTTCATCCGCTTATTCTGCTCGGCCACTACATTATCATCCTCCGGGAATTTGTACACCTTGATGTTATGGCGCAGCAGTTCCTCGTTGATGCGCTGCTTGAACGCCGCCATCTCCTTCTTCGTCAGTGAATCCCCACGCGCAATCACGGGGATGATATTGACTTTATTGCCGAGCCGTTTCATGCACTCAATGTCCAAAGCTCGCACTGTGGAACCCGTGGGCGCCAACAGAAACAAACAGACGTGCACACGCGTGTCCTTGTAGTCATTCAGACGGCGCTGCACCTGGCTCTCCTCCTGGAAATACGCTTCATACTGCTGATCGATATACTCAATGATACCCTGCCAACTGTCGGTGACATCCAGCTGGTCGCCGTAGCCTTTCGTCTCGATAATCGTCAGTTGCAGGCGCACGGTGCCCTCTTCCAGGTGGAATGTATGCTTATCCAAAGCGACGTGGTCCAGCTCATAATTCCCGGCTGGTAACTTAAAGTCGTAGTTGAAGAGGGAATTGATTAAGGTAGATTTCCCGATGCCTGTCTCTCCCACCAGCAGAATGTTAAAACGAAGCCTGCGCGAGTGGCTTTATTGACGAACTGCTGTGGGAGGCTCTCGAAGCCCACACACTGGCTGGATCCCAGCTTAATATGGCGCACCCGCACCCCTTCATCGTCTAGATAGGAGCTGGACGAGGCGGGCTCGTCGTTGCCACTTCTAGCATCGATAAACTCATCGACGGTGCGCTCGTGCAGACGCAAACTTGGATGATTCTCCTTATCCATTGAGCATCAAGGATTTGGTATGGATAATGAAACGCAAGCAAACCTTGACATTAACAGTCTTGTTGGCATAAACAACTGCCACTTGAACCAAGTTGCACTCATCAAAATTTTTTGAAATACAACTGATACAAGGTAACAAGTGCGACGATGTATGTAAAGTCAAATAGATGCAGTTGAATAGTTCACACAGGAACCGTGTCAGTCAACTTTTTTACGATGCGCTCTGCGTGGCTACGTAAAGACGTAAACGCGGTAACCATTGACCAATAACAGCCGTGCGTAGGGGACCGCCGCGGCTGCGTTACGAAGCGTAGGCTCATACGTAAGTATTGGCAACGCCCGTGTGGACTCGCAGAAAAGCGGACCGCATAAAAACAAAACGACTTCCGGTGCGCTTCGTTGTAAAAATATTTGGACTGGATGACTTCCGTTGTGAGGCTTAGCGTCATTCCCGTTTTGAGTTTGTTTGGCTAAGGTATTCTATATACTTGCTGGATGAGGGGACGATATTGGTTTTCCAGTTTTAAAATTTTTCGAAATATTGTGTACTGGTCCAATAAGTGAATACGCGAGCGAGCGTACGAGCAAGAAGAAGAGTCTTGACTATACTTATTAAAATTATTTTCTGCAATTCAAGGAATATGGAGTCCGAGTATCCAGGAGTTAAAGAGTTTGAGAGTGAAACCGTTTTTGAGGTCAGTATAGTAATATTTTTAGGAACTATGTGTTTTAGCAAAAGTATGGAACACATGCCCATAGAGTGAAACTCAACAAAACGTTGCAGTTGCGGGCCGAGTCGAGGGTTAGTCTGTGCTTTTCCACGCTGAATCCTGTGCTGTTTCCGCCAGGATCACTGCCAGACAGGAATATAGTAGAAATTTTTGGACCTTACGGAACTGGGAAGACACTCTTGATAACAAACTTAATTGCGAATTGTATCTTGGACAGCGACTGCGGCGGTTGTGGATGCGAGGCGGTTTTCATCGATTTGGATCACCATTTCAGTGTAATACGCCTGTCTGAGGTACTGCGGAAAGTCTTCCTTATCAGAGATGTGGATAATGTTGAGGAACGCGTGGAAAATTGCCTCCAAAGACTGCGCATTTTCAAATGTTTTGGTTTGAGTGAGTACTGTATATCGTCCGAAAAGAATCGTCTGATCAGTTGCGATTAGTGGTAACTACAGTATATAGGAGGCTGAATGCTGTATCGGTTTGTGCGCCGTTTTGTTAGTACTGTATGTAAAATTGATGGAGTTTAAAGGGAAAGTAACACCCACTTCCAATCAATTACGGGTGCCTCATTTTTCAAAAAAATTTTAGATGATTTCTCCAGGATCCTGTACACTTTGGAAATGGTTCTATATCAAAATCAAAACATCGGAATTCTCTTTATTGACAGTATTTCGTCCTTTTACTGGCATGTTCGTTCGCTCGATCATTTTCCGGTGGTTATTCGCGATGAAAATCCCGTTTTCACTAAGATAGCCGGTATGATATCCCGGATATCGAAAGAGCACCAGGTGTCGTTTGTTATTTCATGCCAGGCACTTCTCCAACAACCGAGTAAGTAACTTTGATGAGAAAATTAAAATGCGCTAGTCACTTTTATTTCAGATTTCTTAAATTTATTAACCTGAGTAATCCTATTTATATTTGGGTGCTCTATGACTAACTGGGACTGTGTTCGGGTTTGTTCACCGACCGATTCTGTCATGGTGAATTGCTGATGGAGTCCTTATTTTGTACACGGTCTGACTTGTTGTTTATTGCAGTGAGTGGCAGCCATTTTATGGGAAGATTATGGCAGAAACTACCCACCGTTCGACTTGTAACCGGAGATTTGCTGGTTTCCAATAAACGCGAACTGAAACTGGAAATTCGAGGGAGCCAGTCCGAACTACTGCCAGATACGGAAAAGAATTTCGAAATGACGATACAAAAGGATGGCATTTTCATTGAAAATGTTTCTTAACAGTACCCTTTTGAGGAAGGGAAGAATGTTGTTAGTGGTAAACAACCAAAAACAAGGTGTCTTCTTTTTGCTGCCTTTTGGGTGTTTTATACGGGTACACCACATTAACGTTGTGCTTTAAATTTCTTCGTGAAATGAATCTCATAGCTTGTGTTATTTAATACGAAAGGTCGAAAGTTATTTGAACAAAACTGTTTTACAAAACAACTCGCTACACTCCAACAAGACAACAGTTAATCATGAATAAAATAATTACAGATTCAATTTCAGAATTTTGCAGTTTACAGGCAAACAAGATCCTGGTACAAAGGCAATTCTTCGCTATAGGCTACAAACTAAAACCATAACCTTTCCTACCCCCAAACAATTTCCATTTTGTGAAAGACGTTGGCACGTATCTGAAAAAACATGACACACAAGATGCGTGTGCACAATTGGTCCTTGCAATTGTCGGCCATTTGGTTATGCACCAAAAGGGGCAGCAAACCGCTCCCAAACTGCTGCAAGTGCGTTGCAGTGCAGTTCACTTTGGTCTGTGGGAGTACACTTCACGGCGTAACAAACGTTACGGATTTACACTTGAGTCTGCTTCCCTAAAGCAGACGACAATTTGGTGCCAAGGCTAGGTTCTTTGTCCCAAAGTTTGCCACTAGCTTCACTTGTGTCCGGCAACGACATCTGTCGATGATACAGGTCATCCATGGTGCGTCCGTTCAGCATGGCACCGTTTTCCAAATCATCCTCGGCTTCCGCTGCCGACAGGGTTTCACTGCTCAGAAACGGCCGCCGGCTTTCGGCATCCTGTCTTTTGCGAAACGATTCATAACCGTTCAAATCCTTCATCGGCGGGGGAATGTCAATTTTAACCGGTAAATCCAGCTCCGAGTCACCTTTGGCCAGCTTGGCGCCGTTGACCTCGGACACGTTCTCCCGACTTCCATCAATGTCGGCCGCGGGAATGTAATCGCTGAACCTCTTAGCCATGCTCAGCGGCAGTACGTAGTCGTCATCGGGCAAGTGCATGCGTTTCTGCAGTAAATCGCGGAATTGTGTCGGTGGCTGAATGGGAGACAGGAAGGCCGCCGTCTCGTCGGCTTCGTCTTCCACGAAATCCGCCACTTCGAAGCAGTCACTCTCGCTTAGTTCATCGTCGCCCAGCAGTTCATTATGGATGGACGATGATCCGTCTGGGCCGTCCGCGGAAACAGTGGCTGTTGCAGCGCTTGAATCGCCTGCTTCCAGTGTAGTGCCGGTCGGATCCCATAGAAGATCTACAGACACCACAATGAATTCAAACTTTAACCGAAAGCTAACATTACACATAAAAGACAAAGTGAGTGAGAACGCTACCTTTTCGGTCATCGTTCAATGAAGAAACTGTGCAAAAGGGACAGAACAGTCAGACCAATGAAATGAAATCCCCACGAAAAGATAGACGAACATGGTTTTACGGAGAGGTCACTTTAATTTACCTGCATGATCGTCTTCGTCGCTGATCATCGGTGATGTTGCACTGGATGCTCGGTTAATTGTAGATGAACTTTCTTTCTTATTTTTGGCAATATTCCGGAAATTGTTTGCTGTAATAAAAAAGTTTGTTACTGTTTCAGCAGAACATCAAATACAAAAGCCAAAAACACCGGAAACCGAATTAGACAGAACTTAATTTATGTAAAGTATCACACCATAATGCGAGGTATTATTAACATTTAAATAAGCTATACATACCTGAAAGAGTGTTTTTTGCGTTGGGCATATCCACTACAAAACCTTTCGAGTGTCGCTTACGCTCATCATCCCCATCAAACATATTGCTGCGTCGGTGCAACGAAGCTGTTTCCGACGATGTTGCCGAATGTGATGGTGGTGGCGGGGTCATCGGGCGGAATGGAGGCCGATTTCTTGTCCCACTACCTCGTACCGAGCCATGCTCGTTTATCAGCATCGGCTGCCGCGCTTCCGCAGCTTCTAAATTCGAAATCTTACTTCCTCGCTTTAGCAGCGTATCTTCGGCAGCCACCCGGTTATTGCACAGCTTCAACCGGCTGATATCATTGTTAATCGTATGCGTTGTGGGCGAGCCGGTTGAGTCTTGGGAAAACTGATACTCCAGTCCGGTGGCACGCCGTTTACGGAAGCGTTTGCGGCATAACACTAACAGTACACCCAGCAGCGTTACGAGAAAAACGATACCAATGACAATAAGGATCTCAATCCATGTCCAACCAGCGATAACGCCGCGGGTGATGTTGGGAATAAACACCGACTCTTCGCACATGGTACCGCGGAACTGTACGGAGCAGTTGCAGCGAAAACCGCCCATCAAATTTTCACATGTTCCGCCATTATGACATGGTGACTGCAGACACTCATTGACATCGCGTTCGCACAGTGTGCCCTCGTATCCGTGCAGACACTGGCAAATCGGTCCCATCGTGCCCTCCTCACATCCGCCGTTCTTACATGGATTGGGATTACAGAAGCGGCCGTATTCGCACCGTTTGCCGGTCAATCCAGCCGGGCACGAGCAGTGGAAATCGTTGGGTGGGCGGTTGGTGCACGTTCCGTGCAGACACGGAAGACTGGCGCAGGGGTTGGAATCGTTTTCACAGAATGTCCCGGAGAAACGCGGCGGACATCGGCATACAAACGCGGTCTGCGAATTCGGCTCACAGAAGGCCCCGTTCTGGCAAGGCATGGAGGCGCACGGACCGAGGTCACCAGTGGTGATGTGACAACCGTGCCGGATGTTGGCCAGTTGGATCAGGGTGGCTTCCGGGTTGCGACCGACTTTGGGCAGTTCGACACCGTTAATCTGGATGCGCTTCATGCAGCCAATGAAGCCGCGTCGTACATCCCGAATGATATTTTCCAGCGAAGAACGCTGCGCGCTGGCAGCGGAAAAGCGACCTGGAACTTCAGCGCCGAAAAACACATCGTTGCCTTCCAAATTGAGGATGTCGTTGATCCCGGGAGCGGTAGCTTGTGCAACGAATTTTCCGTCCAATCGAATTTCCGCCTGGTAACATAACAGATTACCGTAAGAATTGCTACCACTGGTGGCTGTTTTTTTGCGAAATATTAAGTGCATGAATGCGATGATTACTAAAAATTGTTATGCAGTTTTTACGAGAGCACGTACATGACGCCCATGTCGTTGGACTGTAAGTTCATGCCACTGATTATCGCTAACATAAATTCCTTCCAGTTTAGCTAATCCTTCTCCACTACCGCAGTCAAAACGGTATTGCACCACTCCGCTCTTGATCTAAAAAAATTCAATAGAAAATCATTACGTTTAACTGCTTTTGGCTTCGTAACCTTTTCTGATAATACAACTATGTAGTACGCACCTCCAATATGCTGTAGTCCAGCCGGCCAGCGACGTACATCAGATTGCCGAAATCGAACCTCGTTTTGAACTTCATAGACAAGCTCAAGTGTCGCTCAATGGGTTTTTGCAGATCGTACCAGGCATAACTGTTACCACTGTATGTAATCGCTTCGTCATCTAAAGAATAATTTTTTATAATTACTTTCTGGGAGAATTTAGTTGCACAAAAGATCAACTTGCCATATTCGCCGAAAGGCGAACGCTGATCACACTTCAGACCTTCTTTGCCGTTCGGACATAAACACTTTGTTTCACCATTACCCATGGACACACATTCTTTAGGCGCAGTACATGCTTTAGTAGCGCATTCGTCGAACGGGCGCTCACATCGCAGACCTAAAACCGAAAAATCAAAAGTTCAAATCTACTTCAATTTAGACCGCCGAGACTCGAGGTAAATGCAAGCCCACGTTCTACGGTTTTGTCACACTTACCGCTGTAACCAGATTGACAAACACAGCGATAACTCCATTCATGTCGAGGATAGACATACGACTGGCCATTACTGCCGGTGACCGAAACATATTGCGCTTGGGAATGATCGAGTAACCTTAAATTCTCCTGGCACTGGCCAAACACGCATGTATCCGCCGCGCATAATTTCGGCACCACCCGAACACCCTTCAGATCCATCAGATTTTCAAAAGTGCTTTGCTGTGTTTGCAACGTCCCGCGCACTTCCTCAGCCTCGATATAGCCGTCTCCGTTTTTCCCTTTTGACAGTGCAAACAACACCTGCACGGATTCACTGAAATCCCTGATGTCCCGTTTCTTCCGGTCCAGATCGTTGACCTCGTACGGCTGCACACTGATAATGTGGACATCCTTATTGCGTCGCAGCCCGAACAGTTGCCTCACCGCTCGGATGAAATCCCGTTTGTACGTGCTAACAAATTCCTCCACTGACACATCATCCAGCTGCACGGTGACACCGCTGTCTAGCATTTCATTGTTCACATCCATGACAGAGATCGGGATTTTTTCGAATGTCGTGAAGCGTCCATCCGTCACCGAGACATTCAAATCGTACAGTCCTGGCACGACGCCGGCTTTAGCGATGATATTACCCTGTAGCGCGTCCATGTCGAAATACGTCTTCAGTTCCGGTGAAGCAATGTCGTAGTTAAGCAGATCATAGATATCCGCATCCGTTGCCGCAATCCGACCAATGACACCACCCGCAAATTTACCATTCGTGGACAGAACGGAGATCTGGGTGGGGTTGATTTTGGGCGGGAACTGGCTTTCCTCGACGATGCGGATTGTAATCCATGTGGACGCATTCATCGAGGGACTTCCGTTGTCGGTGGCAGTGATGGTCAAGTTGAATTCCGAATGTCGCCGGTCGAGAAGAGGGCGAGTGGTGCGGAGTGACAGATCGCTAGAGGTCACTTGGAAAAGGCCTTCGTCGTTACCAGCAGTTATTTCTAACGCAAACGGTTGGCCATTCGGATCCAAGTCGGCGTCATTCAGATCGAAACGAAGAATTGTAAAGCCACCTGGTCTCTTCTCCTGTAAGATAAACGCCCAGTAGAGTTGAAATGAGTTTTAACAAAGCAACTGTACAGGAACTATCCATGATCGCAATCTTTATAACCAGCACTTTGCCTTTATGTGTATCTATAAACACGCGTCTGTGCGAACGAGAACTATGAAATAATTCAAAACTCTTAGTTACTAAAAATCGTTTTGCCAGGAAGGAACGTGGCTTGTGAGTTCGGTTCTTTTGCTCCTCGAAGTTATACAATGAAAGAAAACAACACTAATCGAGTTACGTAGTAACTTACTTGTGACATATTAGCCACAGCCTTCACGCAGCACAAGACAAAGGAGAACAAGACAAGAGTTAGAAACAGCCCACACCGTAATTTATGTAAAAATACACCCAACCAAAGTACGTACTAGCCAAAATGTTTAGGGTCACTCAGGTACCTGTAAAACTGCCGTGTAGTTTGGTTGACTAAACTGTGGCGGGCAATCATTGACGTCCAAAAGGGCAATTTCCACAGTAGTAAGTGCTGAAAGAGCCGGTGTACCACTATCAATAGCTTTAACAGTCAACAGGAAGACCAAATTCTGCAAAATATGTAAGGTCAATAAAATCAATCCTTCATCTCTTGAGTTCAGAATGTCTTGCCTGCTCCCGGTCCAGTGCGGATGCGACGGTGACCCAACCAGTTTCCGGATCAAGATGGAAAGGATACGTGCTGTTTTCGGGAAACATGTAACTGACTTTTCCGTTTTCCTTCGTGTCGACATCATTGGCAGTGACCTGGATGACCTGCGCTCCAACGTCCACATCTTCTGATATTTTAACGACATATTGATCTGCAAAAATTAAGCAAAATCTGAAAGACTGGAAAAATGCGGTATTTAACGTCGGAATATGCCACTGTTCCTTAATGTTTAACCACCACCACCACACCCGGCCTGACTTACTTTGCAAGAATATCGGTGGGTTGTCGTTGAAGTCCGTCACATGGATCAACACCTGTGTAATTCCAACCAAAGGTGGTTCGCTGGAATCATGTGCTTCCAAGAACACGATGAACTCCGGTTGCTTCTCGAAATCCAGCTCCTTCAGTAATACCATCTCCCCATTCCGACCGTCGACATCAAAGACGCCCAACTGGTTGCCATCCGTGATGCGATAGTAAAGGTCACCGCGCACAGCATCATCCAGGCTGGTCGCTTCCACTTGACCGACCTTGCTTCCGATTCGAGTGTTCTCCGGTACGTTGAACTGGTACTGCGCTTCGGAAAACTTTGGTGGATCATCGCGGACATTTTGCACAAACACTTTGAGGTTCACCATGCTCCACAGCGAGGGTGAGCCGGCATCTTTTGCTCGGAAGCGCAGATCGTAGCGCGGCGTTGTCTCGCGATCAACCGCACCAGTGAGATGAATGAACCCGTTGGTTTCGTTTAAAGAAAATAGTTTGATGTTATCTTCGCTTTCTTGGTCGTTAGGAAGGAATGCGTATTTGACAAGGCGATTCATACCCAGATCACGATCGCGGGCCTTGAGGCGATACAACAGAGTGCCCGGTGCGGTACTCTCAGAGACAGCGACCGTAAGATTGTCCGGAAATGACGGAGCGTTGTCGTTGACATCGGTCACGACGATTTCTATGCTGGCTGAACAGGAGCGACCGTCCTCGTCGGAAGCGATACCCAGCAGAGCGTAGCGATCGGTAGTCTCGCGATCCAGATGTTGCTTAATGCGCAGCAGACCGGTTGCGCGGTCCATGGTGAAATCGTCGGAATTGTCGCCCACAATGACGTACTCGATTTCGTTGCGGATGTCTTCATCAGTGGCTTGCATGCGGAGAACGATGTGGCCGACGTCCATATCTTCCGGTAAGATTTCATGGAAGGAGGACTACAGAAAAATGAGTAAGCCCGCTGTAATCATCTACTATAAGGTATCACTTCAAAATTATCCTTCAAAAAATCGAAATTAAACATCATAGACTTTGGTTCTTTTAGCTATGACCAAGAAAAATTATTACGCAGTTTTTCGGAAGCTTTAGTAAATCATTACTTGCTGCCATTCCGCAACTACGGTAAATGTATACCTTGGTGCATATAGGGGTATTGTCATTAATATCCAGAACATCAATGTGCAATTGCGTGGTTGCTGTTCCCAAGCCGTCAGTGGCAACAAGCGTCAAATCATATGAGCTTTTTTCTTCACGATCCAGTGCGGCCACTACCGATACTTCCCCTTTGGAATTGATGACAAAATGCCGAGAAGGATCGCCTTTGGTAATGTAATACTCCAACGCCGCAGTCTGATCCAAATCCGTGGCTCGCACAGCCACAATGGGAATATCCGGAACGAATTCCTCTTTGACGCTAGCCTGAGTGTGGGTCACTGGGAAATACGGTGGATTGTCGTTAATATCCAGAACCTGGAAAGGGAATTCATATAACTGCCACTTGCTTCGAAAAGGCAGAAACATTGTATGGCTGTACAGTACTAAAAGATTATCAAAGCCTTTAAGCACACATGACTTTAGCACGGAACTTTGTACAGGTGGTTGGTGTACAGGTTGTGGTACGGACCGTACGGTGATTCGACTGTAACGGCAGAAACGAAAAATGCTTTGCAGAGGCTTACATCAATTTCCACAATCATTGTCGAACTGAGAGCCGGTACGCCACTGTCCACTGCCATAACTTTCACAACAATTTTGCTGTCCATCTCTCGATCTATCGTCCTTTCCAGCGTCAACCATCCGGATTTTGGATCTAACGCAACTGGCAAGTGTGACGCGTTGACTAGTTCGTAGCGTATCATCGCATTCTGCCCATAATCCAAATCATACGCCGAAATGGGAATTAATCGGACCGGAGCGGTGTAGTTCTCCGGCGTCTGGACGGTGACCTTATCGGCGAAAAACACGGGCGCATTGTCATTCTCATCGTTAATACGGACCTGAAGCTCGACATGGCTGACCAACAGCGGATTGTCTTTGAACGTCGCCTGCACGAAAAAGCGATACTTGTTCTGCGCTTCAAAGTCCAGTTCTTTAGACACAACGAGACGGCCGTCTTGGCGAATGGAAAACGGCAGTTCAGTTTGGTTTAACGCCGACGGGGATATCACGGTAAAAATGACTGGCTTTGGTTGTTTCAGTCTCACGGTCAGCAGAGTTGTGTTCATTGGAGCGTTCTCGTGGATACTGAAAAGATACAGCAACTGGTCGAACTCTGGCAGAATGTTGGTGTTATCCACCACGAAAATTTCGACAGCCACTGAAGACCACTGCAATGGGCTCCCTTCATCCGATGCATCGACGAAAAAGGACAACTTCTCGTTTGGGAATTCTGCAATAAATAAATTAGGTGCAACACATGCAACGCTAATTTTTGTTTTCGCGAGTTTAACTGCATAACCATATCTTCGATTAAATTTTAAATCATGCAGCACGTGTATATACATATACTTCGTACAAACATAAAAATAATTACACATTTGATAAATGGATGGAGGTGACAGTGTCACTGTGAACACTGTCAATTCATTTAATACGGATCCGACACTTCGTTCGGCATGTCTTAAATTGTCTTCGTAAAAAATGTATGATATGATAATTTCTGTTGCGTGCCTTACCGGTGCCAAAAGGTTTCTTCAGTTTAATTATGCCAGTTCGGGAGTCGATGTAAAATAAATTAAAATGTCTGGAATTCTCTAAACTGATGCTATACACAACGGAACCATTCTGTCCAAGATCTCGATCCGTCGCCTCAACCTTCATGAAAAAAACAATTCTTAGCGCTGTCATATTTGAGCAATCGTTTTCACCAATCACCTTCAGTATGGCTGCATCAGCAGCAAGGTTATCGAAGACAGTGACAGTGTAAATCTTCTTAGCAAAGACTGGCGCTTTATCGTTCATATCTGCAACACCAATTAATCAATCAGTTACTATTTACTGGGCCACGTAGAAAGAGGTGGTTGTGTTGAAGCTTAGCAGAGATAAATTTAAAAATTGCGGTTAAGTACCAGTGAGAGTTATGTTGACTTGACAAAAGTCCCGTAATCCGCCCAAATCTACCGCCTGAATCCAGAATAGGTAATCAGCTTGACGCTCACGATCTAAATTACCAGCCACGGAAATGACACCGCTCTCGGCGTCAACAACAAAACGATCGTCATACACATCTTCCACAATGGAGTATCGCAGCTGACCATTGCGTCCAGCGTCTAAATCACTGGCCCGAACCGCGCCGATGACACTGCCCAGTGGAGCATTTTCGGCAGTAGTTAATGCATAGAATGGCCAATCAAACTTTGGCGAATGACGATTGGAAATGACCGGAAGAATGTTCACCTGAGTATACGCGACATGTACACCGTCCGACGCGGAAATATTCAGCTGGGCAGAACTCCACAGGAAACCCGTTGCTCCAGAGGAAAACGCAACTATTCCTAAAGAACCACTCTGTTACCATTATGCTGTTTTTTATTCTGAAGATTATGGGCTTTGTTTTGCATGTGTCTACGAGTATATATGTATTTTCGAAGCAAATCATATAAAAATTCAAGAATGATGACGTCATCTTCAGGCAAATTTAACTACAATACTTTTAGATTTTCACAAATGCCTTCGGCCAATGATGTTTTATTAGCAAAAGAGTTTAGTACCTTGTCTGTCGATGGTGAACAGCTCATCTCCATTTCCATCAACAATGCTATACTGCATATCGGATTCAGCATCATGATCAACGGTAACCACACCGCCAATGAACTTTCCCGGAAATATCTCATCGCTCACCACAAAATCGTAAGATGAGTCGGTAAAGCACGGCGCAACGTCGTTGATGTCTGTTAAAGGAGCAAACAACCCTCAAGAGGCCGGTTGGACTTTCCTTACCGATAAACAAGTTTATTTAGTCACTTGTATCTCACCTTTCACTACGACGCGCAGGGTCATGGCTGAGCTGCGGCGAGGATGGCCGGCATCTGATACGATTATCGTCAGGTCAAGTTGGTCAATCATCTCGCGATCCAGTTCGTTAATCAGATACACTTTGCCGCTAGTGGAATCAATCTGGAAATAATCGCCGGCTTTGAACTCCTCCGCACCGCTAAGGCCCTTCTTGATGCCGCATCGGAAAAACACATCTTCATCGGATTTCCGGTTGCGAATACGGCTTACGGTTTCACGTGCAGCGTCTTCCGACCATTGCAGGCTGAAGTGGAGTTCCGCGTTTTCGCCGCTATCGGCATCCGATGCCAGAAGCTGATAGATTTCTGTTTCCCGTGGTGTAGTCTCGGCTAGTTTGATTGTTTGAAAGGTCACTCCATCTAAAAACCATTATTTCATTACCACTGTAGTATCTGATTAATGTTTGAGAAATATTTCTCATTAAAAAAATTCGGTAAATTATATTAGTCCGATATATTAAGAAACTAAAATTTTTTTTGGTTCTTAATGTTTACTGTACACGTTAATTATGGCTCATTTTTGCATTGTATCAGGTATAGTAGAATGAATCATTTTATGAAACAAATTTCGCAAGAGTCGGCAAGATGACAGAAATCCATCTCATTCGACCAAAACAAACATTACGCAACATAACTCTTTGATTGATGTATGGCATGTATACCTTTGGTTTTGGGGGCATTGTCGTTGGCGTCGAGAATGTCAACAAATACCACAATATCCGAGTATAAAGTTTCCCATTTGGCCGGATCCATGGCACGTACACGCAGCGTAAACTGTTTCTGCAGTTCGAAGTCAACCGGCTCCAGCAGACGAATCACTCCTGTAATTACCGGCGCTATCATATTTCCGTTAGCTCACTACTCATATCGTCAATATTGATACCTGTCGTGAAATCAATGTCAAAATTATTGAAGCGGTCGCCCTCCATGATAGTGTAGACGATGTCCCGGGACGTGTTGACCAAGCTGGCATAAGTCGCACTGACAGTAAGAAGCGGTGTCCCGACTTCGGCGGCTTCCGAGACACTCGTGCGGTACGTATTTTGCGGGAAAAGGGGCACCGTATCCGCCACGATGCGAAGGAGAACGGTGGCGTCGGAATGCAGGCTGATGTTACCACTGTCGCTCGCACGGATTGTATACGAAAATTCCTGTGTTAACTCTTGTTCGGTCAAATCCCTCGCCAAACTCACATCGCCGGTGGAAGAGTTTATTGATATTAACGGTTGGTATGAAATCACTGCGTAACTTATAACACCGTTCTTCCCCTCGTCCGCATCGGTTGCGGTCACCTAAAAAGCATAATGAAATTATTATAAATCAGCTAAAAAGTTTACCGCGTAACTGTTATTTTATTATTGACGTTTAAATCGTGATAGGTTCAGGCAATAATCACCTTGCCCACAATTAATCCTTGTTTGCCGTAAACCGGTACAGCCATAACGTAAACAGAATCGTTAAATTTGGGCGGATTATCGTTTACATCCAGCACAGTGAATTCGATTTCCGTGCGCGCTTTTTGTTTTGTTGCCTCGGCAAAGCTGACAGCTTCCATAACAAGCGTTATCGTTTTCGTCTGCTCCCGATCGAGCGAAACATTTGTGGTCATCACAGCCCCCGTCAACGAATCGACGACTGTCCAGGGATTTTCAGTCATCATTTCATACCGGATATTTTCCCCCAAAAAGCGCCCATTTAATTTGGGAACAAACACTTCCTTTCCCCCTTCGTCGTTCTCTTTGATAGTTGCCGTATATTTGGCTTGTGAAAATTTGAGAACTTTATTTTCCACTTCGGTAAATGTCACGAAAACCTTGGCGGTGGCAGTGTGCAGTCCATCGGACACTTGCACCGTTAACGAGCGCACTTCTCCCGCACTGACATCCAGCGAGTGGTTGTTCAGCTGCAGATCGCCCTTGGCGGGATGCAGTGTAAAGGTACGGTTGGGGTTTCCGGCGATGATTTTGTACGTCAGTGTACTGTTGATCAGATCGGCATCCTCGGCGGTCACGCGTCCGACATGCATGGCTGGATAAACAGGGATGGTCAAGGTGAAGTTATATTCGTCAGCCGTGAACACCGGCGGGCAGTCGTTGACATTGATGACGTTGATAGTCAGTTGTGTCGACTGGTCGGATGACAGGCGAGGCCGGCCGGCGTCGGATACACGTACCAGAAACTGGAACTGCCGGTGCTTCTCGTAATCAATCTGACTACGCAAACGAACACTTCCGCTGGACAGCACTTCAAAGTACTGACTAATTTCCGGTTGAAGAACTTCAAAAAATAACAGGCTATTCACACCGTTATCAGCATCCCATGCCGCTAGGATCAACGGTCGACCCGATGGATCCAGAACGGAAGAGCCGACAGGTGATGCCTCGCTAACGGAACCAATCAAGCTCGTGAAATTCATTCTGGGTGCGTTGTCTACAAATATAATGACATCGTTATTAATTTCGTATGGTTTACTGCTGTAAGATAATAGACTAAGATTGCAAATACACAAAAAAAATAATTCAAATTTTCATATCATACCCAGAAAAATTTTTTTTTAAATTTATCTGGAAACCGCTAATTATGCAATTTATAAACAACTTTATTTTATTTTCATGTAATACGACCGGTATTTCTGCATATTACTGCCTATATTTAAAAATACATGATTTATTGCTCGGGAAAGGTATGTTTGCCAACTTAATTGACGAAATGTACTTATCATAATTTCTAAGCAGCATGGCGGCAATAATTCGACAAATATAAAACATCGAACATGGTTCTCGCATTGATGTCAAAATAATAAATTGTAATATATGTTCACTCTTATAAAATTTCATGCTTTACTGATGCTATTCTCAGTGAAAAGTAATTTATGTAACCGATGTCAAATTTCTGCATTTTGATTAGCTTCCTACGCGCCATTTATCTCCATTAAGTGGACATATGCACCTGATAATATTATTATGAGCCTTTTAATGCCAGAACTCATTTAGATCGCACTTTTACTCCAACGTAAGACGCCAACCTTACCATTTAAGTCTTTGACGAAAACGGACACGGTGCATGTTGCGGTTTCGTAATGCCGATTTACGGCCATGACATTAATGACATACGAGCGTTGTTTCTCATAATCCAACGGCATGCTGGTAGTGACCAGTCCGGACGACGGATCGACCATAAAGGCATTTTTATCCCCATTGCCACGGTCCGAGAGTTGGTATGTTACGAATGACTGCACCCCAACGGCCACGACAGCCACGAATGTTCCAGCTGGCGCGTTTTCCGCAATAAAGGTCATTCGTTCACGCTGAGGAAATCCGAACGGTGCAAGTGCATTTTCGTCGGCCAGTTTAACTAGAACAAGCGCTTCCGTCTTCAACGGGGGGATACCCTTATCGCTCGCTACTATCTTAACAGCTAATTCATCACTTCCCAATTTTTCGGCATTCTGCAGTAGTCGAACATCACCAGTGAGGGCGTCGATTTCCAGCAGTGACTGTGATGCCGTGAGACTGTAGGTGACCTCTGCATTGAGACCCGTGTCGCGGTCGGATGCCCGCATTGTCAGGACGGTGGCGCCGGCTGGTAAGCCTCTCTGCACCACAACAGGCTGACTGACTTCCGTGAATACTGGAGCGTGATCATTCAGGTCAATGACATTGATGAGAACTTTAGCTAAATCGCCACGCGACTGTGCCCCGCGATCCTTGACCATTACCGTCAGGATGTGCTGGGCGACGGTCTCTCTGTCCAGTGCTTCCGCTGTCGTGATCACCCCGGTGTGTTCGTCAATATGAAATTTGCCGGCACTGACCGGACTGCCGGTGGCATGTATACTGTATAGCAGGCGTTGCTCCTCGTCCTGGTCCGAAGCGGCCACACGCACCACTTCGCTGCCCGGGCTGGCATTCTCCGGGACGGAGGCGATAAAAGAGCGTTTAATAAACTGGGGGCGGTGTTCGTTGACATCGGCAATCTTGACGAGGAGAACAGTTGAGACAAAATGCACACCATCCGTTACATTAATTGTTAGAGTGTAATTTCGATGGGCTTCCCAGTCGAGCGGACGGGCTACGATTAAATTGCCCATGTTGGGGCCGATGTGGAACTGCTTCTCGGGATCACCACCTACACAAGAAACCGCAATCAACATACAACGTTGTGCAAACTTTCTTGATCAAATACAAGCGATTTATATGGCATTCGATAAAAACAAACGGTATATAAAAGAAATTGCCTCTATAAGTCTTCGTTATCTTATTATTTGTGCATCTTATACAGCACCAATAAGATGGTCATCTCATGGAAATTTGCATTGAACTGGTATGCTCATAGTTTATAGACATCCATGCCCGCTAAACTGCCCTGCGGTTAAGTTTCTCTCCTGACAAAATCAATTAATCGAGAATAATTTTATCAATAACTTTTAACAACGTTAAGCAAACAAGCCGTCAGCATGCTGAACTTACCGACTATGTAATACCACAACATATCTCCATCTGGATCTTCGGCTTCCAGTAAATGCACCAAATGCCCAACAGCACTGGTTTCGGACACAGTCACAGAAGCAGTAGTCGGTGTGACCTGCGGTGGTTTTGTAGTAGAGCCAGGAATAGCTGAAGCTTCCAGTACAACTCGAAGTGTTTTCTTTTGGGCAGAATCTTCGGGATCAGACGCTTTGACCTTTAAAGTGAATTACTTCAATTATTGCAGCATATGTTACAGAAACTATATTTTTTGTAAAAAAACTTACCACCACATTATAATCTTCGCCAACATTCAGGGGCTGCGCAGCAAATACTTCCCCAGTTTGAGTGTCAATGCGATAGCGTTCATTTTCCACTTTCTTCCCGGTGAGCGAAAATCGAATCTCTGCGTTGTTTCCGATGTCAGTGTCGAAAGCGATTACTCGAAATAATGGCAGCGCTTTCGGTGGCTTCCAAGCTGGGACTACGTATCTCTGCACATGTTCTTTAAGGAACTGCAATACAATATAGAATAACAAAAAGTTAATTTCCTCATTCTTTCAAGGAACACAGTCAGCACCCACATATCATGTGCGCTTTATTAAACAGTTCATGAAAATGGTCAAAATATAATTAGTTGTATGTGCGCCCTAAATGTATATATTTTACTTGCACTCCGCGGTTTGAGCAGGCAGTTTTAGTATTCATTTTCTCAAAGCAGTTATTTTCTTACAGAAACAGACGAATCCTGGACATCCTGTACCGTCACCACAACAAAAGTTGTGGACTGCAGCGCTGTCGGTTCACCGTTGTCGCTGATGGTGATCTGCCGAAACAAAATACCGTACAATGCGACACTGATAGTCAGGAATACGTCTGGTGCGTGTATTGCAGAAAAGCCCCGCAATGCTAACCTCCAGCGTGTGTTCAGCCTGGGTCTCACGATCAAATTTCCTGTTCGTTGTTCGAATAATCCCTACATGACATTCTCAAATTAACATCCTCTTTGCAAACCGTACACCCAACTCAATCGACCATGTGACACAAGGGACTAGCAAATAATCGTAACATACCGGTTTTTTCTTGAATAGTAAAAAATCCCTGGGGATTGCCGGCTGTGATCTTGTAGGTTAATTGTGAACTGGTGGAATCTAAATCAAAGGCATCCAGCGTGGCCACCACCGTATCGGGTGGGCTGTTTTCTGGTACACTGGTATAATAGATCGGCTCGGCTGTCATGGGATTGTTGTCATTCGTATCACCGATTTTCACGTAACAATGTAGGACGGAATATTTTGGCACAGCAGCCGAATCTTTCGCCAGAATCTTCAACCAGTAATGCTCCTGAGCTTCCCGATCAAACACGGCACTGGTCAATATTAAACCTATAAAAATTAGCATAATTTACAAAGCCATCATTAGAGAGTGATTGTACAGCAAATGTAAATACGAGGACAAAATCCTAGATTTTTCATAAATTATATCATTGACAATATGAAATCGCAGCTGAAACTTGAAGCAGCTTTTCAAGGAGTAGTTCTATGCAATATCACTAATCGTCCAAATTTGATTTTTCTCTGTGACCTGCTTAGTGGCCCACTGTTTCTTTTCTTCTTTCAACACGAGCATCAATTATTAATACTTAGAACATTTTTGGACAGTTTCTGATTTTACTGAGTGCTGAGGAAATGGTACTGCAGTGTTCTCACTGAGTGGACACGATGATTTGATCGATTTGCTCTAAATTTTGTTATTCACCGATGTAGACTCTGAGATTACGTGCCCAGTCAAGTTGCGCATACAAATACGCTGATAAAATTAAAAGTGTTCAGTTGTAAATTTCTGATCAACGTTCAACATACATTGCGCAAATAGACTCTGAGTAAGAACAAATATTTGCATCCGGAAAAGCTTCACTATCCGCTATAAAAATACTTCAAGCTTCTCCTTAATATACAGTTTTCTTTTTGACATTAAGGATCATCTAATCGATAAGGAATGCTCCTTCTTCGCACACGGAATCTGATAATGACGGATGAGGTTTTGATAAAGCATGTGATTAAGCTAACGTTTACCGACGGATAGAAAATATTACTGATCAGAAATTAATGTATTCCCTTTCGAAAAACATGTGTCCTGAATACAGTGACCCATGTATGTGCAAATGTGCAGACAATATCATTTGTAAAAACGGCTAGCATAATAACCCTATAACACAATAATTCGCTGACCATATTTCGTACAAGTTTGACCACTTTCCCCAACAGCTCTGTTTGCTTAGCCGATTTCAGAACTGAATAGAGTTGCGGGACTGACCATCTGTGCAGTTTTATAGAAGTGCCAATATAAATAAGAAAACTTTAGCGTTCTCTAGGACATGCAGTTGGCATAATTATTATGTGTTAGTGTGCCAAACCAATGGACGGCATTAAATAACTCTACAAATTTGGTAATTCGTATATCTTCTACTTTTTTCTGTTTTGCTGTTCTCTATCTGACTATCTCTAAAATCGAAGCCGTGATCTACCGTAAAAAGTGCGCCCAAATGCACAGCTAAGTACCCCAGTGATTATCTTATCCCTGTATAAAATGTAATTACGGCGCTATCAGAAAATGCCGGTAAGTCTGCAGTTAAAAGTGAGCATGCGCCGGTGTGGCTACACAAGTTATCACCGCGGTGTCGGGTGTAAATTTTTAATATTAATGGTGTTTGGCATGGGAATTGTAATATATGCACTGGCCCAGGAAAGCAAATGGTCAGTAATAAGCGAGTACGGCCTGCATTTGTAGACATGCACAAAATCACCTGAGATTGTGTACATGGCAATCGAATTAGCCTGCAGAGAATACTTCAGTAAATATCGATAATAAAACAATTTCCTGTGCGGCGCCAAGCGTCACACAATTCCACTATTTACACGAAACTCAAGGAAATTTGATAGAAACGTTGGAAAAGACATCAAGATGCCAAGAGTTTCGTTATGCTAGCGGTACATATCATTTGGAAAAACATCTTGAGCTTTGTAGTCCCCACTTCAAGATATTGGCAATTTTTTGTTTCAGGCAGCATAATTACATAATGTTGCGGTTGTCTTAAAAAATAAGCAGAAACTGAAGTATTTGTAGATGCGTTTACATCCACCTATCTTGCTTATAACCGACTTCCACCTCACTGCTTACCGCATGCTGTTCAGATTACAAAAGATTGCTCGAATACATGTGGAAAGAAGCAGCGGTATACGTGCTTGTTGAACTTTTTATGGGCGCTGTTGAGGATTATTTTACCACCGCGGCGATAATTGATATTATGTTTTATTGCAGTCGTGAAATTACGTATGTCGTTACGCACAAACAAGGAGATCATTAAAGCAGAAAAGAAGTGGAGGTGGTTCGAACTGTCTTCAAGGCTCAAGCTTTGTAGAATTCGAAGTTTAACAGCTGGCACAATCGCCTAATTTTATTGAACTTCACAACCAGTATTGCCTTATATGCGTCTCTCATAAGCGTAATCCCATACACACAAACCATTACTTAATTTTCATACATGTGATTTTATATCAAGTCACCAAGATAATATTTTTTAATAAAATAATAACTGAAAGCTAAAATATTTAAAAATTTTCTTAAAGAGCGCGGTAATCCAAAACCAGGAAGACTACCTAATTCATTTTCGAAAGCGCATTAAACTGCAAGGGGACAATTTATCAATCGAACTATAAACCGATTGCTTCCGCTTCATCTCACAAAGGACCTGCTCCTTCAGAGGGCATGGACCGGCTTTTCCTCTATTAATAGTAACGTCAAATACACTTTAGCATAATCGAAAATACCTAATGCCCTTGACGCGCACTGTACTCGGGCACATTTATTGAACGGCGAATGTATTATCAGATTCATAACCCAATTTATTCATACATTGCCATGCGCCATTAGACAAACGCTGACCGCTATATGCATATATTTCTCCAAATAAGTGTGTATGCCTGCTCCATGCATATAAGCGTGCGCGTTAAAATCCACATCTTGTTATCAGCATTTTAGCCTCATTCCCTCGCTTTTATACATCGCCCCATCGGCATATTAGGTCAACTTAACATAAATGCATCTCAAAAGATGCCATTCCTCTTTAATTGCTAATACTAATAGGAGTAATTCCATATTTCCGCGCGAAATAGCCAGAAAATATACTCAACAAGTCCATTAGTGTCAGGGCTGCAGAGTAGAGTTTATTGGCAAAACTATCATTTTCCGATTTAGCAGCCGCTGAATAAATGTGCGGACCTGATTGATATATATGGCAAAAAGTGGTAATCCAGGGGAGAAAAATGTGCGCTACCAATAAGCTTGGTCGCTGATGACCTAATTGTCAAAATAAATCCCCGCCAGCCGCCGAACGGCGTACAATGATTCTGCCCCAAAATTACTAAACCATACACTGTACTATTGACAAAATAAAAATGAAAGGAAAAAATTTGCTAACAGTGAGTAATGGAGAAAGATTTTTCTCCCAATTTCGGTCTGTGGCTGAGGTCAAAATGACAATTTTTGAAAGATTAAACAGTTAGCCAGCTACATACAACACCCCCGCAAGCGGCAAATTTGTCAATAAGCTAATTCGGAATTCTCTGCCGGCAGCTGCTAGTGGTGTGCAGCCGGCCGTCATTTAGAGCGGAAAATGAATTCATGCTGGTTTTGGAGTAAGGCGGTAATTGAAACTGCTGGGTTGTGTAGTGTACTGTGTGTGCGTTCTATCTGATACTCTGTGAGAAAAATCCATGGAACGTGAGACTGTCTGGCTAATTAACTTTACTGTACCGTCACTATCCATTCGGAAAAGGTGTAATCCAGATCCACCAACAAGGGAATATGCCACTTTATCGCCATCCTCGTCAATGGCCTTCACCTGTGTGACGAATGTGTCAACCGGCTGATTTTCCAGAACACTGGCTGACAATACAAAGTCTTTAAATTTCGGCGCATGCAGATTCTCATCCACGTCCTCCACAAAAATTTCAACTAAAACAGGAAATAGTATACCCATAATCTGAGACATAACTTGATTTTTTTGCCGGCTAAACAATAAATAAAGTTGTTTTGAAAAATGCCTTTCATTTGTAAGGACGACCGAGCTAGTTTCTTTAGTGAGTTTAGGCAGCGGAAGTCGCATGTGTATTTCACAAAAAGCACGAATAAAAAGACCAATTAGATAAAAAAAATTTGCACAGTAAGTTTTAATATGTTGAAAACAACGCAAAACTGTAGGGTAGTATGTACCGTAACCTAAACCGCTTTACTGAAAAGACTTGATTAGATGATGTTGATTTTTGCGACATCTGTATCCAGTTTCGCAAATTACTTATGCCGCTAATTTGCAACTTGTTTGCTACAATTAATACGGAAAGATTGTCCCGGTGGTAATTCGAGAAATGCTGTTTTACCCCAAGCAGTGGACGAGAGCCTCGGCTGTCCCTTATCCTGTGCCACAACCGAAATATTGTAAACTGACACCATCTCGAAGTCGAGCGCATGCCGCAGCGTCAGAGCCCCGGTGAGTGGATGCACAGCAAAGAGTGAGTCGGCATTCGGCTGATGGCCTTCAGTTGTTTGTTTCCGGTCAGCGGCTGCTGCCGTCTCGCTCGTGGAAATATCATTTTCCTCTGCCAAACTGTACTCCACTTGCCCGTTGTGGCCGCTGTCCACATCCAGCGCTGTGACAAACGTCAACACCGCTCCAACCGGGAAATCCTCTGGGATGGAAATTTTAATCAAACTTGATGGGAAAAGTGGTGCATTATCGTTAGCGTCCACCACCGCCACCGAGCACTCTAAGGAGGATGTGCGCGGCGCTGTGTCCACGGAGCTATCACTGGCCAGTACAGTGAATCTGTACTCCTTCACCGTTTCGTAATCAATACGGCCATGAATGCTTAATGCACCCGATTCGGGATGAATGGCAAAGGGCTCACGTGCAGATGGTGTCGAGTATGTGATTCTTCCGTTGAGACCCTCGTCGGCATCAGTGGCTTTGATGAAACCGATCACGCTGCCATGTGCACTGTTTTCCGCCACGGAAAACGCACAGCCCACTGGATCGAACTGGGGACCTAACGGATTATAATCAAAAAAACAGTGTTAAGAGTCAACACACACTGACGGCAATTGAGTGATTAGCAATTCAGCTGCGGATTAAGCGTGCAAACGCAAAAAACAGCGCACAGAGAAGGATGTTCATTTACTTATTAAATTTCTGACTGTGAGGCAAGTCCAGTTTAATTTCACCGGCAAACAGCACTCACGACAATATGTTTTCTGTATTGATTGTTTCTACAGTTTTTAACGAGACTCAATTTCCAGACTACACATATCGAGCGGAAATTCTTTTATTCTGGAGACTCAAAAAAGAATACGAGTACATAGTTCACATGGCAAATACAACTTATCGCTTGATCGATGTAGAACTAATTAATATTTATATGTGCCGGTTTGCTAAATTTACGGCTCGCCACAAGCTGTTTTGGGCGTTCTCTACGCCAGTAAATTTAATAAGGACTATGCTATGAATTATTTATTAACAGCACATTTAGGATTCAACTTAACACTCATTCCACTATGCAAAAGAATGCCCTATTTCGGTAAGCGGTTTCGCACAGTAAATAAAATTTCTTTGTAATTTGCTAGTAATTTTGAGAAAAGCGAAAAAACAAATTAATCTTTAGTGAGCCGGCAATAAACATTATTCGACTATATTGAATATATTAGCGTCAACATATAGATATAGCCGACCCGCAACCTTCAGCTAGACGTTAATGCAAAATCTGTGTTTTACGATTTTAACAGTCTTGTTTATGTATCTAGTTAGACGTCTCCATTCTAAAGCTGAAACAAGTTTTCGGAATAACTCAGCGCATCGCTAGTGAAACGGCTGTTTAATCGGTTGTCAAAAATGTGCTTAACATACTGATTGATCGATATACACTAACATTTCATCGAATGTAATCGCATCGCTTCTGCTATGTGCAGCAGATGACCATTTCTGCCTTGCCGGACATGTATATATACGGGCAGACAATTTGATGATGAAATGGCTACTCTTTAACTTACTGTTATCGTTCTTATCGAGGACTTTAACGAGTAGTAAGCGGGATGATGTCCGTGGCGGGCTGCCGCTGTCCTCCACCGTAATGTTCACACTGTGCATCAGCTTGGATTCCCGGTCGAGCGGGCGCGCTAACACAAGCTGTCCCTCGGGGTTGCAGCGGAAATAATCGTCATCCGACACAGCTGAATAGCGCAATAACCCATTGTAGCCGTAATCCTCGTCTATGGCATTAAGTTGTAGCACTTTACTCTCCACTTCACTATCCTCATCCAGATGGATAATGGCCGGGAAGTCAGTGGGAAACTTCGGTGTGCGTCGGTTGGTCAGCGCGAATTCGGGCATGTGGGGAAACGTGTCCATGCGGGCATTGTTCTCGGCGGATTGTTGTTGTATGCCGGCCAAGAGGCTCGCCTGGGGATTGGGCTGACATTGGATATTAATTGACCTGTCGGTCGGCGTGTTAAGTCGGGCGTCGGTTCGGCTAAGTGTCAGGTTGACCCACAACATCTTGTCGGCCTCCAAGGAGCCATCAGTGGCGGTAAAGCGCAGCGCAATATCATTCCCATTAAGGGCTATTAAATCCTTTTTTAAATCACACGTTAACGTGACGTCACCGGTCGACTGGTTGAGACCGAAGCATTTCCTAATGGGTTCTTCGTCATTTAGCAGTTTGTAAGTGACAGCATCACTCTCATCAGCATCAATCGCCGATAATGTCAACAGATTGCTTTCCGCTGTCGTTGCACTGCTGCTGCTGACCGCAATTGTGCCGTGGCAGTTGAGTTTTTTGAAGACAGGCGCATTGTCGTTGCGATCCCGTAGTCTGACAATTAGGGTCATCTCGCTTTCCCGTCGTAATGGCTGACCGCGGTCGGCAGCACGTACGCGCAGCAAATAATCCCGTTTGTCGACTTCGTAATCCAGATTACGAAGCAGCCTAATTTGGCCAGTGTGTGCGTCGATTTGGAAGGGAATCTCGTTCAAATTAGCGATGCTGTAGCTGATCAGCGCATTATCGCCGATATCTTGATCGTGCGCGGATGCGGTATAAATAATGGATCCAGCCGGCTCATTCTCCACAATGTCCACTGACACTTCGGCAGCGGCGAAAACTGGATCTACAGATCATACAACAGACACAAATTACAAAAGAAAGTAATTACCATTCAGATCTTCTAAAGTCTACATGAGGACATCTGCAGGAAATATCGTAATCAAATATCAATACAATCTGCCAGTGTACAACGACATATGCTGCAAAAAGTGCGGTAATGAAAATTGATAAGTCCGGCAATTTGCTTTTTTAACGTCTGCATTCCACTGTTGCGAAGCTTTATGGCAAATCAATAGCACCATTTAAAGTATCTTATCCTTTGTGCCCTATAATCGATTTTTCTCAGCCACATATTTGTGGTCAAGTCACAAATATTTTCTGCGTGCCATACTGTAAATCACATGAAAGTACTACAGATTCAAACCAAATGAAATGCAGTAGTTTGCGCTGATTACTAAAGATTAGTATTACCCAAATACTGTAGTCTAGCCAGTTTTATTATTATTGACATCAGTTAGAAAATCTGTAGTCTTGTTTATTTCCCAGTTAGATCAAAACAGAAATACCAGCAAAAAGAATATCTTGTTTTGATTACCGAGTTGTATAAATTGTGGCAAAATTAGGTACAAAACAAAACAAGGTACAATGCTTACAAGCTCCCTTAAAAAAATCAATTTCGGAAATCAGATTTGCATCATAATTATTTTAACGTGACCACGTAGTCATGTAAAATTATTATTGTGCCAAAACGATTTCGTAAAATGCAATTTTATTTACATTCATAGGTATACGTGTCGGCTTCCTTACTACCTGAATATTTATATACAAATATTACAAACTACGCATTTAATTTGGCGTGGGGTTTAACTTTGCTTTAAGGCTTTGGATTAAACGGCGACTAGGAGCAGGTGTAACTTTTAAAGCATTTAAGCCTATAATATTCGAATGCGCTTTTACTTTTCGTCGGACCGCTCTATAAGCTACGCATTTTATGTTTCACTAAACGCCACATAGTAGCGTGGTTGTACATGTACTTACCATTGTCATTTTCATCAACAATTTTCATGGTAATTTTGGCCGCGTCAGATTTCTGCTGTCCCTCGGGTGCATCATCTGTGACGACGACTTCCAATTCATAAACGTTTCTTGTTTCGCGGTCCAGGGGGCGCAGCAGGATAATCCATCCGGTTATGCTGTTGATGCGGAATATGTCCGTTCGCGTCAACAGGCTAAAACGCACTCGCCCATTGCGACCGGCATCCTCATCCGTGGCACGTATGTGGGTGAGAAATGTGTTAACCGGCAGATTCTCCGGAATATCCAAGGTTAAATGCTCTATCTGCAGTTTGGGTGCATGCTCGTTCACCGGAAATAAGGACACATTGACAACCTTCCAGCTGGACTGGGCCGGAAGTCCCCGGTCGGTGGCCTTGATCGTCAGCACGATATTATCCATATTTTGCAGCCAGGCTCGATCGCGCACTTGGATGTAGTAGCTGCCAGGCGTGCCGGCAGGTGTCGTGTAAAACCAGTTACTGTAGTTTCCCTTATCGACCACTTGCACCGTGTCAATTTGACCATGCAGACCGGGGTCGGGATCGGTCACCTGCAGTATTCCCACCGCCAGAGGATGTGTTTTGAGTGTCAGTGCCGACAGGGACTGTACGAGAATGCCGGGTGCGTTGCGGTTTGCCCGGCGAACTTGAACAATAACGTCGGCGTTCGACGGCATTTCTCCACCGGCCATGTATATTTTATTGCTTTTCACCCCACGGTCGTGTGCATTAACGCTGATTCGAAAGTCTTTTTGTATGTCGACGTTCGGCGGCCGAATGGCTGACAATATTCCACTTTGGGGATGGATGGTGAAAAAACTGCCGGCCGTCGGGTCATGGATCACATAATAAATATCGCCATTTAATCCCGCATCGGCGTCCGTTGCGGTGACTTGGAGGATTTTGGAATGTAGCGGTACATCCTCGTCAATTGTGACGGTGTATTTGGTGGGATAAAAGAGCGGGCTGAGATCGTTCTTATCCAGTACCGTCACATTAACGGACGTCAGCGCCGCTAAACCGGGAAATCCCTTCGCTGTCCCCTCAATTGTCAACTCATAATACCTGTCCAGCTCGCGATTAAGCCGGCTTCCGGTGCTGGAACGCGGTCGCAGTACACAAAAGCGAAAATCCCCAATGCGGACCGGTAATGCGCGAAAGATTTTCCGCTTATCACCGCTAATGACGCGGTATCTAATTTCCACATTAGGATCACTTATGGGAATGCCCATGCGTTCAGCATGTATATCGGGCACCGCGTAGGCTTTACCGTCCGGACTCTCCGGAATGCTAACATTGTATGACTGCTGGGTAAATTTGAAAGACGCTTGATTGAGGCCACAACATTCCACAATTAAATGCACTACTAATACAACGGCAATAACGGTAGGAAAATTGCTTTTCCACCTCCATCGCCATTTCCGGAATTGAGCGAACATGGCTGCTGCCGTGCAATGCTGCAGCAGTTCAACACATCCATATAATAAAATCCGACCGGAACTGTCTGCTCATGGCATTCATTACGAATTCAGACTGGTTGTTGCTCGTGCGACGGCGCTGAATATTCACCATGTGAAAAGTCCGGATTTAATTCCAAGCTGCAACAACAAGGCAAAACAATTGATTTTTGCATAGCCAAATGGCAACAAATCACTCTACGCTTGTTTTTTAGCCAGAGATGCGCGCGAAAAATCACAATGCAGACGTCAGGAGGCCATGTGTGCGTTCGTGACGGAAATAAAGAGAAAAAACATTAGCCGTAACTGCTTGGTAGAAAAGTCGCAAGAGAAAGTTTTCGATAACACAGACCAAAACATCAATACCGCGTTAAAGCCACTCTCGCGGATTTTTTAATGGTCATTTCGCTTCATGCTCCACTGGAGAATAACCAGTACAAGACGACACATATACGGCATATACAAACTTCCGCTGCATACAATTTGCAAAGACATCTAACTGGCCAGTGCATGGCTGGTGGGGAATAAAATACAAAGAAATTATTATTATCGCTAAGAGTTCATAACTTAGACCGATTAGCTCACAAGGCGACTGGAAAGCATGCTGCGCCGTAATATGAGTAGGCAGGCAGACACTTGCTCTCAAAAGTGATGCACGCTTATCAAAAATATTACAAAATAGCTGTAAAATATTTCAGATAAACTGAGTTGGTCATAATGCACTTTGGCACTGCATACACAGCCGTTAGCATCCATAAACGCCCACGTCTGATTACGATACATGTGTTATTGGCGGTGCTGTTAGGAAGTAAGCTGTCAGCGTAATGTTATTGGTCCATTTTCTCTATCAGAACTGGCTAGTACGGTCAACAGGAAAGTATACCGGCAGCATCTTATCGATTACTATTACAAATACCATATACACAACGAGGTATGCATTTTCTGCTACTCGATTATCGTATGCCTACTCAAATACCTATAAAATGTTCTTGTTGAACTGAAAAGAAAATTACCTCGTGCGCAGCAGAAGAGGGCTGTTATGTGCACGAGATTCATTTAGGTAGACGTTTGCAAGAAAAAAAGAGTTGTGCAACACCGACACTTCGGATGTTAGTATTTATCGTTACCGGCTCATACAAACAAATTTTATTTGATCCTATAGTGTCTGTTTGATCTTGATCTTTATAAATTCAATTTACGGTTAAATATTGATCAGCATACGCGACTATAATTAAATAAAACGCCGTAGTAGAATTACCGTCGCAATTATACCCATGATTGCGGCGTGTAACGTGAGATAATTATATATATACAGTACTTGCAAAGAGAAAACTGAGAAAATTTAGGCAAAAAATTTAGAAAAAACACCATCGAATCTTTCAGAATCCACACGCCGTATATACATACGAGTACAAGAGCTGCTAACCAGTTGCAGAACAAAAACGTGTTTGCGGTACGGAAAGGTGTGCGAGCACTCAAGCAGGAGACTTCAAATTAGGTTAGGTTTTACACATAGATGTCCATCGTTAACCACTTTTCCGTGAAGTCCCCATACATAATCACACAATGCTGATATTGTTGCCAGTGACATTGAAAGTGCATAGCCAAGCAGTGGTGTTAGTGAAGCTGACCGGCTCAAATGACCATCTGCGTAACAACGATGCAGATCATCTTACACAAACAAAAACATTGTTCAAAGAAAAGAAAATTTTAGACACACGTCTAGCCGACTTTTAGGCCAGTTAGCATTCGTCGTCAGGGAAATTTGTACTTCAGTTCGAGAAATTTAGTGGTAATATGTTCAAACAAGAACATCAACATTTAGGATCCATATAATAATGAGATGATCAGATCGCAGTTCATTTTGATGCCAGATCCGACGCTGTGCATAACAAGTCAAACCGGTCAGCTCAGCTGTTAGGTCAGCTTAATAGCGCGGATCATCAAGCAAATATTGAAAAATATACCAAACATCAATCGTTTTTTATCCTTTCGTTAAACCTTGTTGTGTCGTGCCAAATATTTGGAATAACTTCCCAATACTCATTTGCAAAAGATCCGTTTCACGTACGCAGACAAAACACTTAAGCGTTTATTACAACTTTCTGGGACAAATTTCGAGATAAACTGTTGCACTTAACAAATTTTATAAAATTTTTAGTATGTGAAGAGATTGTGTCGTATAAAAGGTGTAACAGACCACGTTCTGTTGATTTTGGCCAAGTATATTTACATGGCACATTACTAAATGTTAGCGCTTGGTAGACAGAGCACAGCAGCAAGCAGGGGGTTACCTAAAGTTGAAGCTGACAAACTGTCATAAATTAGTTAATTCTGAAATGTGCCGTTGATTTATTACTGTATCTACGATTTTTTTGCACTAGAACCAACATGTATGTCGGTGTAGTCTGAACTCTGAAAGTTGTCTATTTTAATAAAGTGCGACCGTTAGCACTCCAATCTCCAGTGCCGGCCGGCATATCTGAATTTATCAGTAGTTTTGAAAAAAATGGTCTTTTCGAGCAAATAGTACAATATCATTCACACGTATTAATATCCTGTGCTGATGCGCACCGGTGTAATGTGGAATTCAAGACTACAATAATATTATGAATGCTACAAGCGGTGCGGTGATGTTTGAAGTGATGCAACACTGCGTCTGCTTTGAGACCCAGATGGCCAAGAATTCCGATGACATACTGGCCAGAGGTTGATGCGCATCATAATGCTAATCAACGTCTCTTCAGGATCAGATTTGATTTTAATAGTTATCTTTGGTCGGATTCGGTTTAGCATCTATTTTTCTCAATCCGAATACTCACTTCTATAAAACCTTGTATTACATTACATATACGTTTCGTTTAGAAAATTTGTATCCAGGCTGCAAAAACACTGAAGATATTCTATTCCTATATTTTATAAAAGAGACGAAGATACCGGGCCTAAATGGGAACACTTTTGTCAAAACACTAGTGGCAAAATTCAGTATTTTCATTGAGATGCAGCACTGTGAATGGTCATTCAGAGATGTCTTGCACACGTATCTATAGCCGAATTTAACAGAATATATTTGCGCACGTATTTCTATCGAACACATGTTTTCACTTTTCTTTTCCTTTTCCTCGACGACCATTAATCAGTGTGTCCCGGCCAGACACAAAAGCAAGCTGGCTCAGCATGGCCACCTCTGTTCCACCGGAGTCGCGCCCAGACCAAAGCTGCCCTTCAGAAACAGACCGCTAAGTGAACTGCAGTTATAATGTGCGCCGGCGAACGACGTTATTTATTGGGTAATGTCAGGGCCTTTTCTCTCTATATTCTCACTAACGTGCCAATTTGAGACTCCATGAAAGAACAAAGAGCTTTCTAGACCTTTATGAAACGGATTATGGTCGCTAGAGGAGACTCCATGAACTGCAGCAGCACCGGGCAAACACTCGATATAACAATCACCAACCCATACTCGCCTATCGTAATTACAATAGATGGAGACAACAACGTCACTATTCAAATACAGTACTCGATTCGGGCAGTTATTGGCGATCACCATACTTCATACAAAATATTACAGATTGTTCACCATATCGGGGTGGGTAATCAAGCTTGCGTTATATAAAAAACGGCCCCGTACTAACGGTAAGACCAAACAGAAATCTAATTTGCTTCACTGTGCACACAATATAATAAAAAAGAACATTGTAAGTGTTATTTACGTAACCAGACACCACCACCAGGCCTCAGCAATGTAAAGTTGTTCAGTTCGACAATATTAAATACTTTCCTGCGCAAAATTATGTGTCCGAATAGGCTACTGCTGTGCAGACATAATTATCATCATGCACATACATACGGTACATCCAGATGCCTTACTTTTAGTAGCAGAACTTCGATGCAAGAATATGCGCAAAACGCGTACAAAAGTTTGCAACAAGTTTATCCAAAATTACAATGACGTTAAGAGTTAAAATTCGTTTTGCGTTTTATATGACACAAGCACAAAATATTTGATACGTTTCAGGTGAAGTGCCGAATGCATGTTCTGCTACATGTTTGTCAACAGCCTAGAGCAATTAAATAGTCACTAATGTAATAGAGCATTAAAATTCTCACACCTTCTAAACCGGCATGGAAACATATACAAAATGCGTTTTGAAACCATACCAATTATAATGTATACCAATAAGTGCATGATTTAACTGTCCATGGTAGAACAACTAGCGTAGAATGTGTACTGTACATAGGTTCTTAAATTAAAAGTTTTTGGGCGAAGACAAAATACATCATGTTAATATTGCAGTTGAGTATAAAAAAAAGAAACTTCCGACATGGCTGTACGTATAAAGGAAACAAAATATTTATATACACTTTTTACTCACTTTCTAATACAATCCTGCAGAGGAGTTATAAATCCCACTGCACTGATTACGAATACGACGAGTCACGAAGTCAACCCGAGATTCAGGAATCCCTCACATATACCAAATAATAAGTGGACTGGACATACACTAAAAAATAAGGTCCAGACATACACCAAATAAAAATTGTTTATGTATGTCCGAAGTGGAAATCCATTTTGAAATCCGATAGGATTGATTAACAGTTGGTATACGGAATACTGGTTAGCGGCCTCTGCTGCCGGGAAAGCGGGAATCAATGGTCACTTCTCCGCTGCAAACAGCTGCTACTCTACAAGTAACCGATAATAAAATTGAAAAATTTTCTCGTTCACTGGAAAGCAGGAAAATTTTTTGAATTTACTTGACTTGTGAGGAAAAATCCGTCGGGAGGCAAATCATAATAATTTTATGTATCGATCTGCATATATTATTATTCCGGACAGATCGTCAGCCGTCAGGATGTACGACAACACTACACAATTTTGGCGTGCAACACCATGACCGTTGCCCATTGGCCAACTCACCATAAAATCCGCCCACAGGTACTTATTGTGGTCATGTGTGCCAAAAAGTCTTCAGAAAATTCATTTCCTTTACGGAGTTATGCAAAATTAATATTGTAAAAATCTCATTTAAGCGTTAGCAAAAAATAGGTTCTTTGAGTTTGAGCAGAAAAATACATTAATAAAGGTTTAATTCTGATCGTGACTAGCGGAAACCAAACTCCGGATCCCAGTTGAATGTACTCGACACTTTGAACTACCGGCTTTGGAAATGTCACATGTGCCCGTACCAGGGACTTTGCGAGCTGGGTTTTTCGAAGTTTTGCAAACTCCTTCTGCTTTTCTTAATCTTACGTTTTTGCAATAATCTAGATATTCAGGATCAGCAAATTACTTGTATATCTAGACTTCTAAGTGCTTGTGTGTGCAGACATGAATTTCGTACAACTTTTATCACAAAAAGGTTTACCTAACTAAGAAAACTGAACAGTAAACGCCAAATAAATGGCCGGTGCGCTTGCGGTTGTCATTGTGCAACGCAACTTTGTCAGAGAAACAAGTTTTTCGAAGCGAGAGCGACAGATTAACATTCATCTGCAAAGTGCAAATGTGATAGTAATTTTATGGATCCATAAATGTTAATTATGATACAATGGCCGAAGATCCCGATCACAGATTTGAGTAGTAATGACTTGAGCAAGTACACACTGCGAACCGAAAAATGTAAAGCTACACATAGCAAGAATTAACACAGACATATAAACTGTACCAATTTAGTGCACGAGCTAGCTGGTATCAGGCTTTGCTTTTCCATTATCTTCATAAGAAATGAGCAATTCTCGCAAAAAATTTATCAGTTCACAATACATGGCCGAACGAGGATGAGAAGGCTTGCATGAGACAAAATGCGTCGCATCGCCCAGCTCAACAAACTTCCCAATTCGCATATTCGAACTATCTACGGGAACAAATCGCGTAGAGATTATCCTGTAATCAGGCAGTGTCTCTCCAAAGCTCAGCAAATTCAACGCATGCTCTTGAACCAGATGGGAAAATTTCTCTTGCAATTTGAGCAAATAAGGATTGTTGATCCGCAGATCCTGTACTTCTGGAGAGACTTTGAAAAGGCGGGCCATCTGGTCAGCAAACGGTGAACCAAGATGGGGTGTCGAATAAAAGACACAACCCAGGGTCTTCTTCAGCAAATCGGACGTTTCCGGTTTTTCCAAAGACAACAGCAACATCTGCTTAACCAGAAGTCCACCCATTGAGTGCGATATCCAGAACACTGGTCGCTTTCCGATTCCGGCCAAGTGCAATCGTTCCAGTAGGTCAGCACTGCGAAGTTCCAGAACGCCGCTGTTACCACCATTTCCTGTTGCTGGGAAAGTCGGCAGAACAAAGGACGTTTCGTAATCCACAGCGATTATGCGACTGGAGGGGAAGTCCACTGGCAGCCAATCTTTAGGCCAACACTGGGTATGTAAGTAAGGTTCATCCACATTCATGGGAAGCTGCTGGCGATTCGTACTGCGTCTGGCGGCATCATTTTGCCGCCATGTCTTCAAAACACCACCGCGCAAACCGTGCACAAACACAATGTCGAACACCGGTTCCGTCTTTGGCAACTTCAGAGGATGAAGCAGGTAAACTCCGCTGGTGTAGAAGTAAGGATCTGACTCTTTATCCAAATTGGACAGAGTTTTGGATGCTGCAATAAGCATAATACTGCACGCAATCAAAACCGTAACTGCTGCTGGCGAAATTTACTAACCAAATCCACCTAACCAGCTAAGATTTGCGTGACAAAACTCACAAAATCAAAATAATCCATTATAAAGCACGAACAGATCATCACAAATGCAAAGTGAAATTGTCATCATTATTATTTTTATGCAGATCATATTTCTTTGTAAAATCATTAAGAAAATATCGAAAAGCACTTGTTGAACCGTACTGTACTAGCGATTAGCGGGCGCGAGCTGTTGCCATTTACAGAAAGTACTATAAAATTTTAAATTACATATATATCACGTTAGGAACAAAACATGTCATTTCCAGTTCCATAATATGTAAATTCATTATATAAAGGCCCAATGCAAAACATATATTTTACCTCGCAGACACAGATCCAAATCTGAAGAGTTCGACCATTCAGCTAACATTTTCAGCAGACCAGACCTGGTAATTTCTTCAAGCAGAGCATCGTCGTAAGCCACAGCCGAAACATTGGCGAGTATTCTCACAATGCATCGGTAATCATCAATATTCAGAGAAAGCTCTTTGGAGAGTCTAATCAACACTCGGATAATTCCATCATCCCTCATTTTGAGACAACACTCCGGATGTTCGGACATTTCACTCAGCGTTTCCAGAAGGAATTTACTCTTCTGGGTTTCCGACGGCGGCCCAGCTAGGCCCATTAAATACTCAGAGACCATGTTCGACGTCCGTGCAGCATAACGCAACGCTCTGTCTTTCTTCAGAGCCAAGCGCGGCATGTTTTTCGTGGCCGGGCATTTTTTCAGGATAGTTATTAAATCGTCGCACAGATTTTCTCGCAGGAATTGATCTTTGAGTTTCCCAGGTCGGAACAATAAATCAGGATTGAAATTCTCGGCGCGCGCGAGAGAAATCATTAGTTTCGGGTATGCAAAGGCTTTCTGCGCGATCTGGTAGGCTTCGAAGGCCATCCAGGAGCGCCGCGCCAGATCGTCGATGATCCGTCCCCGCCGTTCCTCATCCAGGAGAACGGCGCGCACCAGATTGGATGCATTGAACAGATCGGGCACGAACTTGTCGATGCGTATAGGGATACGGTCCTGAATCTGCGTGGACTTATTGCGTTCAATATAGATGTACTTTTCACGGCCATCCAAAGTAACGGAAGGGATCTCAGTGCGACGCCATTTTTGTATCACGTATAATGTACAGCTGCCGGTGGCGATACCGACGAAGAAACTCCCAACACCAGCAATAACGAAATATCGCCGTCGAGTCCAGAACGTCGACTGCTGCATTCCGACGTACAAACTCCTCTCATTTCACGACGATCCATAAAACCGATCCAGATACTGATAGCCCTTAAAGTTCTCAGCGTTATCCGAAACAACCACTACTACGTCGTCAACTTTTCTCTTATGGTGCAGACCGTGCAGAATAAAGCATTGAACAGTTTACCGAGTATAACTTACGGTTTAATAGCCGTTAGTCTCATCCGACTCATAATAATAATGCCGCAACAAGTGAACTAACAGCTAACTAGTGTTCCAGTAAACAGACAACCTAAGAATGACCTAAGAATAACCATAAAAAATATACGCAGTCCTGGCTTTAATATTGTAAGTTTTGTTATCAATACAGACGCTTATGTAAGTTATAACAAAGGCGGTATACCGCCGTATCTCCTATCACACTTCACACAGCGCTGCTTTAGCAAATACTACGAGTAAACAAAGTAACTATGTACTGTAGTAAAAAGTTCCTGCTAATCATTATTGTTAGACGATTTCGGCGTACGGGACATATTATTATTATTACTTGAAGTCGTGTACGTTATTATTACTTGAAGTTGTGTATTCTTTTTTTCGAAATATCGGGATGACGGGAGCTGACTGAACATGATTAATGATCAAGGATTCAGGGGTAGATTTTATAGTGCTTTTCACCCACACTATAGCAGAATTTAACAAAGTATCACATTTTGGGAAGCTCATGCTGATTACCGTAGGTCCGTGACAATTACCAGTGCGGTTTGTATTGTAATACTATTATTGTTTGGGTCTTGTTCACTTGATTGTCAGCTCCTTTTTTCATTTGTTTTGCCATAAAGTTTTGTGTCAGTTGGGCGCAAAATGACCATACCGCGCTTTTGTTAAGCACACCTACTCTGTACTTATTAGAGTGGCAGTTTAGCACCGTAAATCTTAAATTCACGCTGTTATAGTTGAATTTTCGGAATTCTCGCTGGTATTGGCACAAAATCACTATTCTGCAACAACCGAAACTTTAATTTCCAAATGAAATATCGAATAAATCCTCTCTAAAACAAATAAGGCCTGCAACTGCGTCATCTCACCAAATGAACGTAAACCACCATGAATACAAAGACAATCGCCCTGAGTCCATCAGTATCATAGTGAAATTTCTGGTCCGCGGAAATGTTCAAATGAAAAGGTAGCAAGGAAATACAAAGTACAATATCAAAGGTATCCAGCATCAAGAGGTCAATTATATTAACTACCAATCCCAATCCTGACAACAAAACACTTATGACTAAACTAAAGTTACTCGGTATTCTCTTCCGGATCCTGTGATTCCTCTCCTTCATCTTCATCATCATCCTCAAACATAATCACAAACTTTTCTTCCAAATCATTTAAGGTAGACTGGACCGATTCCGCCTTCGTCTTCGATATCTCGGAAATTGCGGTTCCAGACTTGGACTTCGGTAACTGCAATATTGATTAATGAAGTAGAGTATTTACTCGTACGTACCATTCCGGTTAAAGCTAAAAAACCGTGTTTGTGTAACGCTACCCGAGAATTAACTATCGCAAAAACCCGAGCAGGTAAAGTTTTTAAATAACATGAATTTAACCAGATGGCTTCAGACTGAAACTTGTCTCCATAATTGCGAGCGATTTGGGTACGAGCTCGTCAGAAGGATCTATTGGATAACCATCATAAGCCATTCGTACTATGCCGTAACAAATTGAACGGTACACGATAATCAACGGCATAAACAACTAGGTACCAGCCTAAATTTTTATAAAGGTCCAGATTGCAGACTGCCCACTTACCGGTCCAGATTGCACACTGTCCGCCTTTACTGGGGTCTGCTCCGTTATTACACCAGTCTTCCACCTGCTTGGTTTAGAAATGACGACGGTGTCTTCTTCGGATTTTCGCTTACTTTCCTCGTAACACTCTCGATGAAAAATCTAAATGATAAAGAATTTCTGCATATGGTATACACAACAAGTTAGCAGCAAAGCCCAATTCTATCATCGATGTGCATCGACCAAATGACGGCGTCACGGCGACGAATAATCTAACAATGAGTACGCTCGTTTACCTTTTCTGTTCCATCTAAAGGATTTTTCACTCGGACACAGTCCTTGAAAATGAATTCCTCGTCTTCATCCACATATTCATCATGCAGTTGCTCCAAGCAAAGATCACAATTAACCTGCAAAATACTCGTGCACTAACTGTCGCAACTTTGATAAAAAAATAGTGTGCCAACGGTTTCCAAATAACTCAAATCAAACCAGATGGCCTCAGACTAATATTTGTCTCCATAAATGCGAGCGATTTGGGTACGAGCTCGTCAGAAGGATCTATTGGATAACCATCATAAGCCAATCTTACTACGCTTTAGAAGATCCCAAAAGCGGTACTCTACTGTAGCTATTTACCACTTTTTTTAACGTTTAATATTCTACACTATGTTCAAAGCATCGCTAACCTTTATTCTCGATTTCGCAACGGGGTTTAATTCGATATTGTCGTCGACACTTTCGGCAACAACTACCGTCGCATCATCAGTGACCGCGGGAATTTCCGGTATTTCCAGAATTTCGTTAGCCTTTTCGGGCAGACGTGATCTTACAAAATCCTTAAACATGCTCTCTATAACTGCAACGGCACAAAAATTCTAATAAGAGCTGGAAAGGAAAATATTTAAATATGCTTAAGCTAACTGACCTTTATCATCAGATTCGAAGAAGGCCTTGTCGTGGACAAATGCATTTTCGTCAATATCCCAATCTCCAGTGTCAACCTGGTCCTTTTTATTCCATCCATCATGGATCAGCAGATCCCATTTCGCGGCTTCACTTTCTGACGCCATAAAACGCAGTCCACAACACCCATTTCTGCTCAGTTTCAGTCCAAGTTTTTCGAGTGTTGGCAGATAATACCTGCACGATAGAAACTATGATAATCCCAAATGCAAGAGAAGACCACCACATAACCATGATAGGAAAAGCACCGCAACTTGCACAATATTCCAGTGTTGCCTAAACTTTAAAACGTTACTTACTGGTTAAAACGTTCGTTCATCTCGCCGGTTTCGTTCCAGTTTTTCAGGTCAACCACGTTTTCCTGCAGAGGTAGCCGAACAAACTCTGATTTCGACATATTGCTTCTCAATACGCCAGCAATCGAGTCGGACGAGATCTCGAAGTCAAAAGCTTCCGGTGATTTCGGCTTTTCCATTGAACTATCGGAACTGGAAGGCTGAGGAGGCGTCGGTGGCTGAGTTTCCGGTGCTGCTGCTATCGCGGCTGGTGCGTTAGACAACTGCGCAATAACTGCCAGAATTTTGGCGATATCTGGCATCGGCTCTTTCGTTTTCTCTTCTTCGGATACTATGGCATTTAAATACACATTTAGCCGATACAGAAGTAAAAATCGAGCAAACTGAAATAATCAAAAGAAAACAAACCGAAAACTGTATATCTTATACAAAAACGTTTAAAACAGGTGAATACTGGAAAAATTCTTTCGATTTCAAAAGGCTTTAATATAATAAAGGTATATTTAGAAAACCAAATCTTCAACTACAAACTTAAAAGAATTGAAAATGCCGATTTCTGGTATTTCACTTACCCCCTCCACCGAAAACTTCATCATTTAATGGGATTGACCCAATGTCCACTATGGGCGGACGTCCTCCCATTTCTTGAGATTGCAGCCGTACCCAGTGTTGTTGGTGATCAACAGTAATTGCTACTGGCTCTGGCGTGAACTCAACACGAAATGGTACACCGTCTATTACCAATTGAAAGTTCGGACCACCCAATTTTATTGTATGCCATCCAGTACCAAAAAATAATCGCTTCGGTTCATTCAACTGACAGGGTATGGCGGTTGACACGTGATTATCAAGTATAAAAAGAACGTCATTCCCTTTAAAACTGATATCAAAAACTAACCCATTCATTATCACAACCGTGCGGCCACGAAACCACCGCACCTCATACAGTTCATTATTGTCACCGAGACATATAAAATCATTATTACTAGCACTTGGTAGATCAGTAGGATGAGGTCCCGGCAGTGAGCGGCTAATGGCGTTCTTTAACGAGCGCAGCTCGTGGTCTTCTTTTAACTTTACCAGTAACTTCTGGTAGTCTTGAAAATTGATATGTCCCCGCTGTAACTTTCCCTCGATCTCCGTTTTCTCCGAGTCGTATACGTCAGACTCTGTGGGTCGCGGTGTGGGCAGTAGCGGTCCCACCGGCGGCCGAATGGGCACGTCCAGATGATGCGGCTGCGTCATGCGGTTATCAGGGTGATGTCCGCGCCATCCGGTCTCTGGTCGCTCGAAGTGCGGCCGCGTTGGATGAGCATATGGAGGGCGACCGCCGCGTGCACCGCGAAGCTCTCCCCGGGGACGCATGACCATGCGGGGAGCACCGCGGGTCCCAGGACGGGGAATAAGTGGCGCTGCTGTGGGTCCATCAGCGAAGTTCTCGTGATTCTCTTGTGGTTCCGATGCGTCTCTGCAACACAGAACACCTTCATAGGAGCCTTACTTGAAGCCAGTCACATATCACATGCAGAGTAAACACAATGAAATAATGGCCATATTAAAACGACTACGAAGTATGCCACAAAATTACTATGGCTTGATAACTGATCTCTGTGGACTTGCTCAAATTAAGACGTTATGCATCTAAACTAACAATAGGTACAGGCGATTGACAGAAAACAGAACAATCACTACGTCCATAATCCTATTGCTGTTTTTCTTTCTCATTTATTATGAACGATACCTTTGACTGTGAATGATTTTCGGGATTTTGATTTTCGGCGGCACTCCATCCGTTGATCCGTTATTGGCCTGGTCCAGAGAACGTTTCTCCTTATTCACAACAACGGGCTGAGAAGCACCACGCCCTCTTCGCCCACGTGCGGCCAGCCCAGCCGGGCTCGGGATGGCCCCGCGCGGCGCCGGTCGAGCGACATCCGTATTCATGCTGTCCTTAACACCGGGCTTCTTCGGAATGCGTGGGAGATTTTTCAGGGCGGAGGGCTGTGGGGGAGCAGGTGCCGAAGGTTTCGCCGCCTTTTCAGGTGATTCGGATCCGTCTGAGGACTGAGAACTTTGCGGAGACTCCATACTGGGAACGCGGCCGGTATCGTTACGTACGGCTTCCTAAAATGTCAAATTTTGAAATTTAAACACTTGTATCAAAAAGATAAAGGCAATTTTTTGAGTTTCAAATGGACATAATGGTACTGTCATATTAAGTAACTGCAGCACAAGCATACTCGAGGCAAAGATAGAACGCACTACGTACCTTTTTTACAGGAGACAAATTAGGAACCATGGCAGGTGTGGAATGGGCTTGGTTTCATTAAAGGGGGTGTTATTGATCTTGTCGGCACCGGAGCCGGGACCGCGCTGGCAGGCGCCGGTACACCGTTAACAACAACAGCTGGAGAGGAATTTTCGATGACCTAAAAAAACAAGCAAGACATGCAATTAGCGAGCGTTAATTGACTGAAAAGCACAGTAGATTATTTGTTTACCTGAAGTTTGGCCACGGGAGGTACAACTGGTGGAGCCATAATAACCGGCCATTTCGGGTCAATTTCATTAACTTTCTCATCCAGCAACTGAAGGTACGACGGTTCGTACAACTGATTCCATGTACAACGTACTTTATACATAGACGACCTGATACGTTCGTCCGACTAAAAATCGCAATCTGATAGTGTTTTGTACTTAAGAAATCGGACGAAAATCTCTCCTAACCTGTTTGAATATACTTGTGAACATCTTCACCAAGTACGGCCGGAAAAGCGGCTTATAATCTCCTTTACTGTTTTTGAGAATGGAATCAATCACATAAAGCAAGACCAGCTTTAGGGAAGGCGAGACCTACGATTTCAGGAAAATCAATTAAAAAAAGCAGATATTGGTCAGGGAAATTGCATATTTAAACTGGAATCAGCCTCAACGCGCAATCATCGTCTGATCACATTAGCGATCAGTACTACAGTAGTTTAATTTCCGGTTGGTAAACTTTGTAGCTAGTTCGGAACTTCGGATGACAGGTATGTATTACAAGTTCTCGGTATCCGGTAATCGCTTTAAGCAACAATTACGCAGCTACAACTTTCTACAGTAGATAACGATCGTGTTTCCAACTGCAGATAGTTGATGCTTGATTGCTGCATAATAATGATATCAACCGGACAACTGTAATTATGTCATTTTGTTGCAAGTTGAGTGAAACAAGATTGATTCACAATCAATACGGTGCAAAAGGAACGTTTCCCTATTCTATAGTACTCGTATAAATCGTAAAAATACTGATGTCTCACGTACAATTCTCAGTTTTCTATCGGTGTGATTACGCAGTCTGCGCCATTTTTTCAAGTGCCAAAAAACATGTAAAAGGCAATATTTCGAAGTATTTTTAATTACTGTGACAAACTGACAATGTATCGTTAGATCTAATCTTCTACAATTCAATAAACATACCACCTATTGCCAAGCATAAAAAATTACAAGTGAAAGGAACTGTACTATTATTTGCCGAATAAATGGAAAGCAGTCTTTAAAAAACCTGAGTTTCTGGTTCTACCAGTAACAAAAAAAAGTTTATACTGTCAAAAACCTGGTCCGTGGAGGAGAACAAAATTGCACAAAATAACTTATACACCAGAAAAGCTGCTGTAAAAGCTGTTTTTCTGCTTCTTAACGTGTCTCTCTCGTCAGCACCCAATCAAAACACCACCATCATTCGACTATTTTTCGTTGCGAAACTATGAGGGCTTCAAAAAGCGTGGTTTGGAAGAATTTCATATTTACGCTTCCTGTGCCGCAATATTTCCCAGACTTTCGGCACAAAGTATATCGGTTATTTCATTGCTTGCAGTTGTGATGTTGACACAGATGGGCTTGGGTGACATGGGTATTTAATATTGTTTACTTAGTTTTATATTACTAACGTCAAAAAGTTCTTGCGCCGCGCTACGGTAAACATCCGAAAAGCGCTTTGCTATGCCGTTTCTGAGATGAGACTTTCCCGTAAATCATCTGACTAATTAGTAATTACGCCTGAGTTCGCTTGAAGAAATGTTGCCAAGCATTTCTTTAATTCAGCCAAGAGATTTTGGCCTTCGGGCGAACTCGATTACACAAAATTATTACAACGTTTCTTTGTCTTATATCACATGCCATGAAAGACTTGAATGAGATTCTGAAGTGAGGAATTGAAATCGCAATACGAATGCTTAGGGACCTAGGTCTCACTTTCATCGTTAAAAAACGCCATTGCAGAAATCAATAGAAAAAACAAAACAAAAATATTAACGTATAATATGAACCTGTTCGATACGCCTTTCAATGGCATCTACAACAGCCGCTCCATAACGGAAATTCTCCTCGGCCAACATGGTCAGCATGTTGATCCTGTATTTGTCGTTTCGGTCCAGGTCCGTTAAAGTTTCATGGTATGAATCCCGGACTTCTTGAAACATGGCCCGATCGGGGTCCTGTCTGTCATGCGAAGCCATAGGCGTCATCATTATCACCATCCTTTCCAGCAGGAACTGGTAACGTTAAGTTCCTTAACTTTCATCCAATGTCTGATGTGTCCTATCAAAATCCAAATTTCACAAAATCCAAGAACAAAGAGTACACTTTACTAAAGATTCAATAACAATTGTGGACCCATGATCACACTGGACGCCTTCTGAAGTTTAACGTTACGGTCTTACGACTCTTGCAGCAACAGTGTCAGTTTCTCAAGGACGACTTACCTTCATACAAATGCGAAAATAGACCAAAGAAACTGTTTCTGGGCCGAAAGATTTACAAATTATTCGAGTTGGACACGTTAATTCAACAAAATTTAGCGATCAACAGATGATGAAGTACCTCGCACCATCAAGTTCGCAGCTATCAAAATGGCAAATGTTTGAGTTCTGACGGACTCAGTTTTGCCAGCTGTCGTTGCGATGACTGCATCATGGCAGCATCCGCAAATTGTGCGGGCGGAGTCACCCAGCAACAGCCAACTAGAAAAGGCATAGCAGAGCTATGATAGGCTGTTTTATCATCCGACGGCCGACTCACGGGCAAGCCGCCCAGGCGCACACGGCTCATTGATATTCGAGAAAATTGAATCGAACCGAACGTGAATACCATAATCAACCCAGGAAGTCGCCTACCACAAAGCGGTAGAGATGATATTTGAATAAGTAATAATGTGAACGGAAGGCAGCACATAACTTTTTGAAGAAGCTTTTTACAATTTTACAGCAGAAAGTAAAAACTGTAAAAAGTTTTTTATAAAAACTGATATTTCGTTGTGGAATGTTTTTTTTTGAAATTTCATAAAAATATCGCAAAAATTGATGTTGCATTTGTTTTGTTATTGTTCAAATTGTCCAGTCAACATTTCTTTTAATATTCTGCTCCGTACTAATGATCTTGCGGCTGATACTTGAAAACGACGTGCTAATCAAATCTAGAGGAAGAACTGCAGCGATTGCCTGCCAGTGAATAACCATTTTGTTTTGATTTGGAACGCAAAGCGGAACAGCTGGGGACCACACCGTTCATACAGAATTAAGGATGGCGGGAATAGCTGAGAACCACCATTCTACGCTTCCTTCGAAAGAAGGAGCCCTGTTTAAGAGATTGCTGGTAAGTGATCAGGTTTCTGGGAAGCCTGCTGTTTGGACGTCGAACCTATCACCGGTCGAAGCAGCGCCCACGGTGTAATAATTTCGCTTGAGCGTTTCTGCAGGCCCTTATTATAGACTCGCTTCTGTTATATCAGTATGGTCTCTTTTACAGAAAATGTACGAGCAGAAGCAATACAAGAGTGCGCTGAAAATTGCTAAACAAATTCTGTCGAACCCGAAATGCGCGGACCACGGCGGTGAGAGTCAGAAATGTTCTTCTTTTTGTTATCTTTTTATTCAGTAAAATCTTGCCGGAAAATTTATTATGGATTGTAAAATAATACGTAGTGCAGTTATTTGTGAAACAGCTGTTGGGTCAATTTTGCTCACGATGTATCCTTTATTCATCCAGAAACATTGGCTATGAAAGGTCTGACTTTGAGCTATTTGGGACGCAAGGAAGAAGCCTACGAAGATGTCAAACGGGGTTTGAAATGTGACTTAAAGAGCTATGTCTGTAAGTAATCCGAAATATTGCAAAATTTTCTTGTCACGTCGCATTGGTGTTTTATACCACGAATTTTCGTGATGAATGTATTGGCGAAGTAGTGCTTCTTGGCTCAGTCTGTGTTTTGTTTTGGTTTTTAGGTTGGCATGTCTATGGATTATTACAAAGAGGGGACAAGAAATACGAAGAAGCCATGAAGTGTTTTGTGAATGCGTTAAAAATCGATAAGGTTAGGCGATATTTTTGTGGATTTGGAACAATAATCTTGCAAGATTACGTACCTGTGATTTTCGATAAGATTGTACAGCAATTTTCTACGTACTTGTGATCTTAATATAGAATTACTGATATAATTTTTTCATTTATATATATATTCATCACTAATTTATTTCTGTAGTTTGATAATTTTCAGTAGTCAGGATAATGAGCATAGTATCGTTTTTTTGCAGGATAACGTCCAGATTTTGCGTGACTTAGCGACCCTTCAGATACAGCTGCGCGATTTAGATGGGTTCAGTGATACACGCTATCGAATTGCTGTTCTTCGGCCTAGTCAGAAAAGCCATTGGCTTGCATACGCCGTGGCACTCCATCTACAAGGTGACGTTAATTTGGCTATTCGCGTGATGGAAGAATGTCGCAAGTTGGCCCATCCCGAGCGACAGGATGATTGTGATGTGGAATATGGAGAATATATTCTGTATCAGCTGGAACTGATGCTGGAAGCCGGCAGATATCATGACGTTGTGGAACATTCACTTCGCTATGAATCTTACATATTTGATCAAGTTGCGCTAATGGAAAAACGAGGTATACTTCAAACAGCACATGGAAACGATTTCATTTTGTAGTTGTTATTAGCAACGTTGTTTTGCAGCAAGGGCTTTTGCCGCTCTTGAGAGGACGAAAGAAGCTAATTCTATATTAACAATGCTAATACGGAGAAATTCCGAAAACTGGAGCTACTATCGCCAGTTGACATTTCCTTTTGGTAAGGTGGAAAAAAAAGGTGGAACGCCGGGTTTGAAATCTATTTACATGCATCTACATTTTTTTGTGTTGTAGAAAAATATAATTCATTATTGGATTTTTGTGTGGATATGCAGAAAACTGATCCTTATTCTAGAACTGCTTATAAAATTCCTCTTACTTTGACGGAAGGTGAGTGGCCGCACTACTCTAGATTTACTCAGATACCGTAATTATCGAATTTGAAGCCCCCCCCCCCCCAAAATACAAGCCCCCCCCGTAATTAGAGCCCACCCCTAAGGTGGTTTGAAAGTTATAAGCCCCCCCCGAAATAGAGGCCCATGGGCTTAATTAAATACCGTAAACCCCATATTAAAAAATATTAAAAAATGCCAAAAAGCTGGTTTGAAAAATTGAACCCCCCCCCCCTAAATACAAGCCCATGCCCGTAATTGGAGCCCACCCCGTGGGTCATTTGAAATATTTGTAACCCTGGGCTTCTAATTCGATAAATACGGTATGTGTTTTTTGCTACCATTTGATTGAGTGTTATGGCATTTTTATTTCCTTAGGAGAAGAATTTCGACAGTTTATTGGCAGCTATTTACGGCGAAGCCTAGAGAAGGGATTACCTGCTTTATTTAATGATATTAAAATCGTCTACGAAAATCCGGTGAAAGTAAGTCTGGCTTTAACAGTCTGCTTGGATAATTCGTTTGCTCGAGCTTATTTTTTGTGCAGGCCCAGATAGCTGAAGAGGAAATTCTCCGTATCTTTGCCGAAATACAGTCCAAAGAAGCTGCGATAAATTCAGGAGGTACGTGGCTGCCAACATTGTTTTATAACTGACTGTTGTTTGTCCGTATATTTGCCAGTCTGTCTGTGGAAAACGTTCGAATTAGATGTGGTTCGAATTCGACGTTCAGTGCAGGATTTTGTCGAAATTATTAGTAGCGTACATTAGAGCCCGTGACTTCAGATAGTGGTTTTCGTTCGTTTGTTTCTAAAGGCTATTTACTTGCACTTCGATTACAATTAACTGTTTCGGTAATATATTCTTTTGTTTTGCTGATAGGTGGTGATGATTCGGTGCTTCCCAGCACACTCCTATGGCTGTATTACTACCTTGCTCAACATTATGATCAGAAAAAAGACTATGACAAGGCCATGGAGTTTATTGATCTGGCGATAGCACATACTCCAACACTGGTGGAATCCTACTCGTTCAAAGCGAAGATCTTGAAGGTATTTTGTTTAAAAAACGGTGATGGAACGTTGTATCCTGATCTGCGTTTACTTACTTTACTATTAGCATATGGGCGATCACCAAGCAGCGGCTACCAGCATGGAAGAAGCCCAATCGCTTGATACATCAGATCGTTTTATCAATTACAAAGCCGGAAAGTACCTGCTGCGAGCTAATTTATTGGAACGTGCGGAAACTATTTTGGGAAAATTTACCAGAGTAAATGCACTATTAAGATCACATTGAAATGGCATTGCATATCTTTCATGTCTACAGGAGGGTATGAAGCCTTCGGAAAATTTGTGTGATATGCAATGTTTTTGGTTCATGATCGAAAGTGCCCGTGCGATGAAGCGGTTAGGGAAGTTCGGTGAAGCACTGAAACTTCTACACGTCCTGGATCGGGTACGCTCATCGAGTGCTACATAGTTTGTGTTTCTTGAATTTACGGGTGTTGTGTGTGTGTGCAGCATTTTTTGGATATTGTGGATGATCAGTTGGATTTTCACGCTTACTGCCTTCGAAAATCAACCATCGAGAGCTATGTCAAATTAATACGAATGGAGGATTCTGTTCGTCAGCACAAGTTTTATGTTGATGGCGCCATCTTAGCCGCTGAGGTGGGATTACGTTACAAACAAAACGTGACATTTGTGCGCCAGGTTTATTTTCTCTGCAGATTTATTTAGCAATTTACGACAAGCACCCGTCTGATTCGGATGATGACGACATCGGTACCGATCCATCGATTTCTGCGGCGGAGAAACGAAAACTCAAGAACAAACAGCGAAAAGCGAAGAAGAAAGCAGAAAGTGAGAAATTACAACAGGAAGCCATGGAAAAATCTAAAGCGCAGGCGAAACTAAAAAAGGACGATGATGAGCCAGCAGCTACCCATAAAGAGGACTTGATACCAGAGAAACTGGCTAAGGTATCGTTATGCTGCAGGGTCTCATGTGATGGTGATGTGATGGTGTTTGTAATGCTTCTTTTATAGCCGGATGATCCGCTGGAAATGGCATGTTATTTTCTTCGACCGTTGGTTGTTCTTGACATCCCCCGGTTCGATTTGCATCAGATGATCTTTGAAGTGTATCACCGCAAAGGTAAGCATTACGGTGCAACATGCTCTTCCATTTGGAATTAAAACGGTTTTTGGCGAAATAGGCAAGCATGCTGTGGCTTTGCGCTCGCTTGTCCGGATGATAAACTTGGAACCTCTTAACCCGAAACTTGCCGAATACAGAAGTTTATACTTGGATATCGGTAAGTCCTTTGCTGTTCACTTATTGGACCAGCTTTATTCTTTTAATATAGTATTTATTTTTATTAATCACAGTCTTTGGCATATCGTTGTATTTCTTGCAGCGGATAATCAAACTGGAAATATTCCCGAAGCGATTCAGGAAATCGTTATGGAAGCTTTCGCCCAAATTAAGAACTGCCAGCTGCCGGTTGACAATGGAGGTCTTACAAAAAGTGGCGATGCTCTGCATAATCGGGTGGTGGAAAATCACCATTAAAGAAAATGTGACCAAAAACAGTGTGTTTAAATAAATTAATGTGAATATTAGTCGGTCGGTGTCTTCTTCGTTTTTGAATGAAGTACGATTGATCAGATGATTTCAGTTGGGTGTTGTTTTCCTCTGACGCCGTGTTTAATATTGCTCACTTCGGCACCTGTTAATGTTTTGTTTTCTATGAACCGAAATTTACTGTTCTTCTTTCTGGGGAAAACTGTTTTGTGGACTTCCGGACTTTTTTACTGTGCTGAAGTAATGTGGACTTAACTCTCCGGTGCATGAATTATCCTTCTGTCCGTTTTATGAAAGAGCGATGACTGATAGGCAATTAAAATAGGATAGCCTTTTGAAACCAAGTACGCCTTATGCAAAACTTATCTGTACTTAGTTGTATCTGCTAAAGGGACACTGAATGCTTTGAACTCATTAATGTTACAAAAAAGGCTCCATTAATCTTACAGAATACAGACGTAGGCAAGGTCACCAAATTTTAGCTGCTTTTAATAAATACTGCTTCGAGTAAAGTACATATCTGTATATTATGTCAGTAATATTAACTAGTTATTGATGTCGGGAGCCGCATAAAGTGTGTTCACACGCTGTATATACTATATAGGATATACCTACTTTTTCTAAGTAGAATTTTCTTGTAATGTGCTTTTGCCTGCTCTAGGAAAACGTGAAAGGTCTTTAGCAAACACAGTGCGATACTTCAGAGTACTGCACCTGATTTCGTGCACCCCTGACGTATGGGAGTAGGATCATACGCCGGATGTACGTACGGATGCTGACTGTCCGCCTTCCACCTGCAACATAACGAATAATCTAGTCAATCTCTGCTGTGATTTGCTGTTCTCTTTTACTAGCGATGTATATGATGTCATAACGCGAAGTCTATATAAGTTCTTGTGATGCCTAATATCGGAATCAGTAGTCTGAGATTTACTTCTGAGACTGCTTCTAATTACAATTTCTAGCGTTGTGAACTGTGATGTGAATTGGATAAAGAGACAGCAATACTTGTTCCTTCTGATGTACATGATCGCTCCCGGATTATTGCATAGAATACAGGTTTGCTCGTGACACAATCGTCCTAGCTCTTGCCGATCCTCACAGGACTTACGACCGGAAGTTGTGGTTAGCTCGTTCCTGAGGGATTCCTGAGTTCCTGTGTTCCTGATTCGTTCGTCATATTCCACCATAGATTTTCTGTTACAGTTTGAGAGTACGAGTGCCTACCGATTGAGCATTACAGGCGTGGAAGAGTAAAGATTGTTCATGGAGCCTTAACCGGCGTGAACGCTTATACACGACACCCCTAAATTAATTTGATGATACATGCTGAATATAAGCCATTTTCAGCATTTTAGGTAGCGCATATTAGAAAAGATCGGGGACATCATGCTCGAACTTCGCATATGTCAATTTACGATTAGTTCGCAGATGATATCTGCCGATCCATACAGTACGTAGGAATTGGTCACTAATTTTTAAAATTGGTGTTGAGGCATTTGTAGGCAAGTGCGTAAAATTGCCGAGCCACAGAGTTAAAAATCAATTGGTTGCAGACTTTCTGTACATATGCGATTCACGGCCGAGCACTCTAGTTTAAATGGCCTGGTAAATGCCGGCTACTTTATCGTACCGCGGTGCATCAACTTTGATATTACTATTAAGACACCACTGCTTCCGCAAATTTATACGCCATAATTTTTACTATACAGACAAGAATTTCCAGACATCTCCATCATAGAAAAATCTGCGTCACGTTTTCCTGTACTCGCGCTTATTATTAACAAACTCACAATATCTTTTGTATTCCATCTTAACCAGCATAAGCCGGTGCTTAATACTTTCTGCTATTAGATTTAAAATCGTAAAATCAATTTGTGAGCCAAATAAAATTTACTTAAAGAAACAGAAATAACGGAAAGGCTCAAGTATTTAAAGAGGAAATTTGGCCACGGGTTTGGAAGGCTTGTGCATAAGCTGATCTTCCAGGAGATAATTATATCCATCTTTCCAGGAGGTAATTCCTTTTAGCGTGATTCCTTATCAGTTCTTGAGCATTTCTAATTTGGCTTAAATGGATACCCGTTTTGATTCAGGTATATAACTGTACTCCATACAACAGTGGGGGCTCAGCCCTCGTCTTGTATAGCTTCCAAATCTAATCCTGGCGGAGCGCTAATGTTAAGGTAGATAAACCAATACGCCAAGTTGAATCTAAAACCACAGCAGTTCTATGTTAAATAAATAAGTAATTCCACAGTGTTTGCTCGAACGGAGGAAAACTTACGCCACAAAAACTAATGGAAACGAAATCCTGTAAAAGGAAAGGTCACGTAATGTAGAAGCCGGTACTGTTGACATAGTGTATTATAAAATACGTAACACGTTTTTATCACGCATTTGTACTTTAAATTCATTCCATACAACGGTTGCTATCTCTGTCGGTTATTAGTTAAATTTTTTTGCTCTATTTATTTGAACAGCACGTACCTGCTGTATTTGTCTATTTCACTGGATTTAAATTCTCTTTTCTTTTTGGGAGTAACTTTTGGCAAGCTGTAGCTTCTACAGAGTCCGGTCTCAATATCGACCGGCCCATTGCCTGGTGGCGGAGGAAAGGGATCTCCCGAAGGATGTGCGTGAGCGGACTGGTCGCTCCCCCACGATTTATAGCGAAACTCCTGACAAGGAAATTAATTACGAATACACATGATATCCATTAGCAATGAGCACAGATTTTCAATAGGATCTTACACAGCAAAACCGGCAAGACATTTACGGCATGCAATGAATTCGTCGCGTAACGCGCATGGCGCAAAACTGTACCCTTAGCACAGCGTGTGTGAAAAATTCGAAGGATGCGTGTGTAAGGACGCGCAAGAAGTGCATATGCATGTCGCATGGTAATTGCACGGTGACATTCGGACAATACAATTTACTAATATGGTTATGGTTTCCACAACTAACTAAAATAATACTCCACAAGCAAATAGTCAAAAAAATTGGAAACGAAAAAAGAAAATTACCGTGAGCAGCTGATAATGATCAAGTTCATCATATGGCGAAATTCATTAAATAAACAAGATTATCTGTAATACGGTATTAATCACTATTAACAAACTAACCACGCTTCGCCTGCCGTGTAAAGATCCGTGTTCGGCATAGCGTGAGCCGATCTCGGCATGGGTATCCAAACCCGGTGAACTGAGGGCATTCCGGCAAGTTAACGGTTGCTGTTCCTGCGTATGAGGATGTTGCAGGGAATGGTTGCTGCCTAGAATATGCTGCAAGGCTTTCGTGGGCGACCCGGCCGTATGGCTGTGCGAGGTTATGACGGATCCCACGGGCGGTGCCATGGGTCGGCCGGCCTTGGCGGCCCGCATCTTCATCCGTTTGGTACAATAGCCAACGGCGGCGTATTCCAGCAGGGAAGCGAACACCATCACGAAGCACGTTCCCAAATAGACATCGATACCCTTGGCATAGCTGACCTTTGGCAGCTGGGAATTGGTGCTGGACATTAAAGTCGTCATCGTTAGCACGGTGGTGACACCCAGCGACACTCGGGCCGGTGTACTCTCGCGGCCTACATCAACGGCTCAGTTAGTAATTGTAAATTTTGATTGAAAGATTTATAATAGCGTGATCACTATTAAATCATTCTGTGGTCTCGTAGACCACACCCACCTTATAATATTCTCGTAGACGCCTTATTACATAATCGATTCAATTTTTCGCGCGAATGATTAACAGCAGTATTAAATATGCCATATTTACTAGAAGACTTTGAAGACTAAATAGTAAATACTCACTGACGAAAGCAACCAACTGTCAGATTATTCTGTTTGGTTTGCATGTAAAATTTTGGTCTTTCATATACAGGCCCGTTACGCTTTAATACACGCATGAATATTTGTTTAATATTTTACTTCTAGGCACACCACGTCGGTACACTGTCCCTACCACAAGTCACTTACTTAACCAAAAAGAAACCCATGAAATCACAACAATAAGGCTGGAAGGCAAATAGATCTGAATAACGTAATATCCAATGCGCCGGGAAAAGCTGAATTCACAAGACAGCCGCGAATACTCTCCTGTTGAACAGAAGCCACATTCACATGAATAACAAAGGGTTTTTTCTTAGATAAACACACACCGGTCCCTGTCCCTTCCAAGCGGCTTTTGGGCGTAGCACTGAGCACTCTGAACTGCGGTAATTTGATTTTCTTGGCACTGAATTCGACTTGGTCCTTTACTCGAACATCGCGCTTCCAGAACAGCTTAATGTCGGTAGTTGCATAACCATCTATGAAAAGAGGAAATGACTAGTTAGGCCAGTGCTCCCATATATATACGCAATACACACACAACGAACGCGACCGCGATCGGCCCTATCCGCCAATATTTTCGGCAGTAGGATCGACTTTACTAACATGATTCGATTTCCATTGAGCAATTTTGATAATCTAGGGGGAAATGGGCTAAATCCAGCTCGCATGCTAAAGTGGTTGTTAATCTGTAAACGGAAAGAAAATTTTAGCTTGTACGTGCACGATACATATAAAATGAAGTGAATTCCGCCTGATTTACTAATTAAAATTTAACAGCATATCGCATTATGATTTAAACTGTTTGACCTTACCGTACAGACGTATATACACTTCCTCCACGTTTTATCCTTAAAACTGAAAATATGGCGCATTTGATAAGTCATAAGAACGCACCAAACATAAATTAGGTTCCCAGTTTCAAAGGTGGCCAGTGCAACCACCAAACAGACCTATAGTTTCATATGCAGGAGCAAAGCGTGTACTTCGTATACAACTAGCATATCACTTATTTCAAAATATTTTATATTTCTTTCAAAATCCTTCATTCACAAAACACTGCTTTACCATGTTGTTTTTGCTTACTACGGTAAGAGTCCTTACATTTGTTCATTGTAGTTGCTTGATGGAAGAAACTATTTTTCTCATTGGGGAAAAATGTATCCGGCATCCATATTTTGTCCATCATTTCGGAACCTACGGTTATCTGCTCTTCGCCGGATACTTTGCTGGGGAATGTTTCGATTGTTAATCGTGGATCCTTCCAAAATTGACGGAAATAAAAATCGATAGTGAAATCCTATTAGAAAAAGGTATAAGATGCATCAAAAATTTACGAGCTGACGTGAAGCGTAAGCCACTCGCGGTAGCACATATTATATATAAAATCATTATCGTTTATAGATTAGCGTACAGTTCACAGCTTCACGACACGGGGAACATACGTGCTCCGAATCCGATTGCTTTCTGATCCCAGTTTCCTTACTGTATTTTCAGAGTAACGTTATGGTTAATTAAAAAATGAATAACCAATATGCAACCCGTTCGATCAACAACCTCGAGCAAAAACCGATCGAAGAATCAATAGAGCTATGCAATGTAGAAGCGATTGGCAAAATACTATATCCATTGTATTCCTTGTATTGGTTTTCCCAATGCGATCTGACCTCAGACCTGATTTTCTCATTTCCACTTTTACCTACACACCTCCAAAGCATTATGTCTCTATATGTTGTCCTTTTTTATTACCACACAATAATCTCAAAATTAAGCTATTACATCGTACCACATTACAAAAATATTTTTCTATTAGAAAGTTCGAAAGAAGGTCATTATTGCCGGTATTTGCAAATAAGGCGCTTTTAATTCAAGACATACTCGAAAATACTTTTTACTTGGTTGAACATCAGGAAACGTTGTATTTGGGACAAATAAGAGATTTGTGAAGTCACAATTAATTTGGAGATCCCATCAAATCCCACAATATTTTCTTATCGAGCCTCGTAAATTGGTCTGTGCCGCTGCGTACACGGCTCAAGCTCCATGCGTGCGTGTGGAAAAAACAGCGGCCAGAACAAATGTGGCCGGCTACCCAAGCCAGAGAATAATCGATTTTGTGCATGACTTTAATGTGCCGTTTCCGCTTGTCACAATTTAAAATCTGTGGGAATTATCGAGGAATATTTATTACCTGATCTTATCCCCTCGTGTCATTTATTACTTGCTATATATTGGACTGTTACGCTGTAGATGTGCTTTCTTTGGTCGTTAGCGTGCCGATTTTCGGGAGGGCATGCTTGTTTTATCCTCATTTACACAATAGATATATATAGACTTAATCGGAAATGATTTCCCATGGTTGGTTAGTTTATGGAGAGAGCGGGCGCATTTATTTTTCGTGCTGATCATAAACTTCGCAGTATTTCATTTCCTGTGTGGTCAATGCGCTTCTAGTCCATGAAAACATCCAGCTTTCACAACGTGGGGCTGTATACAATTTACAAAACATTTGCTTATTATACTTCGTAACAGATAATTTATTGATACTACAAAACGTCGTTCTAATGGTCTCTTGTTTACCATTCTGAGACTGAGACTGGTAGCTGCAATCCTGTTTAACTGTATTTTACTGCACGGAATGCCTGCGCTAAGCAAATACTTTCGTCGGCCAGTTTAAACCAAAACTAGCGACCAATACTGTAATGCGCGTCGACCTGGAATGTACTTGTACAATATACGTATGGTACACAGCTGCCGACATACCATGTCCACTTCCGACATGCTGGATATGGATGAAATATGCATCGTAACGTCCACTTCTACGGGCTTGGCTACAAAAATAAGAAAATGATCAGCCTAAGACTAGCAATAAACGTGACGCGCAAATGTACAAGAAATAACTGGACAGTTACGACTTTAGTGTAATCGGCACAATATACGAACGCAGTTCAATTTAAAGTCTACTGCAATTAACTTGTAAGTATAAAGTTTATGTGAGAGCATATTAACAGCATGCATGTTCTCTGAAACCAAGAGATATTGTACGTGCTCGCGTGTCCCGTTTAGTACAGTATATTTTTCCACGACTCAGAAATTGTATCCATTTTTCAAGGAAGTAACCAGTAAGTAGATGGATGATTCCATTTAGCTATTAAACGGAATTTAATATTATTTGATATGACAACTGGATGCGCTAACATCATTCTGCTTTTTGAGAATAAACGAGTTGTCAGCATGGAACACACCGCCACGGCTGACCAAAACACCAAAAATTTTTCCCTTGTGACCGTAAAAGTGTTCAAACTGAATACATTATTTGCGTATAACTTACCAAACTGAGTAACTGTTATTCATAAAAAATGGCATGCATTTGTAAACCAAGATCTTCTGTAATCACTCTCTGACGCACTTGTATGTTTGCTCATGCATGGAATATTTGGCTATTTCCTCATTGCATCATAAATCAATGGAAGACGGTTACCAATTACAGTTCGCATTTGCATTTTCGTATATATAGGTAGGTGTTAGTGCAAGCAAAACGCATCAATTCTATCGCACTTTTTACAGTCAGTAAATTGTTACTTAAATTAATATGAAATGTGGAATGGTGCATATAGCTGAAGTCTGAAGAGCTGGTGATTAGTTAGATCTCACTGCACTTTTCGGCGCAGTCTTGCGCTGACTGTGAGATAGTAATTAGCGTCCTCAGGCATCGTGTGAAATGATGTATGTTTTTCAAAAAGAAGTATTTCATTTTACGACGCAGCACGAAAAACTATTTATCCATCGATGCATCGAAGCATGATCTCATTGTATTAACGCAGTCAATAGCTGAAACACGCAAGCGCGACAGTTCAAAAATGAGTTTCTTCCGGTCACAGTTATCACCAGATTTTGTTTCAGGATATGTATAATAAGTCCCTCAGGCGAAGGGACACGACATGATTTCCAAAACGAAGCATCTGATTTCATCATCAAGCACCGCATCGAAGGCATGTTACGTCAAGCGTTATGTACATCTGCACAAAGACGCAGTGAAACCGGTTGACGTTCCTCGCGGACCAAATTAAATACCCAAGATCAAATGCAAAAAAAGGTTCGAAGAACAGGGCACTCCTTAATTATTAATGCAAACATATAACGTTTGTTATCATGTTACGCGTATATTTTATCACAATTATCCATTATCAAGTTGGAAATTATTTCGTGATGATAGCGATGGAAGAGGCGAATTAAAGCCGTGCAAAAATATATCAGCCCCGTAATTTCGGTAATTACTGCTGACATGCCCACGCAACTGACACTGGAATGTTATTATCACTTTTTGACTGTGCCGGAATCGTAAACTGCATTTCATATTGCATATTTAACTACTACAAACATTAATAGAAATTTGTGTTGACAGCATCGTAATTATATGATTATCGATATTGTTAATGTAGTTAACGGAGCACTGGACGGATTACTGCTGCACATTTACATTCGAATGGATGAGAATCCAAACAGAAATATAGTTTCGATAAAGACTAAAGTTGTAGCTACAAGACTGGAGTGTATTTACATCGATGAAGTATATAAGAGCTCATCGGAAATTATCTGCGTCTCCACTACTTCCCGGCACCGACCGTTACCGTTCGGATCGTGTTGAGAGATGCTCTAACTCTCTTTCTCTCTTTCCAATACATTGCCGCCGTAATCGAAAAAAGACCCAATATGCGCCCTGTTGCAGCTCTTGATCAAGAACCACGCACATGCACAATGTTTGCATTTGTTGTTAGCCCCACCGGAGGCTATTTGACTTAATTAGCGGGATACCAGACCGCGGAATCATATGAATCCCAACGATTTACCCAAAATATATTCCAAACGGATATTTATTCAGTTAGCGTCCAATCAATAGGCAGTGTCCGTAATTCGAGTTTTTTTGCCAATATGTACATTAGTTGGCACGGAAGAATTGAAATTGAAATACAGATTTTTGCATAATAGGAATCAAACGATTCTTATATAGCACCCTTCCGCATCGATATTCTCTCAGCTATTCAACACCGAACAAAAAGGTAGATAAACGTCAGTCAGGTACAACAACGAGTGATAAATAATCGTACATAATAGAATTCCCTCGCACAACCAAATTACACAAGGAACATTTGTTGTCGAGGAAATGGCAGCCTGTTTCCTACACACGCTTTTAAATAATATAATGTAGGCTGTAGTTGTAAAAGTACAAGTAGGCTCCTTTCCCGACACACCATAAGCTGCTTTTACTGTACTGTACATTATACTGTCTACTTCGGCTTTTTCAAATAAACCGAAATCAGCAAATACCACAAGCTTACAAATTTTTTATTTTGTTGTGCTTAAATGTAGTGTTGTATAGCGAATAATACAAACGAAGAGCTAACTGTAAGGAAGGAAAGATGTATATGAACAACGATATATGTATTGGTACGATGTTATAATATGGCTCACAATTCACTGCCTCAAATGCCCATATCTTTATTTTTGTGATTCTAGTGCTGTAGCCGCGTACCGAAGTCCGCACAACAAAAGCCAGAAACTGCGTAATCAAATCAGAAAGTATGACGCAGTAGAAAATCTAATTTCTTTTTCCTGTGTCGTTATCAAGAAGTCACAACCGGCTTCCAGGCTATATTGCTTTAACTAATTCAAAAGTGTTCTGTAAGGAAAAAATGGATCTTTGAATATCGACTATATTTACCGAATCCCAGATGGAATACGACCAAACACTTATGCTGTTGTTAAATATGCAATCTTTTGTATGCCTGTTGACTTCTATATCATTCGATTCGTTAAGGATGAATTAAAGAATAGACTGGAATAAGATTAAGGGAGGCTTACAGTTGGAAATGTACTAATCCATTAATTCTGCGCTCTTTCCGAAACACTTTAACTTGGATCTTATTGTCATTGAAAACCAGCAACGATATAATGACTGCATTGCACATTGTCCGTATTTTTGTACGCGAAGCCGCCGCCTGTAACGCAGATACTGATCGGAAAGACGATTTTTTTGCAAATCAGAATTCCCAACAATTTTGACGTATTATGCAACTGCCACAACTACTGAATTAATGCATGGGTAAGTCAGCTTGCATAATAATGCAGCCATACACGCAAAATTCTTGATCCTAAATTCAAGGCCTATTCGAGAAGTCCACCCAGATTATTCCAAATCTGGATGCACGTAAAATGCAAAAACATTTTAGGAAGAGAAAAAGACGAACCTAAATCTTTTCGGGTAAAAATCGATTTTCTCAGGTATAAGCGGAAATGCATTTTTGCCAAGCGGCAAAACGCTGCGCGTTTGGCAAATGGTTGTTAGTACTACAAAGGAACAGCTTGATTATTACCTAACAATCGCAAACGGTATTTATCACAGAGAATCTACTTTCATCCTTCCTTTTTAATTTGCAGTTAAAAATACGCAAGCACTATACCTCTAAGAAATGACAGCACGATTACGCTGGTACACGAAAAGAAATTCTAGCAATTATTAGCGAGCAGTGACAGTACACTATCCAAACAAACGTCACAGCGTTTTTCGAAAATATGCATTGCCGACAAGGCAAATCTAATTTTTGTCGAGCGAAAACCTTTCAAGTTGACTCATGATTTTATTATAGACACTTATCAATTTCATTTATTTATAGCCAGAAAGATTTCAAATCAATCTGTTCACTTTGCAGAGCAAATTAATAAAATAAACTAACAAACCCACTAATAACTGCACCAGGAATTTATGTAGACGAAGCCAGCATGGACAGTTACCAATTTAAAAACTTAAACAGTGTACTATGAAGACGCTCATGATCGTGGTGATTACAAGGGTGACCTCATATAAAATGACTTAAGACACAGCTGCAACAGTTACATGTACACCATAAACTACCATTTAACAGGATGCAACACATTTTTCATAATTTTTTCTAATCTTAATTCAAAATCTGAAATACAGGAATTTCTTTCATTGAAGGATACTTATGCTTACAGAGTACTGTAGAATGCATTCATGCTGCAGGTTTAACTGCTTTGATTTTTTACGCCATCAAAGCCGATCGGCGCCTTATTTATACTAGTATTTTTAATAAATTAGTTAATTGTGGGTAAAATTCTAGACGGAAAACAAATCAACACCCATTTCTGTAAAAGGCAAAAATGTTTTACATTCTATTTTTAGGAGGCAAAATATATAATTTTTCCAGCCAAGTAGTTATTTATTCCAGATCTTACCTCCATAATTTGGTCGCACTCGTTTGTCATAATCGGCAAGTAGATCATTGAGTAGTTTGGTGACGGATACTTTGGGTGGAGGATCATCCGTAGCGCTCACACTTCCGGGGCCAACATGTCCAGGTGGCAGCGGACTGGGCTCAGCGCCGGCGATACCTGAAGTGGTTGGCGAAGTGGAGCTGTTAATAAATAAGGACATGGCCAGCATAAGAGGCAGTGAATGAAATGGAAGGCTCTTGGCGGATGATGCTGATACCGATGCGGCGGACATGACCCGAACGGCGTCTCGACTGCGGGAGAACAAATCAGCTGACACACAAAGTCTTTACACAGGAATAATTTTCCCTCACTTGTACTGCATTACTTAAACACGAATCACCGATTATGTGTCAAAAGTGCACATAAACGTATGCATAAGACAATGTAGTATCTTCGGGGTCACTCAACATGATTGTCGGGAGAGCGGAGAGAGACTCTGGAGTGCCCGCTATGTGCAATTACAGTTTATAGACACAAGTAGCAAGGAACGCGGGAAATTCTCGAGCATCCTCCGCACATAGTGACCATGTGCCAGGCGTTGCCCGGGCTGCAACAACTTAGATGCTGGGAAGTGGTGATTGGAGTGTCCGTGGAAAGTCAGTCGGAAACTGTCGGCACGTAATGCCGCATATACGACATGCCTCGCTTGACAGACAGCCAAATAACGGCAGCCAAAAAAGGACGGGAGTAAGCTTGCTTGGGATTCAAGTAGCTAATATGTCTATTTGTTGTAATCGGGATAGCAGGGCTCTTGGTGCAGTGGTTGGGGATGCTTAGTCGGCACTTGATAATGGCATTTCTGAACAATGCTTATACACAGCCGGCTCTATTAGGGATGGGCGATTTCGCACAGCGGTTGAGCAGCTGATCTGTGCTGTGCAAGTGTGTATGATAATCATACTTCATGCACCCAACGCGTGGGGGATGTACGCATATTTGTCGGTGATCGTACAGGAAAATCCTTTTTCTGCCGCCAGACACGCTAAGGATTCTGTCCGTAAGATTCGTCACTTATGATTAATTTCCACTGTAAAAACGCAAGAAAAAAACGCAGCACACGAATAGAAGAGGGAAAACGACATGGGATTTTGTATATTTGTCAGTGCTGGCAGCATGTGTGAATTATGAAATGCAGAGATGGATTTATATGTTAAGCCAACACTGCGAATGTCATTGGCAGCGTTGCTTACAAAACCCCGGTGATACTGCAAGAAAATGTTGATCGGCCCTGATCGGTCATTGATGATCGGCGGTTCGTCTGTGCTAAGGCTGCAATCGGGATTTGAGGCTGTGTGCTTAAAGCCCAGCAAAGAACTAAACCCGTCATTCCCAGCTACTCGTCAGCCCGGAAGATTGATATGGTTTTCTGTACGTGTGCCGCTTTTTATATGTACACGGACCAGGCAGTAAGGCCCTATGAATGCGCCATCTGTACATCCCATTTGTTTGCATTACGTCTGCATCACTGGCTTCCTTAACAACACTTTCTAATCCGACCCGGCAACTTAATTACTTCTAAACTGGAAAATTTGGAGTGCACTTCTGTTTGAAATTAAGGTGATCACAGCAAAACAGTGTGAATGATCCGCAGCCGTTAAGCAAAGCACAACAATTAGTTTTGCGGTTCCAAGCGCAAGCTGACTGCCTTAATTTTTAGTAATTAGGAACTCAAGGAGGTTTCCATAAATTACAGATAGGTTTTTATTTACAACAGCACTTCGGACGGAAGTACGATCCGGGAGTAAATAATCTGTACATGTACCGGTATATACGCGTGGTTTTCGTTATATACTATATAGTTTCTACTAATTAATCAATTCCGTATTAATTAATCAAATCTGGCTTCGTTAATCACCGGGTTCACAAGTTGACTTCCATACTTATAAAATTTACGAAATAAAGTATAGCATTAACGCACTTATAAAATTTACGGTCGGCTTGGTAGTTGCGAAGCAGTCAAAGTTGAACAGATATATGTAAGTGTATCTACAATACAGTTGGGATCAGTGTATATCAGTTTTAAACGGACAGGTTTACCTGCCTCATTGTTATTGTTGGTGCGCTGGCTTGTGGGTAAAAATAATTATTTGGACATATCGTATATACAAGATTTTAGAACAGCACACGGGCATTTAGAATCCAGACGATAGTGCGGCGTCTTAACGTATTAAATTTTTTTATGGGCTTTTTATACTGTTAATATCTTAATTTAACAAAATTGTGAAACAGACGTCACGAAAATATCAACAACGAACTGAAGTGGCAACAAGTCAAGCATTATAATCAGAGCAGAAAAATTAAACTAGAACTTGTCATTGGGCAGGTGCAGTACAAAAAAGTATCAACTTTGTAACATGCCAAAACTGCATCTCCTACTGTATTCTGTGCCATAACCTATACAAAAATTTCAAAAACTTTACTAAGTATTGTGCAGCACTTCCATAATGAAAGATATTCTATCACCATAAATCTTTCATTATGACATCACTACTGTTGGCGGTCTATTACAGGTATTCGTCGTCCCTCACCATAATTTGCCCATAAATTTCTTAAAACGTTAAATAAAATTTTAATTTGCAAAACTTAATTATACCTGTTTTTCGTAGAAAACACATTTCGCTATTTTTCTTAGTAACTAAAAAAATGAAATTAAAAGCAGTCGAGACAATGAGGTCCACAAAGTTATAAAGCAAGTATCTTGGAAAATTGTTTACATGTTTAATAGGTAATCCACATGGATAACAGTTTTTAGGGTAACTGCACATAAACAACGCGGCTTTGCTGTCCAGGTATGCAGAGTAGAAAGGTACGGCAAGCACACACGGCAGAAAAATTTGTTCTAAGTACAGCTAACACTTTTTAAATATTCCCTTATGGTGAGTTTATACAGAAAGACTGTCTATAGCTAGCTACACTTGCGTAAAAACAACTTCTACATAGCTCGTAATTACTTGGTACATAAAATTATGACTACTCTTAGTTTTCAAATTTTTTTAGTATTTGTCAAAAACCGAGCTAAAGAAATTATGAATAAAAGCTAACTCAGTTTCCACGTTTGAAAATATACTAGACCACAAAATCATAACTTTCTTAATTAAAAAATTAATAGCAGCGTGCATCACAACCGTTTAATTAACAGTTGATCACATATACCGGTAGCTCGTAATTTAAAACTGTGTGCACATGTAAACCGACAATAAAAAAAAGCGAACTTTTAAGAAATACAAAACAGTTCGTCAATTAAGTTTGCGATTACACTTAAACACAATCTGTTTATTATACTACAACAGAGGTAATATTTTTAGGTTACGTCGATGACCAGCCTGGTAATCACTGCAGTCGGGTCTTCCACGGAATGTCATTTATAAATACAAGAAAAAGATTGTTTTTGACAATGCAATCTGAAAAATGTACATTCGTCCAGTAAACGGGTTAAAGTATATGTATGCCAAATGAGTACATACGACAGGCGACGCAGCACTTAATGTTGACGAACAATGATGCATGCATAATTATAATTAACTTTTCACAACCTTCGAGGAATTTTTGTCGGCAGCAGTTAATGATTTTGTTATTTAACCAAATAAATAATGAAATAATGCACAATTGTGCGGCTATCTCTTGAATCAAACATCTGTAATCATGTATAATTACTGTACTGTATGTCAGTCTGATTACAGCTTCAAAAAATTTTGGAAATTTTTCTGCTCTTCAAGTGCAACAATATTAATCATTCATTACGAACAATAACGCTAAAACAACCAGTGCAGTAGATATCATAAAAACGAACGTTAAGGGTACGTAACTCTGATAATGATGCCGGTAATTATTTGCAAATTGTACACTGATAGTTAAATCTTCGCTAGTAGGTATAGAAGTACTGTATCTGAACTATGCAGCAATTTTTGACATATAAGTAATTTTACCACAGTTTCTGGGTTTCATAAACAACTTTTCATGACAATAAAATAGCATACAACTATATCGGATAGCTAGCCAACCATCAATCCTTACATATATTTGCATAGGTACAGTACTGTACCTATGCAAATGTATGTACAGTACAGTACAGTGCCGGGGAATACTGTTGAACAACAATCAAGTAACATTTTTTAGTATTCATTGACAAACTTATTTTACAACGCAATCCGGAGTCCTGACTGTTGAGTACTGCTGTAAATCGTCATTTTCGACATTTCACGGTACGATTTTTTAATCGAAGTAATCGTTACTCAAGGGATGCATAAGTGGGTCGTTTACAATTCCTTACAAGCATATTAGAACTCAGTTATGGCTATGCATATAATATTGCAGCAAAAATATGGATTGCGTGGCTCGATAGCCCAAGTATCGTGACGGTATATTGTTTCGCAAAATACTGTGCTGTTTATGTATTTAGTGTTGAGTTTCTGTTGAATCATTTACTGCAGCGCTGGTGGCCAGTTCTTCCGTTTACACCAGCATGCCACTGTTTTCCGCTGCAATTTCGATCGAATTTTCTTTTACAGAGCATTCGCGAAAAGACTACACTGCTGTCGCAGAATTGTACAACCGTCAAGCATGCAAGCACTCGTTTCTACACACAATATTCCAAATGGGTAAAGATTTTCTGGAAAACACATTTTATGAAAAATAATACAAGAAATAATCCATCTACCTCGAGCAAACTTTGAATCTAGATTCACTGGCCTATGTTGTTGTTACAGATTTCTTTACCTGTTGTGTCAGTGTGTGTGTTGTACAGGAAGTACGTTAGTAAGTCATGCAATTGTCGAATACTTCAAATCAGAATTTAAAGTGCTGTGCTATATCTCTACAGGATATTGTACAAATGCTGTCCATGCTTTAATGGCAAACGCGCATTTTCCCATTTGCAAAATAACTGCCCTTTGTCCACTCTGCTACGTCGGCTCTTTCTTGAGCGTTGGACCGATCAGCACATAAGTCGTTCAGTCCATTCCAGTATTGGTTTTGGGTTTATCATTTTCGAATAACGGAAGCAAGTACAGAAGGTGGTATTGATAACTCGATCAGCTGATATACATAATCTATTGTCATATTCATGCACAGTACGGTATGCATATCCGCAAGTTGATACGGCAAGTGCCACCGTGAAGTGCAGTGTGGGATGGGCATTAGAATGGATGCGTCCATTTATAATATATGTGATCCAGAAATTTATTTGGCGGAACAAATTTCCCGCAATAAAATACCCGGCTAACGTGATGCAATAGCAATCAAGATAAATTGCTGTTTAGATGCACTTAACGGGGACGTAAAAGTGTGAAATGTGATCATTTCAATGAATTTGTGGGGCTGTCCTCTGCTGCTGCCTACGCTCAGCTGCTAACGCAATCACCATTACACTGGAATGACTGACAACCGGCACTTTACTGTTTGCAATCATGACGTTATTATGTGCACACACCACACGACACAGGCACACACCCAGTATTGACCACGTACCTTGTGTTGTTCTCCGTTGCCAGCTGCTGCACGGTAGCAGCGTCTATCAGCCACATATTACTGTGATTCTGGCTGATTAGCCAAATGGTTGATAGTACCGCCATGGCACTTCTAATCCAATAACTCCCTTCGTCAACGCTTGCCATCTCCCGTCGACCGTCGCTTGGCGAAGGAAACAAATACACGCGCAGTGCACCACACTGTCACACACACACAAAGAGTGTTTGAGTAAGATTATATGGCCACCAACGGCAGCCAGCTCGCTATCTGCCTCCTAAGCTTACACAATAGGCTCCTCGGCCACAAATAGGCTTCGATCGGGTTAATGAAGAGCCGCATTATAGTAATTACACCGAGGAGTTTGCATCGTGCGGGCGCACTGCACACGTACACCACCGCGAAGAGAGCGTTGTTGTAGGGCCAAATTTCGGGGGGATAACGGAGCCCAACGCGCTGCTAATGCCCAGTCACTTGTCACAAGTGTATACGCTGTGTGTAATGCGCGGCAGTGCTAATGCGCGCACCCAGCCACACAACGTAACGTATATATTCGCCGGGTCTGCAGCCGTGACGTCACGGGCAATTGCAGCTGTCTTTTTAGCTTAGATTTTCGTTTATAATTCGGCCAGATTGCCCTAAAGCAGCGACATCCGCCGTCGGAGAAGGACGCTGGCCTGGGACCGGTCTGAAGTGTATTATTCGTGTTATGTACAGCAGCAGCAGAATTCATAAAAGGTCCCGCGCGCTATAGCTATCTGGCATTCCCGGCCGTATATTGCATAGAGCTGGCACATAGAGATGCTAACCACTCGAAGGGGATACAATGGCAGCACATTATAGTTAGAGATGACAATTCGCTGGCTAATACTAGACACATGTACATTTTTGACGGGAAATCGACGGTCGTTAATTCTTCAATGATGATGACATCCGATTGAGTGACTTTTTCCTTAGCCTGCATTTGCCGGAATGATTATGGTTAGTTCCGCTGTGGTGCATCATATGCACTGGGCACATCATCAGCACTCTATGATAATATCATCGCCGGGGCCCAACAGCCTTTTGTATAAACAGTTTGATGAAACTTCAAACAGACATAATGCCATGTCGGCAATCGACAGTATATACCCATAATTACTCCAATAATAAACAGCCAATAATAAACAGCATATTCCGGTACAAGGAGGCGCAGTACATGGACTTTAAGTATATCGACGGTGCCCACAATACGAAGAGGGCAATTGACAGAGTGCGTCTTCATCAGGCGGCACGATGCAGAGGATTAGAAAAATATTGCCGACGTCAAAGTAATAGGGAAGAAGAAATCATTTCTCCCCCCTAACAAAACCGTGCAGTTCAAAGGCCAGCTCAACGGCGAATGGGCCAAGATGTATGCATAACAGTAAAGGTTGCATTAATCACAGACGGCACTGTGCACTTCCGCTTCCAATCAGCTGTGCGCTGGTTTTTTTCCAGGGCAGACTACATCATCCTCTTCACTGCCCGGTCGCTCATACATACAGTACACAAAGACAGAATTAACAATGCCCGGTAGACAAGTGGGAAGCAGAACAGGCGCGCACGGAGGGGGAACAAGAGGCAACCCGAATCTTACGAAGTGATATTGGCAGGAATAAATGCAATTTCTACGTCATCAGATTCGGCAGGACCAGTGCCTATAACCGCCGTGTGTTGGTAACGATATGGTGCCTAATGTGACGGCACAAATGCACCAGCTGGCGCAACAGTACAATTCCCGAACCGCCTAGTTTGTAACCCGGCGCTCCGGCGATATAAACTATATACGTGCCGGCTATGGTAGACGTGACATGGGTCTGTCTGCTTATCTGGTGATTGACGAACAATCCCTAATATTTAACGGCTGGTTCCAGTTTCGCCTGCGTGTGTAGGCATGTGTACACTGAATGTGGATATATATTGTATGTAGCGTTCGATTGGAGGAGCGGCTGCTGTGGCAGATTGGTCAACATGGAGTTTTTCCTGCTCTCGAGAACCATTTACAGTTCCAATTTGCACCCCCTTCAGGTCGGGCGCCGTGGCCGTTAAACAAACGGCCATGGCCAACATGAAATGCATTAACATGACTGCCTATTTAAATGGTTGTAGCCCGCTGATACAGGCACGCTGGGTTCCGGTCCGTGTCAAATGCGCCAGATCCCGGCGTTTCTCTTTGGGCCAGAACCGGAAGCTGTTCTGTATCGGTTGGTCTTATTCAGCTGTAAGCCTATAATAGGCGGATGGTAGAACATAAATTAAGCAAATACTACACAATTCCTGTTTGTGTGCCGCCGATATACATACCGCGTTGACAATCGTCAGCGCAACGACGGACAGCTGCCGCGCGTTTGGCAGCGTTTAATTGTTGACTTATTCTGAGCACTGTACTTAGAATTGCTCATCCTCTCATATTCCTTATTAAAAACAAATCCCTTTCGGGATATGGGTGCCCCGTGTGCTGGCCGCTCAGCGTACTCCACATTTGCACATATTGCGCTTTCACTGGGCTTACATGTTAGTTTTGGGCTTACGCGCGCCGGTCCCTATATATGGCACAAATTGGCCGCAAGGCAAATCTCGCATTCCCGGCAATAAATTGAGTTTGATTCTAGCCGGGGTTCCGATGTGAATATTTACCCACACTTGACAATGCACTACTATGTCACAACAGCGACGTTCTTTGCATTATAAATTTATTGATCGCGACACATGCGATGTTGCTTAATATCCATTCCGGCCTCATCAACGGCTATGTATTATAAGGCACAACGGAGGAAAAAACCGCCGTTTGCTTGACTGATCTTTTTGTGTCAGATTACCGAATTTCATGGCCACGCTTGCAACTTATCCACAGAACGCGGTTACACATATTTATGCAGACCCTTTGCGATGTGTTGTTGGCAGTCTATAATTATATGTAAAGTTATCAAGACAAGCGATCGATAAGTAGCGAAGCTGCCTTTTTGTAAACAATCTACTGTGTAAACACCGTCCTGACACGCTAAAATGCTTTAAATGATGACTAGCATCTTTAAGAATTAAATCTTAACTGATGAACGCTCGCGCTCAACTTAATCGAAATTGTCGTATAACAGGAATTAAGGCATAGTGCAATAACGGTTCGCACTCGGCATTCATTTCGGAGGGAAGCACATTCCAAAAACGAATTAAGTTTACAGGTGCTGGTGCTGTACTTCAAACAAAAACATTACAGCGAACATTACCTATTACATTACATTACATTACATGACCTATTTCCTTTCGAAAGCGAGAATCAAAATCAGGCAAGTGCAAAAAACTAATCCCCGTATGATTATGTGGGGATGAAACCGGGGACAAAAATGATATCCAGGAATAAAAACCCGTACTTCCGGTATCGTGCATACAGCAAATTAGCCCGTTTGTCCGATAACAGCTGATAGCGATCGTAGAAATCGGTTTGTAGCGATGCAGTGCGCTGTTATGCTAAACAGCAGTTGTGCAAATCCTCAAGATTTTTAGCGGCGGTTTACAACACATTACGACCAAAATTTTAACAACAAAATCAAATCCCTCTAATATTGTTTAATTTACTACTGCCCCTACCATAACCAGAGGAAATCAGAATTAAATCCATATCATTTGCCCATAAGGGCGATAAGGCCATAACCATAGTACTTTTAATGTCCATTAATGCAAGACATATTGTTCTAGGCTTATAATTGAGAGAAAATAAGCATTGAGATACAATGCACGCGGAAATGTGGCTTCAGTTCTCGGAACGTTTAGGCCTTTAGGGACATGGTTGATTACGAGAATGTGTTTTCTGCTTTTAAACTTGCTAAGCGGGATTGATGGTGATGTTATTCTCTATGTAATAATCTGATGTGTGAATTTATAAATAATTATTTGATTTATAATCATGTTATGTTTTGACCCTGACCCCGATAAAGGGTTGTATTTTGGAAACACTTTTGTTATGAACCCGTTTACACTTAGAATTACAAGAATTAGTAATATATATTCTAGTTGACATTACGAGGATTTATTCGTTAGACTAATTAAAGCATGTAAGTACATCATTCTGCAGCTGTTTTACCGCTGTATTTTGCATACCCATTATTCGTTGACTGAATCTTTTATTATACCTTACCATTAATAATGATTTCAGATATGCTTTTCCATTGACTACGAGTACCTTTGCAGTTTGATTATGTACGAAGATTTCAATGGAAATTTCAATTTGTAACCAGCGGGTCAAACCGGAAGAAAGTGCTCACGTGTTCAAATCAATGTCTTATGCAACTTGACTTAAAGATTTTCTGAAGAGTTTCGAAGGTATTGGTATTACGTTTGCAACACTGGCAGAGCCATGGCAAATGAAACTAGTATAAAAACTCACAATAATAAACCTTCCAGGACGTTTGCCTTGTTAATGCAATATTAGAAAGATTTGGCGGGCTTTCTTAACGTACCCGACTATAATATTTTTGTTTTCTTAAAAGAAAGCAAAAATACTATAACATAAGATGTAACATATAATACCATGTTGCTTTATTAATTAGTAAATCTCCGGCTATTATGCAGCTATATGCTTTGGCATCAGCGAACTCGGCCATCCCGTACCAATTTACATTGGTAGGCTGTTTTTCATTAGATTAGTTCGTGAAGTCCTTCCTATTGACATCATAATTAGCAATCTACGGTGCCATAACATCACTCTGTATTAATTTGCCGATGTCGGAATACCGTTTTGTGCTGTTCTGTATTTGGCAGTACGGTGACCTGCAGCGATTTGCTATTTGTAATGATAGAAAAGAAGCCAGGCAGAACTAACAAGTTGTGATTAAATTACCGATGCGATCACCTAAGGGGACTCAACTTCCGGACAATACAATGCAAACTGTCAGAGGCACATGACTGCGCCTGGTGCATACGGCCCACCATGGACGTACTGCACTCATGCTTGCCATATCGCCTCTCTCGCTGTACGTACGTGTGCTGCTGCACTGCACTCATATCCGCTGAAGCGGATATATGCGGCGCACACACTGAGCATACTTGCTCTCTCGTCCCTCTCTCGCTGTATGACTCAGCGTACGCTCGCGTTGGATTGAGTCCAGTCTGCGCATCATCACACAGCTGATGGCACACAGCACGTGCTTGCCGCCAGTTGCTTCTTTCACGCCTTGACGAACGCTCAAGAGCTCTTCTAGCATCCACTTGCTTGTTTAGCCATCAGTGCTTTGTTCTTGCTTTCCTGCTATTACGCAGCATTGCTCCCTTTATTTGTCAATAAAGCATCACTCGTGATCTCCTCGCGCTTGCCTGTTACATGGTAGCAGAATCGTTTGGTTTTCCTTCAACGGACCCTTTGAGGAGACGGTGAAGGCTTCATTCACGGAGAACCTGTCTGGAAACCTTTTCAGTCACTGTCAGACCGATTGCTGAAGCAATCTCTGCACTGACTGTCGATCAGAACGGTCGCATCGTCTTACAGCTGAGGAAAACGGGGATCACTGAAGTGATTCCTACCCAGCTGGTGAGCACAGTTCCTTGGTCTCTTCCACATTGAAGAGCGGAATCTCAGTTTCCCGAACGTACGGACATTTTCTTCTCCCAACTGACGGATCAGACTCGAACGAGAGTCTGCAGCGCGATAGGATTACTCCAATAATACGGGGACCTTCGCTTTGAACAGCGACCCGCAACTTTACTCGCGGATTTCAGCACGGAAACGACGGATTTCCGACCTCGGACGGAGGAAATCGACCGGAACCGACACCGACACCGACACTGGTAAAGTCACGGTTATAGGTCGATTTTAGCCGAAACTAGGTCGGCATTTCATTTTATAACGGTAGAAAACTACTTCTATCCGTAGGATTTAAATTTCTAACGGTTAAAAAGTAATTTTCGACGGAGAAACCGACTCGGAATTTTGCTTTTGGTCGAGAACCGACCTGCTAGGTCAACGAACCTGTCTAGACAGTTAGACAAAGGCTAACCGGCAACAGGTCGGAAATTCTCTTTATTTTGATTTCTAACGGTGTTTCGACCACCAGAAAATCTTCTTAATTATTAAAATTAATTTCTAACGGTTAAAAACTTCAAAATCCGAGCTAGATCGACCTTCTAGCCGAGCAAAAATAATTTGTTTTTCTAACGGGAAATAGCGCGAAAATTCTCGAACTTCCTTGTGACGTCATAACGACCGCTTATCAGTACTTAAGAGGCAGCCAATCAGCGTGCAGGGGAAAGTTCCCATAGCTTAACATAGGCGTGATTCATCGTTTTTTTGCAAATTTTGCACGCGGCTCGCATTCTGTGACGTAGGCAGAAGTGCAAGACCACTTAACCTGTTACGTCACACTGGTCAGCACAGTAATATAGGACGTACTACACTGTACTACTATTACGTACTGTACTGTACCATAGTACTGTATACTAATACCCTGTGTACTGAGTCACCAACAGACACATCAACAACAACAACAACATCTCACCGGACGATCTTGACCCTTGGAAGTTCCTGAACAAAAAGACATTTTCCGATTTTGCCGAACATCTTCACACAGAAGATTGTTCGACTTTCTCTTTCTAACTGATTAAACCTTTAAGGCTCCACCAGAGCCGACCTGACTTGACAACAATGTCGAATCCCCGAGAAGATCAGTACGCGAGAAAGTTCAACACGGACTATTCTCGGCGCGCGAACATGACCGGGAAGTACTCACTTCGGTACGCCGGTCAAGATAAAAGTCAGCCGTCCTCCACCGACTCGACTAAGT